AAATTGTATCTTTATTCATGAAAATTTGCTAAATGCACATAAAACAATAAAACTGTAATAAAATTCTTCTAGATTCATGAAATAATTCCCATCAAATATTTTATGTTTTATAGACATTGGATCAGGCAAAGTAACGCAAGAAAGAGAAGAAAATACAAAGCAAAAAAAAGGAAGCAGATTGGGTGCATCAAATTACTAATTATAATAAAAACTAATAATAAACAACTTTTGGTTATGTTATATATAATTTTACATTAAGTTCCGGTGGCCATCTTGAAGTGGGCGGAGCAAAATTTTAAATAAATTGATTTTTTATGAGCAAAAATGTAAATAATGTATTTTTACCCATAAAAATTAGCTAAATGCACATAAAACAATAAAACTGTAATAAAATTCTTCCAGATTCTTGAAATAATTCCCATCAAATATTTTATGTGTGTTTCATATGAAAGTTTCGGTTTTTAGGTTTATTTCCTCCTTTCAGCAAAGTTAAAACATGAAAATTATATGTAATTACGAGCGCGATTAGCTATTAACTACCGGTGGATTTCGGGCGCGCATCACATTTGATGCATGATTAGTGATTACCTTATCAAGCCGTAAACCGAAACGACGGCGCGCCGACGAGATGATGGCAGTGCGAATGAAGCGATTTCGAAACATCCTGCGCTCGGATGCGCGCCGTGCATCGGACGACTCTAGGTCACATTAACATCGCAACTTAGAAGCACCGAAATTTCAAATCCGGGCGATTCACAAGCGTTAAAGTGTATAATTTCGAATTAAGTGCGCATTTTCCGCGCTCGAGATGCGCGTGGACTAGTAAACTACTGACTGAGTATAGGATTGAAGTTTAGAGTAATAACCGAAAGGAATTTCGACGCCGCGATTGAAAATGGAAAATATAATTTCGAATTGCTTGAATTTGTGGGTTATTGATGCATGACACGATTCGTCTTCATCATATTTACATCGTGTTCACTTTTAGACATCTTGATTTAGATTTTGGTTGGTGTGTGATGTTAAACGGTGTCAAATGAATCAAATGGCTCGAATTAATTATCAATCATGAATCATTTTAATGGCCGTAATATCGACAATATTTTGAGCTGAAAGCGTTTATTATTATGCGTGTAATTCGGATGCAAATAGAAAGTTATTTAATGATCAAATTAATAAATTTAGTGCATGTAAAAGAGAAAAAATTAAAAATATGGCAAGAAATATTTAAAGAATATTTTATTGCTTTTGGAAAATAATCTATAATATAAAAATAAATCTTTAAATCTGTTGGTAAGCGCATAACTCCTCAACGCCTAGACCAATTTAAATTCGGGTTTTAATGTTCGTTAAAGTCCAAGGATGGTTTTAACGGCGAGAAAAATTGCTTTTTTCTATAGGATAAATATTGAGATTCAATCATAGTTATAGTTAAATAATTGAATCCGAGATAGCGCACTGCAGTGCATTATTAATTTCTTTATATAATTAATTTGTTTAAAATAAAATAGCGAATCTTATTGATAGAATTGACACGTACAATGTCTAACAAGAGAGTAAAACGAATCACATTTTTATTAAAACCGAGATTATTTTTTTAGCTGTAATATTTTTTTTAAAAAAGCGAAAAAATATAATAGTTTAAAATATAAGAAATACATCTTTTTAGGTGCTCAAACCCAAATATTTACTTTGAGCCTTTTAAAAATTTAATTTCTCAACATTTCACTAAAAAAAAATACAAAAAATTTGCAAAAAATCATTTTTTGGTCAAAATTTACCAAAATTTTATCTCTTAAATCTTAAAAACCAAATAACTAACATATAATTATTCTAAATTAAAAAAATGTTAAGTGTAACTATAACGGTTAAGTAAATAACTAAATACGAGTACAATTGTACGCCGGGCGAATTTTCATCAACCGAATAAAATGCGGCGTGGGTTGCGTCGATTGTATGCAAAAATAGCTACTTAACGCGTGTACCAACAGATATTCCGCATTCAGCACCATCGACGCACCTCGACATCGTTTTGACGAGATGCGAGGATTATTTTAGGACGCCATAACACTTACTGGTACTGGTTTAGGCTGGGTCCGGAAGACTGGGACGCAGAAGACGATTTGCAATCAAGGTGTGTACGCGATGTAAGACACATTAATCGTTCGCGTTCTTTTTTTTTCACTTGGCGCGCTGACTATGACTAACATTTTGTATTTTGCATGTCAAGTGTACGGATTTAATTTTTGTTTAGATACGAGTGCGCAAATTAAATTATTCAAGTTGATTATGACCTAATTTTTAATGGTTTTTTGAAATAAATTGATTTAGATGTGTAAAATTGTGTATTGTATGTTAAGTAAGTAAAATTTTGGGTTTACACACGTTTAGGGAAGTGTTTTTATGCACTAGTGCAAAAAATTAAATTTTATTCATCGAAATAAAGCATCAAAACATTTTTTTAATCAAATTTTTAAAAATTAAATTAAATAACAAGTAAAAAATAATATATAATGTAATTGGGTGCGTAAAATTGTAGTTTTACAAACAATCAGTACTGAATTTTATGCACTAGTACGATTTTGAAAATTTTGCTGCTTTTATTTGTTTTGTTCTGCGTTTGTTTGTTACAAGGTGATTAGGTTGAAGTAAGTTCAATGAGTCGAGGAGAAATTATGCTCGCGCACGTCTCTGCTCGTTCGTGCGTTCTCGCACATTGAAATCGTCGTTGTAATCGGTATGAAATAATAATGTCACGCTCGTTACCGCCAACCAGCGCGCTGCGATTACAGCATCTTTCGCGAATGTCGAGAAAATGCAGCAAAAAATCGCAAGCACGTGCTTCCCAACTGCACTTTTTGTTCTCGTTCACTTATTACTTAGATAAACAACTAACTATTACATTTTATTAGTTCACAACCACGTTTTTCATGAAAAACAAAAAAAATCTGATTTCATCAGTGACAAAGTAAGCTTTTGATGGAATACATACCCACATTTGTAGGAGTAATAAAGTTTTAGACCTTGCCTACTTACGTACTGAAAGGATTTTCGATAGATTCTGGAAATAGCTCTAGTGTCTCATGAGATAAAACCCATGGGATATCTTTGGGATGCGCAAAACTTATTAAAATCGGATCCGGTTACTGCGTAGACCTGCGAAATCCACGCAATCCCATAAGGCTAAGGCCCCGGAAAGTTTCAAAGCCAAAAACCGCAAGATATCGCATCGGGGTCGAATTTACGAGTGTGAGTGAATTTCATTCAGTTTTTTGGTTGCTTTGTTTTATTTTGTACATCTTGTAAGTGGGATACGAATGCGGATAAATTTGCGCAGTGTGTGTGATGCCTGCGGTCGGCATTGTTTTTGCCAATTCGGTTGCAATTTACAATTTAATATCCCAAAGCCATTAAACATGTGAGATGGTGAAGCATGCGTAAATTGCGAATGAAGCAAATAATTCCATTTGCAATTAACTTAGTAGCACACATTTACGAAAGGGTAAATAGTTTCGGTTTTCAAGGTCAATTGAAGAATGTAAAATTTAAAGAATGAAGAAATTTTATTTTATGTTTATTATTGCGAAAAATTAAAATTACAAGTAGGAAAAAATGAATTTTGCAGCCCTAGGGCGGAGAAATTACTATTACAGCCCTAGGGTCAACATTTCAAGAATATTTCTGTGAGGATTTAGAATATCATTGATTTTAATTTGCCAAAATATTCCGAGAAAAATGTATTTGTGGCCCAAGGGCCGAGAATCTAAGTTTAGAGCCCTAGGGCGACAGAAATGAAAAAAAAATCTTCATTTTTTAAATTCGTTTTTAGTCCATTAACACGAATATTGCCAAAATTCATTTTATCATTCAGTGGTTTTACCATAAATTTTGAATTTTGTTTCTAAATATATTATTGTACTAAATTTAAATTTTAATCGTAAAAAATAAAATTTTGTGGCTCTAGGGAGTAGAAATGACATTTACCGCTCTAGGGCCAACAATTGTAGATGTTTTTAGTACGAATTTAGAATATCTAAATTTTTTATTTAAAAAATACGTTAACAAAGATGTATTTTCTGCCCAAGGGCCGATTTGGTAAGTTTAGAGCCCTAGGGCTGCAACAAAAATGATAAAAACCTTTAAAATTATTCATTTTTTAAAATAATTTCATAATTTATTCAGAATTTATTCTGTATTCTGCTAAAATTATAATTTTTTGTTGTTTTGAGGCCCTAGGGCTGTAAAACTGTGTGTAATACTTAAACTAATTATTATGATTGTGACTTTCATTATCGATTTGACCCATTTTAAAGCAAATTTCGTCTCGCCCGCATCAATACGCTTTGCTACTTGCTGACTTATGACACCGACAAATCCACAACAATATGGTGGCTGGTTGTGATATCGTCCGATTGCTCGCCGACCGCAAACTGTTACTTGTAACTCGAGTGAAATTACAACCACACAATACACCACGAACAATAAAGAAGAGAAAATGTTTAATTCCATTAGGTATACCATCGCGAAAATGCACGTGATCAAATTTCCAACTGAATAGAAATGAATATATAGAAATGGCATCTTGGGTATTACTATGACGCAGCACGCTTGCGCAATATATTTGGCAAACAAGGATTTGCAAAGGTGAAATGATATCCTTGTCGAGTCGAAAGTCGACCGCGATTGCACAACATCACCAGTACTCCACGTCGCCGAAAGAAAGTGATCGCATGCGTCACTAATAAGATCGACGCGCACCGAAATTACCACTCGGCAGACAATGCACATGTACACACAGCAAAGAAAGACCAAAAGCGAAGGTTAGATCCGGGGCTGTGGTGCTGCGCATCGCCGACGCACCATACCATCTTACCATCCTCCATGGAGTGCTGGTACTCTCTTTCGCGGAAGGAGCCCGCCGCGAGTGGGGCAAACTTTCACGTGTATATATAAAAGTCAACGGGAGATTTCGACGGCGTATTACTTTCCGTTTGGTCGCGGCGTGCGGACACCCGTCTTTCTTCGAAACGCTTCTGCTCGCGGGGACCGGGTACCAGAGGCGCGTACTGCCCGGTTGTTGTTTTTTTTTCTTTATCATTATATATTGAAAATACTGTGATGTGCAACGTGTGAACAATTTCTCGACTGGAGTGCGCGTTTACCGAAGGACTAAAATCGTAGGATAGTCGTAGTTTACCAAGGATCTTATATTTCTTACAAAATAAAAAAGTAAGTATTATTTCTTATCCCGTGGGATAATAATCATAATAAAATTAATATTAATATGAGTCGTGATATTATTGAGCACACATCGACGCGTCGATGGAAAGGAAAGCAGGAAAGCAAGTTAGTGTGTCAATGGACGAGAGCACTCCGCGCATGCGCACTAGTAATTAACCAATACACTTGTCTTAATTTCTCGCTAGGATAAGCCACGTCGGTTACGGTCACTTACCGAAAGAGGACTAATTAAATTACCGATGTGAATAAATTGTTTAAATACGAAAAATCATTTTATTTTGTTTTATTTCCATTACGATTGAGGAGCGTAACGGTAGTGATTTTTTTATTCGAATGAATTTCTATGCGACTGAGCAAAGAGGCGTGTGTGCTCTCTTCACATGATCACACACGGTATAATTATTATGTTAATAATTAATAACGCTAGCGCGATTCGGAGTGGCACGAAATTAACTAGGTTGGAATTAATTTTTTTCTACGTAAATAAATTAAATATCAGTTTGGTATGAATTTTTAAGAAGAGGATGAGAAAATTTTTCGGTTGGAGTTTAATCAGAGTGTGAGATCTGATGATTATTTGGCGCCATTGAAATTATAACGTCGGAAATTATTGTTTTTTGTTTTGTTTAACGGTTTTTGGTAATTTTTTGGTAAATTTGACATGTAGTAGTCAATTTAGACATCACAACTTAAAACGGGTTTATTGCAACCACATATATGTGAAGAACACCGGTCGAAAATTGGTATAACTTTATTTTTGTTAGTTTTTTAGTGTTTATATAAAAACTAAAAGAGATAAAGTGTTTATTCTTTCACAAATAGATTTATAATTAAATTCTATATCATTTGCCATAAAATTTGTCTAAATTAAAACTTTATATACAGAGTAATCGCGAAAAAACTATAATTTACTAAAATTGTTTTATTTTGCTAATAAATATGAAATAAATCATATAAATATTATTATATTTATATAAATGGATACAGAATTTAATTTTGATTACTATAGTAAAAGAATCATCACTATAGCATGTTTCATTCAAAAGTTATTTAATAATAACGTTGCGCGTAACTTGATAGTGTCAAGTTTAGACCGCTACCACTTACATATTGTTGTTACACAGTGAAATTCGAAGTTTTTAAATGTTTTCTTCAAGCTAGTTGAACAGTTATGCTCTCTACCGAAATACAATGATCAAAGTAAAAAGAGAAAACGTAAATCACGTAAACCACGTAAATTTGCGAGACGATTACGATCAAGACAATAGAAATAGAAACCTCACAAAAGTTGTATTTACGAACACACACGCAAAAAAATTACATTTCTTACAAATTACGACATTTTTCCTTTTTTTATAGAAAATCATTAATAACATTGTCTCGATTGTCATTTGTTCATTTATTCATTTGTCGACGTAATCCGCTGGCGCAATTTTTCAATTGTTACAAACATGTTCGAATTTTTCACTCCGGTTAATCCGTTGATACCGAGTAGAAAGCGCATCACCATTAGTCGACATGAAACAAAAGCCCTCGAAAGCTCACGCGGGACTGTCATACATAATTAATCATATAACGCGTAACTCGGTAACAATTCCGCGATTATTAGGACTCTAAATGCCATTAGCATTTTTTGCATTTCCGGAAGCCTTCCGGAATGGTGATAAATAATTGCAATTGATGCTGGCGCACGCTCTACTTTCTACGCTTACGCTTATACATAATCACATTAGTGATAACGCATTTTATGTCATTATACAATAGATGGCGCTGCGTGCTACGTGCATAACCTCATTAGACGTCTAGTTGAAATTATTGGTGTTTATCGGTTTAATTTCCTGCTGGTGACTGCAGTAAGCATCGTTTATGTGTGTTAAGTGGTTTGGCGATTGTTCAAATATGCCGTTAGTAAAAGAAGAAGAAAAAATTTGAATCGTTCTCACCTATTAGCGGGTAGCGTCGTTTTTAATTTTTTGTTTCGACGCGTTTGCGTTTTCTATTACTCAATGTTGAGAATATTCGTTGTTCGCGGACAGGCGTTAATTAGAACAAGATTTAGTTAATTGAATACCTCGAACGAAATGCATTGCGAAGAATGGCGAACGGTGCTTTTCGAAACAATCAACAAACAAGCAACAAAACACAATCAAAAAAATCAAAAATTGGAATAATTAGATGCATGTGTATTATTTTAGCTTGTTTTGTTTTGTGGTGTAGTTTAATTTGGAGCTACACGTTTTGATGAATGAGTGTATTTTTTGTCGGAATTCCTAACGAAAACTAATTAGGGCGATAGATGCGAGCGCAGCCGGTGTGCGCCGACCGGAGAAAGCTGCTCTCGGAATAACTGTACTCGAGGTGGAACACATGTCGCGAGGCGAAAAGGGTGAAAGTGGGACAAGTGCGGAAGCTGCGTGTTTCGCACGCCTAAAGGGCAAAACGGACATTCCAGCAGGGAAAAAACACAAAGCACCGAAAACTAATATCCAAACAAACCGAAAACAGAAAAAGAAACAAAACACAGTAAATAACTAGTTATTGATTGTGTGTAGTTAGTCTCAACTTGTTCCGTTTATTAAGTCAATATTACGTTAAATTTGAAGAAGCAGCAGTAGTGTGTTAGTGGGTCAGAGTGCGACTTGTGACTTGTAACTTGCCCGCTGCCAACCTGTTAAAACATCCGTTGCAGAACGTCGATAAACAACTTTTGTTTTTTCTTGTTTGCAGATTTTTCCATTATGGCGTCCACAACGCGGTGTGTCGTGCTCACCGTGCTCACAGTTCTATTGCTCAAGGTCAGTTTACCCCCACCACAATTTTATTTCATATAAATTTTACCATTTTGTTTATTTTTTTTGACAGGAAAGTAAATGTGATGCACCACTAGCCGATTCAGCATCGCTTCCATTGGAACACAGAGCAGTTTATGGTCCACCCTTGTCAGGACCAGGATATGGCCCACCTTTGATAGGCGGAGGTAGTGGAGGTGGCGGAGGAGGCGGCGGCGGCGGTGGTCAAGGTCCTGATGATCCTTGGCCTCTCGCCACGCCTGACATGCCCAAAATCAAACACTTGCAAGTTCAATGTGAGAAGACCCACATGAGGGTCAATATTGAATTCGATAGACCTTTCTACGGAATGATCTTCTCGAAGGGTTTCTATAGTGACCCGCACTGTGTGCATTTGAAACCTGGTACTGGTCATTTGAGTGCTACGTTTGAGATCTTTTGAATAGTTGTGGTATGTCTTCATCGGCCAACCACAACGCTGCTAATTATGGAGGACCTACACCTAGTGGTTCCTATGTTGAGAATACCATCATTATTCAGTATGATCCCTATGTTCAGGAGGTGTGGGATCAGGCTAGGAAGCTGCGATGCACGTGGTATGACTTCTATGAGAAGGCGGTTACCTTCAGACCATTCCAAGTTGATATGTTGCACGCTGTCACTGCGAACTTCCTCGGAGATAATCTCCAATGCTGGATGCAGATCCAGGTTGGTAAGGGACCATGGGCCTCTGAAGTTTCTGGTATTGTGAAGATTGGTCAGACTATGACCATGGTCCTAGCTATCAAAGATGACGAGAATAAGTTTGATATGTTGGTGAGGAACTGTGTAGCTCATGATGGTAAACGTGCTCCTATCCAATTGGTTGATCAATATGGTTGTGTAGTAAGACCTAAGATCATGAGCAAGTTCCAGAAGATTAAGAACTTTGGACCTTCGGCGTCAGTAGTATCATTCGCCTACTTCCAAGCGTTCAAATTCCCTGATTCTATGAATGTGCACTTCCAATGTGTGATCCAAGTCTGTAGATATAACTGCCCAGAACCTAAGTGCGGCGGAGGTCATGGTGGTATTGAAGGAGGTTACGGCCCACCTGCAGGAGGTGACTTTGGAGGTGCTGGACATCAAGAATACGGACCACCTCCACTTCCTGAATATGGAGCACCTGCGGCTTTCCCAGATCCAAGACATCCTTCAGGACCAGCTGGAGCGTATTCAGAAAATAACCCGGATGTAGTACCACCACCACAAGCTCAAACAGGTGCAGCATCTTCAACATCCAACCCACCAAATGGACCTAGTCCATCATCACCACCTCCAGAACATCAAAACGCACCTGGTAACCAGAATGATATTCATCTACCACCCCCACCACCACCAGGTCATCGTGGAGTGTACCAAACAGTAAAGAGGAAGTCCACAGGTCATTCTGATGAATTTGAAGGTAACCTGGCCACCTTAGGCGGCAGACCTAGATCCGTAGAGAACCTACCAGCTGAATTACAAGGAGTACGTCGTAGACGTCACACCGATGGTCAAACCATGACGGTAACAGTCAGTAGAGTCTACAAACGTGAAGCCCAAGAGATGACAGATGTCAACACCTCAAGAATCATCCAAGTGGTAGCACCAGGAGATGTAAACTTCGCCCTGAACTCCCAGGCGAGTAATGAAACCGTCGTCATCCAATCAGCGTCCAGTGCTGACCCGGAAACTATCTGCATGTCGGTACCAAGTTTCGTCGCAGGACTAGTCATGCTCCTTCTGGTACTCATCGTTGCTTCTCTGGTGGCAGCCTTCTTGTTCGTGCGGGTACGCGCCATCGACCGCAAGGGCGCCGCCGCCTTCATGAGTGCGCGCGCGTACGACAACTCCGAGTTCGTGAAAGTGGCCAACTGAGAGGGCGCCACCCATCTACACCACAATCCAAGAATTATAAAAAAGAAAAAACGAGACATTTGATGCTGATGACGGTGTCATCACGAAGGTTCCAAAGATGTTCAGGTTAAGCGAGTGCGTGACACGCGAGAAATCATCCGTTTTTTTGACAACGCTCTTAATTTCACCACCCCACACACAACTACACTATTTATTTATTACACAAGACACCCCCTACCCTCTCCCGCAACTTCTTGCACAATATTAGCGCATTATTATTTATGGAGTATTAGCCTAACCTCATTGTAGTACATCCTAACCTCATTTATCACTCGTGCTTGCGACGCAAGCTTGCTGCGCATGAGCGCGTCGCAAGCATGATTCTTATTTATTATATTCTGCACCAACATCACACATTTACACACACACACACAAACAACACGAGGAGAACAACGAATATTTGTCTCTAAGTTATTTTTTTATATTAATAAATTAATATCGTTATTTATAAATCAATCGAAACATCGAAACACGAAATGTGTGTTAAATGCGAAACACATACACGATTGCGGCGCGCGCTGAATAAATCAAGAGAGAAACAGATGAAGAAGAAGAAGAAGAAGAGACATGAGAGAAATTCCTACCCGGAGGCCGCTCCACTGCCCCACATCTCGAACGCCATCGCGCGGAGCCGCAAACGACAACTAGTCTCATAGTTAGGATGTAGACCACATGTAAATAAGTGTGTATCGAAACGCTCGACGGCGAGAAGAAGTAAAGAAAAAGAATTTACAAGTTTCTGGGTGTTGAAACAAAAGAACGCGCCGCCATATTGCGTGCGCGTCTTCCGTCTTTTGTTCGCTTTTTGTTTACATGTGTTTTGCTGACGCCGAGTGATATAATCTTATTGCATAGCCATAACGCTTTAAACAAGTTAAACAAGACGAAAACGAAACGATTCAAAATATTAAAATTAATCATTCGAAAAATAAAATGAATATATAAATATTAAGATTGATAACGATGCGATTTTCATTTATTTCTATAGTTAGGAGATTTTTGGCTGTTGGTGTTTTTTGGTGGCACAGGTGTCTTTTTGTTCGGTTTGTTTCGAAAACAGTTTTTGGAAGCACCTGACCGCGACCGCGAACATTTTTGACCAGCGCACACGTCTGTTACGACGTGAAGCCGACCGAATCGAGTCGGGCGATACACATGAGAAGCAAAGTAGTTCAATATATGTAATCAATTAAGCGAAGAAACAGAAACAATTTCAAATCACACACACAAACACGATTCGTACTCGAATGCGAGTATGAAAAACTTTTTTTTCCATCGATATACCTAATATTTTTTTGTTTGTTTGTTTCTTTGTAAACACGCGCTAAAATGTACTGTATTATAACAATTTTTTATTTATTAATGTAAATAATTTCATGCCTTAATTAGGAGTATAAAATAAAGTAATTTACGGTCATCCAAGCGGCTGCATTTTATTGTTTTATTGTTTATGCTTTGTTCCTTACTAATTAGTAAACTCTGAGTAATGAATTTACCATGTTTGGTTTGGATGAAAGTATGCTTTGTGTGATTTTTAGGTTATGAGTACAAATCGCCATTTTATTCTACTTACTCACATTTATGGTTGAAAACTAATAAATTTTAACTTCAAACGAGTGTAACTTTCATTCTACTATAACGATTTAAACAAAATTTATGTCATTTGAAAGAAAATTTTATTTAGATTTAGTTTTCGTAAACCGCAAATCGCCATCTTTATTTTTGACAAAGTTATAGGGAAAAAATTAAAACAGATCATTTTTTTGTTTAAAATCTGATGTAATAGGTTGCATTTCAGGTTATTTTGACACATAACCTAATAAAAATCCCATTCTGATGGCGTAAAATGGCGTTTGCAATCAAACATCACAAAGAAAGTTCCACCCCTCGCGAAATAAAAGTTCGTGCATGCATTTTTAATAAATTCCGACGTCGGCATTCCCAGCTCATCACATCACACCTGTTGACACGCCGACAAGAGGTTTCCGTCGAGGGTTCGCCCTTGTGTTCGAAAGTACCGTTAGGTTTCCCCGCGGCCGGATATGAACGCGGCGTGTTTGCGGTGACCGTGGCAACGGAAGCGGGCGTCTGTTTCGATACCTCGGCGGCGGCAGTGATCACCATGGTGATGTGGACGCCGCCGCCGCTGTCGCTGTCGCTCGAAAATCGCCGATCTCGACGTCATTAGAATATGATATCGTTGATGTCACACCGTGTGGCGTAATGAGTTCGGCGGGCAGGTGTCGCGCGATTCCCGCCAGACCTCCACCGCCACCAACGAGAAGACTAACCAACTTGCAACAAGCTTTGAATACAAATTTTGCGATTTCATCCAGAGTCATACTCCCGAATGCAAATTCATAATGGAAAATCAATTTTCCACGCGCATATTAATTCTTAACCTTACATTTGCGCCTGAAACAACATTAGTATGCATATTTAGTTGCCTACCATATACGAAGTATTGTTCAGCGTGTTTTTAGCGCGTTTACATCGAAAAACATTAGTTACACGCACGATTTGAATACCAATCAATGTTTAATTAAACTATCTGTCAATTACCTGATGCCCGTCGCCATATTTGAACGTTTAGCGATGAGTGTGCAAGCGTGCGACGCAAACTATGCAGAATTTGTACCATAAACGCGTCCGCATAATAACGACGCTGATTAACGTACAATTAACACCATAACCTACAAATGGAATGTTACGGAATGTTCGCTGCGAATTATTAGCGCCGAACAAAACATTATTAAACATTAATTATTAATTAATTATATAGAAATTAAAACTACACTAATTATTCCACCATAAAACATATTAATTAAAATGAACGCTTAATGTTGCGTTTAGTAGCTTATAATTTGATATGAAATAGGCAACCAAATATACACAAACGTAAAAATGTGTTTTTAAAGATCCATGCGTCTTTCTGATCAAATTACACACGGAGTGAACTAGAAAAATTAAATTATGCGCTATGATTACACGCTTCCGTCTACGTTTACGCATTTAATGCTCAATTTTTAATTCCAACCGGCGTGGAATTACGGATAATCGTATGTAAGTGAGTCGTCATAGAGTCATAGTGAAGGGGAAACGCAACGAATAATTACACGCCTCACATCGACATCATCGCAGCGTTCCAGTTATTCTCAAGACCTAGACTTGCAGTTTTAAGTCGTCCAATGTTTCGACTCTCAGCCATCAGAATTGGAAACACGTCTATTAGTTACCTGCAACCGCAGGATTATATATTTAGTCGCGGCAAAAGTTTGAACGTCTCGAAGCCTCCGCAGAGCCCCCAGAGCGGAATTTGTTAGATTAATAAATATTTACGTGTGCTACAGGTGTGCTGGTAGCAGGTGCAATTAAAACCCGCTTCTGTGAGCAACGTTGATCGAAAAATTATTGCTTGGAGGGCGCCATCGAGACAAGAGGGCTTAGTGTTTAATTAAAAAACACACATAATGGGGGGCGGCAGCATTCTACGGACTCAGAATGACATTTTTCCTTTAAGTAATATCAATTACGTTTAATTACACTCTGAATACACTTAAAACTTTCTTTTCTTTTTTGGTTTTTTGCATTTTGTAGTTAAACATGTATTCTATAGTAAATCACACATAACCTGCTGGAAATTACAAAATTGTGTTTACATTCGGCTGTAAAACGTTTACACACGCTGTAAAATCCTTCGCAGACGCCTAAGTAAATTGATTCCGTCGAAATATCCGTTCGCAGGATGCGCCAGAGTGTTTACAGGACATCCACTTCCCTTTTACTGGCGATTCGAGGCGCCAAGAAGGAAATTCCGACGCGTGCAGATGAGAAAAGGTAAGAGGCGTGCGAGAACAGACAAAGGATGTAGTCGAAGTAGATGCCACTGCAGGCAGGATGCAGGATTACATTTAAACGTGTACACTAATCCTTTGGCCCAGTAGTGCTGCCGTATGAAGCTGGGCAGACGTGCTTTTACGTAGCGCGGGATTTCAGTCAAGTTTATTATCGACATTACAGTATTACGGCTGGGTTATAGGATTGCAGACATGTGCTGGGGGCGGTTATTGCAGGGTAAGCCATGTTTTGTGGTTGCGCAAGTGGTTAAAATACACTAAACAAGAAAACCAGAAGAGATTTTAAGGTTACGTTGTTTCTTTGAGGTTAAAATTGTCTTTTGTCTTGCTAAAGTTGTTTAACCTCAAAAATAAATTTTAAAAATAGTGATATTTATAGTTTTTCTGTTTCTCACCTCTAAATATGTAATGTAGTCTTTCTATTTATGGTTATCATCAAAGTCGCTTGACAAAAATAAACAAATATGTTGATAGAAATAATTTCAAAGCGTTTAAAACTATATACAACCAAAATTTCATATTAAGTTTGTTTTATTTTTCCTTTTACGTGATTTTTGGTCTATTTTCAGTGTAAATATGGCACTAAACAAGAAAACCAGAAAGGATTTTAATGTTATGTTATTTCTTTGTGCTTAAAATTGTCTCCTGAGTTGTTTAACCTCCAAAATAAACTGGAAAATGGCGATATTTATAGTTTTGTGTTTCTAACCTCAAAATATGAAATGTATTCATTCAATTTAAGGTTATCATCAAATTCGCTTGACCAAAATAAACACATATGTTAATAGAAATAATTTCAAAGTGTTTAAAACTATATGCAACCAAAATTTTATATTAAGTTTGGTTTATTTTTATTTTTTATGTGTTTTGGTGTATTTAAGATGGTAATAAGGCACTAAACAAGAAAACCAAAAGAGAGTTTAAGGTTATGTTGCTTCTTTTAGTTTCTTTTGTTGTCTTTTGAGTTGATTAACCTTAAAAAATATACCAAAAATGGCGATATTTATAGTTTTTGTGTTTCTAGCCTCTAAATATGTAATACCTTCATTCTATTTAAGGTAATCATCGAAAGTCGCTTGACTTGTTGAATTGTTGATGCATTTTTCGAAATGACAAAATCAATAGCGATTACAAATGCGTCTGTCTTTCACTTTACTATTTATGACTACATTTCCACCCCGATTCTACGAGTCTACGAGTTTCTACATTATCTATGTCGTAAAAATCTACTCATACACATCTAAAACACCGATAAAACTTGTGTCTGCATGTAATGATTGTAATAATGATGATGATTCACACAATCCCAATCACAATCACAATAAGAATGCCACCAGACTTTTTATTAGATATAATTTTTTTAGTTTTCTATTTTCTTTCACTTTGCATCATCCTGTAGATGTTGCAGTCTGCAGTAGCATTTTACGAGGCGGGTTTTATTGGGCGTGCAGAATCGGAATGTTGAATATTATCATTTTTATCATTTCCATCAGTTTTATATTCGCATGAGATGCGCAAACATCTAAGATTTATGCGGCTGACAATCGTAAATAATCATAATATAGACCTTGCGGATGACGCCGCAAAGAAATTAAACTTTTTAATTTTGTTTCTCTTTTTAACTTGCTGGCTGGTTTGAAAACAAAAATATAAATAAATTTATAAACGTCGGAATGATTTCATTGCACAAATGAAAACAAATGAAATGTTGTTTAGTTCGGAAGCGTTCCGGTCGCCATCTTGTTGTGTACCGGCTGGATAAGTATGCGTAAATGAATACAAATGGTTATTCTGCCGGTTGGTGTTGTTGGCAAAGGGAAATATCATAGCGCAGGGCGTAGAGAGTGAAAAAAATTACGACGATGCGAGCGAGTTTCGGTGAATTTCTTTTGTTACGCGAGGAAAACGTTGAACGAGGAAGAATGACAACTGCGATGACAGCGACGCGCTGACTCACGATTATAAAGTCTCGGTTACTTTTGCGTCGATTTTCTCATCGTCAAAAAACCAACGCGGACAATAAATTGCGTATTTTATGACGACTTGCAAGTTTCACAACTGTCGCGTAAAGCAACAATAAAATAAAATAACATTAAATAGAATAACTTAGAAAAGTAAAAAATTTAAAGAAAAAAATGATTTTTTATCGTTTTTAAAGCTTGTTAAACAAATTTTGTACTCAATCATAATCTGCTCACTTTGCTTGTAATATCCGCGCAATAAATCGTAAAATTTTATATCAATATGCAAATGTTGCAGGATGATGATGCGCAGGAAGCGATAATTCGACGATTCGCAAACAGAACAAAAAAAAAACGCAATAAAACATTCGCACGCAAAAAAGCAGCGCGTTTATTAATCCCGAATGCGCGAAAATAAAGATAAATATTTACGATAACGCGCCGTTATTGCTGTTATTAAAAATAATAACGCGAATAGACAACTTTTATATGCTGCTACTCAGCACAAGTTTTATGTTTTTATATTGCGATGAGAAAACTTTCAACTTAAATCGCGCGCAATTGAAAGAAAACAAACTTTTCGAACAAAATATTAATTTTCGCGTATTGATAAATAATGGCTTTATTTTATGTGATATTTTGTTTGGTTTGCGTTGGTAGTGGGGGCGTTTTCCTCTCGGCGTCGCGACGCGCCGCGTTCGTAGTCAGTGGCGGTCCGGCCGCCGTCGACGCGCCACCCTCAGTTCTCTCCGGCGGTGCGGTTCTACACCCCCGACATGCGTTCGCGTTGCGGCGCGTTTTTCGGTGCCGGCATCGTGTGGTGCCTGCTCGTCCTGCACGCGCAGGACGCCAACGCTTATCTCGACGTCTTTATCACGCCCGAGGAAGTTATGAAGTTATTAGGTAAGCGACCGCAGACAGCTTGCGGAGCTTTTACGAGCATTTTATATATATATGTCGCCTGTTATTAAACGTTGTCATCCTGAGAATTGCTCAAGTGAAGGGCCCTTTGAGTCGTTATCCTGGCCATCATCACAACACGTGTTGGAATTTGTTATTACAGTCGTAAAAGGCATAAAATAAACAAATATGTTGATGGAAATAATTTCAAAGTGTTTAAAACTATATGCAACCCAAATTGCATGAAAAGTTTGTTTTATTTTTATTTTTTCGTGTTTTTGGTGTATTTTAAGTGTAAATATGACATGTACTTTATGTAACACGACAACTTACACTGCGCCTGCAGCCGTGACATCAAACGCTTTTCCGCTTTCCATTTCGCATCAATTTTAGCGCACGCCGGGCGCGTAAATTGTCGTTCCAACGACTAAGATCTTTCGGAACTCGGTTCAAAACGCTCAAAACCGAAATGAAGCGTGTAAAGCGCTCTATTTATATTAAAAGCACGCAAATACTCTTGCTTTGACAAAAATTTTGAGTACAACCGTATGTTCTTCCGGTATTTGTATTATGAATCAGTAGATTTAATTTTACACAACATTTTCTTTAAAAAAAAAATTTTTTTTTTACAAAAAATGTTAAAAGTTGTAAAAAGCTTTTCATATTTCCATTTTAAATAGGTATCCTTCTATGCAACAACCCTTTGAATAATGCTTTGACCTACACAACAAAAAAAGTCTCAACATAAAGTAGCAAAAAATACGAATCGAAATAAGCTCGTGTAAAGCTCCATTTCATTCGCAAGTGCAACCCAACTCCGCCCACCAACGGACAGTGAAATATAAAAAATTACACGCGTTTAATTTTCGCTGCAGGATGCAGCGCGCAGGACGTTTGAAAGCGCAGTGGAATTGGAAATTGCACAAAAGGAGAAAATAATACCGACGCTCGCGCTCGGCGGCGCGCACGCGAAGGTACATTATTCAAGAGAAACAATATTAAAGCACTTCTTTGATGCTTCGTTTCATCATTGCTTCGTGCCGCATATTCTTATTTCTTCGTGTTGCGATGCTGCGGGAAGCGCACCGTCTGGAGACGTGAATTTTGACCAAAGGGATGCCGAGACGATGAGACGATTCATTAAAATTTATTCCAACACCGCGGAACGTAAAGCGGATTAGAATTCGATAAATATGCAACCCACAAAACACTTTAAATGCGTAATTGGTTGCCTAGCATTTAAAGCATAAATTCTGTTTGATATTCTTTCTTATACACTCGGTATAGTAAGATTTGTCAAGCGTAAATTTCGCGAAAATTATCCCTTGTTATTTTATTCAATTTAATTGAATATTCAACGCGTACGCTTGATCAAATATTTGATTTTCGAACATTTCGCCACTCAAACGTGCAAAAATCAATGTAATATCATATTATTATCATTATAAACGTTTCAGACTATTTATTTATAAACGGTATTAAATCTAATTTATTAAAATTGTTTTCCTGTGTTTTATTCGAAACTTTGAACGTAATCAATTTATCTGCGCTTGCATCACGAGTTTTAATTGAGTTGATCGCCTTCAGCCACCCCTTTATGTTTGGGGCGGCGTGGCGTCTGATGACTACGACGAGATTGAATTAAATTCGCGGCGCTTGATTTTGATTTATACAATGACATGAGACACTGTCTACAGTTTCTATACTATACTCTGTGTACGAGTATAGGCAACACAACACACACGCATACACATTGAAAGTAGAAGAGTAGAAGCTTAGGCAACGCAGTAAACTTCCATTCTCAGCTATTCTCTTCATTTCTCTGGCGCGCATTGTTGTCATCCGAGAGTTATTGCATCTTTGCCCTTTGTGCTCGCAAATGTCTCGAATTACTCGTCGTGATTGTTTCCACTTTTGCTTTTTGCACTCTAGTCTTCCAGTCTTGCGAAGATTTCATCGATAGTTGCCGGCAATAGATAGATATTGAGATAGTTTCGGGCATTTCAAGCTGTTACACAAAGAGTTCTGTTCGGAACTGGTCGAAATGGACTTGTTGAGTGGTTTAAAATATGTCACAGACGCGGAACATGTAGAAAATCGAGTGTAAAGACTAGTCGATTGGAAATTGTTGGAATTGATGGACTGTTCCATTGACATTTTTACGTTTCAGTTCATTTCAATTCAGTACAACTCAATAAATTTCAAAAAATCATACATTCATAACCCTCATAACTCAATAACAAATATTTTTATCCAACATTGTTAAATTCTATGCTTTTTCGTATTCACAAAAATTTTTCTTTTGAAATTTCAACATTTTGGGACATTTTCGGGCAGTTTTCTTTGTGTAGTGTTAACATTGACCCCACCTAACATCACGTCAAACATATTATGTACCTTTCTCTACCTGTTCGAGTCGTGTCGAGTTATCAACTTGTTAAACGCACACATTTCCCCTGCGCTCACGTAGTTATGCGCACAAAAGAATCCATTAACCGGCGGCCATTAATGTTTACTCAAACGCATAATATGCATAAAGTAAAGTCGGGCAAAGCGAAGGCGAAACGGACGCAAATGAACATAATGAATAAAATTGGTGGAGGCGCCGGCGACGCACAAAGTGAAACTCTAGTAATTTCTCAATAAAATTATTTTCTCGCTTTTAAGGTGTGTAATTACAGCCAGAATACACAATACAAGCATTTTTAGTAAAGGAAAATTCATAGAAATGTGTTTTACATATAAGAATATATAATAAACTAGCTTTTGCTCGCGACTTCGTCCCGGTAGTGTTTAATAAAAATGTAATTTGTTTTTACTCTCTTTTTCTAGACATAGTATGTGTCAATTCTATCAATAAGATTCGCAATTTTATTTTAAAGAAATTAATTATATAAAGAATTGGTAATAATGCACCTCAGCGCGCCATCTCGGATTCAACTACTTAACTATAACTATGATTGAATCTCAATGCCAACTTTTATCCTATAGAAAAGGGCTGTTTTAGGGTTTTCCTGGCAATTATTCAAATTTTTCTCGCGGTAAAAACCAACCTTGGACTTTAATGAACATATAAAAAAGAATTGGCCAAATTGGTCTATGCGTTGTAGAGTTATGCGCTTTCCAACAGATTTTGTGATTTATTTTTATATTATAGATTAATTTCCTGGTGTGTTGTGGATTTGTGGTTTAAATTGGGATTGAATTTGTGTTGAAACTTAGCTTGGGAGAGTTCATGCATTAAGCTCAGCGTATAATCCGCAATCCAAACAAATAAAACTTACTTTTGCGAGACAAACAATCGCGAGATAAATTCGAACTCTGAAAGCTTTCGGCTGCTTTCGATTATTTCACGCTTAAAAGGCAAGTTTAAAGTCTCCAACTTAATATGATTGTTTGCTCGCGTAACTCCAAACTCACGTTATATTGAAAGCAGCAGTTATTTTCCACACTCTGTAATTTAAAATAAATAATGAGCGCAAAAAGTGATAAATTTAATTAGAGCGTCGAAGCGTTTCACGCCTTTGTGACGCACGACGCGGCATCCCCGAAACGGATTAATTGGAAAGCAGAGCGGGCACAATCGAGGGGTGGAAAATGTCCGCTATTCTAATGAGCCAAATTGCCCTCAGGCGCTAAAAATTTCTCCAATTACAAAATCCTTATATATAACTTTACAACAGATAATCAGTAACAAAATAATATTAGTTTGTTACGAGAACTAATCCTAACAATTGACCTCAATTTCATGACTTTTATCCTCCTCTCTCCGGAGCCCTAAAAGTTTCACCAAAGTTTTACGAGTTTTACGCTCTCGCTCAGGCAATACGGGAAGATATTTCGGCGACACCCGTCTGATAATGAAAGACAAACAAATATAAATTCGAATGTGGCCACAGTGTGGGAAAAACAATGGAAACCATTTATGTTAGAATGTTAGACAAGCCAATGTTAGGCAGCAAGCACGATTCGCGATTCGACTCTTCAGAGCAAACATGCGAGTCGAAATATTCTACCCTTATACAACTTCCTTTTCCTCTTGTCGTTTTTATTCGTTTATTGGCTTTTTTCATATAAATACACAAAATTTTCAGTGCTTTTCTTTGTATTTCGACTAAATATAGTAATAATTTATTGCAGGACTTCAAGCGGAGTTATATTACGTCCGCGAGGGTGTCGTCAACACGTACGCACTTAATTTCGTAGTGATGATCCCGGCAAACATATCAGATCTACAATTTTCTTGGCAGAGCTTAGGAAAACATCCGGTAAGTAATAATTTTGGTTTTGGTTCTAATTTCGTAATTTACTAAATTCACTATCTGTGTTCCGCAAGATTGAGCAAATTGCAAAGTGCAACAAACCAGAATGCAGCCATATGTGTGCACACTGCGCACCAATGATAAAAGATGTGTATCAACTCAAGGGGTGGTTTGAATCGAACGTCAAACAGTCGCTACCCTCTGATGCCTTCGCAATAATCTAAATAGCTCTATGTCGGCGGCATGAGATGAAAAGCGAAATGTGCAATTTAAAGAACCAAAAGAGGAAAAAGTGTCAAGCACCCTCATATTAACAACCCCCACCCTTATTCCACTCGCATTGACATTAAAAGACAAAATTCAATCCGCAAGAGACTGAGGTGTCACCAAGGGTGTTAATAAAAGTGCACATCTAAGGGTAGTTTTTTTCGGATTAATTTTTAGTGAAATTACTTGCCAATTAGGAATTAATCTTAAATCTAAAGCGAAACCCTGATGTGGGTTCAATTTTAGCTTACAATGGCCGAAACTAAAGGGTAGCGAAGGACTTCAAGGTCCTTTAATCCCTCAAAGTTGCGGATAGTCATTCATTTGGTCATTTCGATGTAGACGAACCGTCCGAGTAAGCAATTTACACTTTAACAGGGTTATTAATACCCTAATCTACTATCACTCATTCTATGAGTTGTAGATACAAATTTTGCGCATGCGTATTTCCGTAATTCATAAGTTTATTGAAATTTATGTGAATTTTCAATTAAAACGGAGACAAATGCGAGTCAAAAACCGGAAAACCGGAAAGTGCGAAGGTGGAAGACGAGATATCGCATTCAGCGCCTCGTCGCAATTAGAATTGTGCGAACTTTGCGCGCGCGCGCGCGAATAATAAAGTTAGATATTAATTTCGACGCTGGCGCTGGGGCGGAAAGTTAGGGGCGCGAGTTAAATTGGCAAATTTCACCATTCTAATCACAGCGTAATTCAAATCCTCACTCACTACGCCTGTGCCTGCAATTTATTGTTCGCGACTAAATTGTGACGTCATTTGTTTCTATGCGCGCGCGGTTTGTTTACGTCCATTTCACTAATAGATTTATTCGACAATCAATTAAATTGCTGCAATTCCGATAAACACCAGCGTGAGCTCCGGAGCACGCGAAGCAATCAAAGAACAGCGGCACGCAATCGCAAGTCTTGGGAAATTGAACAAAGTGGACAAACAGAACACTCTGAAGACAAAGTAACGTAATGTAAAGCAAAGAGAATCGAAAATTGGAAAATGTAACAGGAATGTAATTTACGGACCGGAAACATTTCTCACCCTATGTTACAAAGCATATACTAGGAAAGTTGTGTAAGTGTACAACTTAATTTTTAATTATAATTACAGGCAATTACGTTAACTGCTGTAATTATACGTCATGTCAATCAATTTCTTTTCAATTCCTGAATATTTTTCTTGTGTTTACACTGAAAGGTGTGTTTTTATTTGACAAGTTGTTAGTGGTAGTCGATATTATTTCATTTTCCGATCTTGTTTGCGAGTTCCCCACACCAAACGCAATTTAATTAATGCGTTTCGCCGAGAAAGTGCAGAATGTCCATGCGGTCTCAACCACGATAGGCTACCACTAATACAACGACGCTAAATGACAAATAACCGCCAGATACACGCTCGCCCTTAGGCAACCTGGGGCACAGGACCGAAATAATGGCGCGTCCTGGCGACGCAATTACGATTGCCGCCGTGGTGCCGCCCGCGACACTTTGTTACGCATACAAATTACAACAACAGACGTGTAACAAGATGAACTGCTCCAGCAGATATTATTTCATCTCAGATTCGCACAAAACAAAATATACGCTCGTTAAATTGAGTGATTATGTGTTAACCGAACAGATTTTGTTCGGGAAATATTATTTTTGATATTAATTTGTCCATTTCAATTCAATATTGTTAGTGATATAGCTTATTGGCTATTGAAACGCTGTGAATATTCATTTTTCATCCAAATTGCCATTTTATGGAATATTGGCAATTTCAGCGCATTGAATGTGAATGTGGAGTGAATGACAGCGTTTTGAATGGAAATCGCGCGGCGTCGTGTGCAATGATGGGGCGCGTTCGCGAATGTTTTCGGGTTGTTTACACTGTTCACCCTCTTGCACACCCTCAACACGGGGTGAGTAGGGGGTGTAAAGTGTAATTTGAATCGTATTTGCGAGTACGTTTTACGTTTGACTGATTTTAAAATTGTCTCATAAAATATCCTCTTTTGCAAGTTAACAGCGCGAGTTTAAAAACAAAAAAGTTAAAATTTATTTATTTACTTGCTTTGGGCGCGATTCGTCCCGGTAGTGTTTAATAAAAATGTATTTCGTTTTTACTCTCTTGTTTACTCTAATAATTCACTTCAGCGCTCCATCTCGGATACAACTATTTAACTATAACAATGATTGAATCTCAATACCAACTTTTATCCTATAGAAATGGGCTGTCTTTAGGGTTTTTCCGGCAGTTATTTGAATTTTTCTTGCCGGAAAAACCATCCTTGGACTTTAACAAACATTTTTAATAAAAAATTGGTTAAATTGATCAAGGCGTTGTTGAGTTATGCGCTTACCAACAGATTTTGCGATTCATTTTTATATTACGAAATAATTTTAACTTTTTTGAAAAGTAATAAAATTTATAATTAATATTCATAATTTATGCACCATTAAAGTTTATTTTTTATTGGTGTCAGTAGTTAAAGGTTGTACTCTACCCTAATGAATATTAATGAAGGGCGCAGCACTAAAATACCAATATGCATTGTTTAGACGCGTAATAGCAGCAATCAAATACGAATTGCTGTCGTTACGGGTCTATCGGAATATTAGTTAGGGTCGCATACTCGCATGAAACCCACCCCCGCGCAATCTAACATCGTGTCGCATACATCAACCTAGTCTATCTATTCTCCATCCCTTTTACTCTGCAAATGCTATCTCGTTCCGATTACTGTGTTGCCGTGATGCTTTTACATCCCTGTTTGCTCTTGCCGCCCCCACAACTCTTACGCCATACGTTACACGTCCGTTTGAGTTCTTGCGCTCGTTTTGTTTTCGTTTTCTTGTTGCCGGCGTGTGGTAGCACACTGCTGGCAGACATGGAGACTAAGTTACAGACGGCGGCGGCGGTTGGCGGTGGTTGGCGGCGGCGTATGTGTGCTTGGCCTGCTTGTAGTTGTGTCGATTGCACGTGACGCTCGGAATGTTCGGCATTCAATTAAAGTTGTTGCTTGTCACCGACGCGTCGAGATTTGTCTGGCCGCGTGCCGCCACCGGCCGGAGCCAACCCCCAACGGATAGAATTTCTTGCACAAGGGGAAAAACGAGCCTCCGAGTGATTGTAAAACGATCCGTTGAGAAAGAAATAAATATCAGCACAAAAACGCTAAAATTACATTTTCTACATTTCTACACAAACAAAATAAATAATATTTTACACCATGCAGAGATTTAATAACTAAATCTGCTATAAATTATATTTTCCTACCAAAATTCATCCCATAACCAAACAAAACAATTTTAAACCCAATTGCATTGATGTGCATGTCGATTTGCGAATACTCGTGCTAACATTACTCATTCGCGTGCAGAATGTACAGAGAGGCGGTACACGTATTAAGCTGCTCGTTGCATTCAGCCAGCGCACTGTGCAAACACACCGTCCACATCGCAATCCGATCGATCAGGAGTACATCACGGATCGCCTTCAATCATGCTTTTCATAACGCGCACTCACTCGACGTACATGCGCCCAGCGCCCGCAAGGGTCATAAATATTTCAATATAGAGCGAAATTCATAAAAAACAACATAAAACAAAAAATTGCAATTTTCATTTCATACACAAATTGGAAAAAAGTAACCAACAGCAACGTATATTTTATAAAATGAATGCGAATGAAATGTCGTTTCATTCCATTTCGTCCACTCGAGATCTCGCGATTTGATTATGAGCGTCAAAAGTGTCAGAAAATGCGATTTGCGAGCAGTCAATCACGTGTTACACTTTGCAAAATGATAAAATACATTAAAAAATATCGTACATATGCTGAAAAATAATTTTTTTAGAAAAAATATAATTTACACTCGTTTTTAATTCGCGAAAGCTGTAAAATTTTCATTTACGACATGATTACAAGCTTTTCATAATTTTTTTAATGATTTTTTTATTTAACAAGTACTAACTTGGTCCTTTTACGATGATTTTTAATGGTTTACCGGTTGAAAGCTGAGTTAAAAGTACTTTCATACCCGTCGCCGTTTGACGTTTCGAGCTTTTCGAACATTTGAACTTCATAATTGCCTCATTCAGCAAACCCTCCACCGCCCCCGCCGCTCCTCGACGCAGTCAAAGTTGTCGTGGTGACGACGACAACGTCGACGACAACGTTGCACTTGCAAAATGTAAAATTAGTCGAGTCGTTTCTCACATTTGCACTCATTTGCCTACAATTTGCCCGCATCTGCATCGCTACATTCAAGCGTGGTTTATTAAGCGTCGGCATGAAACTGCACAAAACTGGAATGAGATTAGTCGCACAATATTCACTGTACTCGCTGTGCAAGTACAAGAGTATATTATGTTCGGCTGTGTCCTCGAGGATAATGTACAATGTAAAATGTAATATATACAGGGTGTTTTCATATCAAGAATAAATTAAATTTAATTTTGAATTTATCACTTTGTATGTAAGTTATTAATCTACTAGTAGAGCAGCTCTTTGTGTGTGCAAGGGTAGTTTTAGTGCTCAAGAGATTCAGTGCGCTAATTTACGAGGATGTGTTATAATCGCGACATTATCTGGCGGGTTTAATGTAGATGCATCTCGCAACCCCAGGAACGCGATAACCCGTTAACGTGAGAGGTGAGACACATGAGATGAGTGAGTTTTAAGTGATGATTAATTATACACAGGTATTCTATATCTAGTGCATTAAAGTTATGGTTTTTAATGCGTAAAACTACAAAAAGTGCTATTAGCTTGGTAAAAGTAGTATTTTTATAAGTAAAGACATTTTAAGGGCAATATAAAAGTGCACCCCTTGTCATAGCATATTCCAGCCTCGCTGAGATTTGCGTGATTCACCCTTAGTCGCAAAGACGCACATAAAAGACGATTAGATTACGGCTTTTATTGCGCCACTCGAGACTACGACGACGACAACGCATCCGAGACATGCGAAACAAGATGGTTGAAGAAATAACAGCAAACTGCAACCGGAGCACAAGTGGGCGCAACCGGAAGTTGGCAAGAAGTGGCCAGCAAACGTAAATCACGTCACAAATCGTATGATATCAGATGGAGATGTTGACAGAGACAAAGATGCACTATTTCTACCCTTAACGAAAAAATGCGTTTTTAATCAAAATTTTTGATTTTCTACAATGAAATAAAATAAAACATTCAATTTTTGTAGCGTATTCGTAGTAGGCACTTACAACTACGTAGTATATTGATTTTAGTCAATGTTTAATGACCGGAAGTATCAGTATACTCGAGGCTGTTATGATACGAGCAGTGAGCACGTCGGAAAAGTCGGAAAACGCTCGGAAAAGCTCTGGGAATACGCCGGCAAAAAGTGCCCACTCGCCGAGTGCATTCTACTCGAAGTTTAACCGGCTACTCAGTCATATTTTACAGTTCACTTCTTTACAATTTTATTATACAAGGTGTCGCACTAAATTTTCGAAAATTAATAACTAAAAAGCAAAAAATTTTAATATTTTTTTAAAATCTAATAAAAAAATATTTTACAATTTATTACTATTTTTATTTAATTATTAATGTGTAGTATGATTGAGTACAATCATGAGGTCATACATTTGGGAGTTGATGGAGACCCCGGAGGAGAATTACGCTCCCCTTTTGTGCTAATCACCAGCCGATCGAATCAATCATCCGCATGCACGCCGCCAAAGCACACATTGCTTCAAGGGGTGTAACTGGGGGTGTGGGTGGTAAAAAAATACATTTACCACAAGTCGCCATTTTGCTTTTGCTGTAAATTAAAAATTGCTTGCGTTTGCTTTCCTGCTGGTAAATATACTTGTACTTATAATTCATGCATCTCGCGTCAATTTCTTAATTAAAGCGTTCTGCAAACACAGAAACAAACAACTGCCGGAATGACGAGTGTAAAGGGGGCCGGTTTGTTTTTCCGTTTGCTGGTCTCCATTCCTAGTACGAGAAAGTACACTGCGTTCACTTTCCAGCCGCTCGGCTGACTTTCTACGCAATTTCATGAAAATTTCCGGCGCTTTCATGCCTTTCCTTAATAATTCCTTGGGTGCCTTTATGTTCGCCAACAGCTTTAACGTCCGCCGCCATTTTCAACGGTTAAGATTATAATTTATTCATTTGATGTTTGAAATTATGAAATTATGATAGCACCCACATTTGAAATTATTTCCGTTACACACGTCAGTGCAGTAAATATCATTTATGAAGCATTGATTTCTTTTTGCGACGTTAGACGTGGCAATAACGTAACTTTGCAGGTAATAATCACTCGACATTCGTTTTCATTTTGTCTTTGGCGTGGGTTGTTAAAATACGCAAAATACGAAAATTGCCACTCCGGCTGAGCGCATTCCGGACGCCAATTATGCGATATTGGTTACCACGGGTAACCGGTCACGAGCTCGGCAGTCGGCACAAATAACGCGAATATTGCGCCGATTGCGCGACACAAGAGCACCCCCAACCCTCGAAAAGCCTCGCAATGCGTTTATTGCTGCGCTAAACGCTCGCGTTCGCTCGAAACGCATGAATAACTGCAGCGAAATTTAAATTGGTACGTGCAACGCGCTGCAATTTCAAAAGAAATTAGTACAAAACTAATTTTAAAATGTTTCAGCAACACATAAAATAATATTGTATTTTTTATTACTATTTCAAAAATAAATAAAAATAATATTACCTGATGAATTGCATCAGCTTCAAATGAAATGAAATGTTCAAAAATCATTTAATGAATGTTGGTATTTTATTTCGTTTGATTTCGTGTGATCACGGTAGCCCAACTATTTTCACAAAATCGCCGAGGGAGTTAGTTTGCTGCGGTTTCATCAACATCCCTACATCCCCAATGCTCGACGTTTCGGCATCACATAGAAAATCGCATGACTACGTGCACAGGACACTACAGACCTGTATTAAACAAAAAATCAAAAAATTAAAAAAAAAATTTTGAACTCAATAATTTACTGCATAATATATTATTTTTAAGTTCTAAATGATATTTTAATTAATTAATTGTTTTTAATAAATACGTGCCTGTATCAATGTTGCATGTGTAACAACGCAATCATATTTCGCTTGACTCTGAAATAAAAGCAAAACCCTGAAATATAATTGGAACGAAATACGAGCTGGTGTTATGCATCCATCCAGAAACATGTGATAACTGCCTGAAAAGGCTGAAAACTACCCGCGAAAATAAAATTCATGTCTCTGTTTCTTTCCCGAGTAAAATATTCGCCGTCGTTATAATTTAAATCACAAACTTGTTCGTGAATACGACGACTGCGCCTCAATTCCAATTCTGTGGCTCGGCACCACACACAGCGCTATTCATCTTGTCGTAAATTGTATATTGGTTTGTGTCTACATGTGAGGAAAAAGCTCGACTTTCACAACTTCGCAAATTCTATCCAAGTTGCAACCGAGTATAAATTTTCTAATTTTCTCAATGGTCGCGTACTGAAAACTATCCGCTCCAGGGTGAGATGTGGAGGGTCGGTGTAATTTTCAGGTGTTGCCATCTCGTGCAACTTCTCGCATTAAACTGCATTCTAAAACTCGTGCGCACAAAACTTATTTAAAACAGATTTATCCAAACTCTCAGGCAAACTAAACTTGTGAAGCTTTGACATCGCTGGAAAAGTAAAACATTTTAACAAGTTTTTATATGTTTAGATCTTGGATATTTACAAGTTGTTTACAACAAAGTTGTAAACTGCATGTAAATATGTGACGCACTAAAGTCAAACATTTCCTGTCTGACTGAACGATAAATACTCGTACTCGGCAACTTGTGTTACATTGTACACTTGGTTGCCTATGACTGACTGAATTCAGCGCGATCCATTCACGTTTATTCAAATTAGCAATTCGAAGCGATTTATCGAGGGGGTTCTGAACCCATGTGATAATACGCGTGAATGACTGAGGATATACATATTCCTCTGTTCGAGTTCAATGGATATTCCTTAATTCAATCCCGGAAGTCACGAGTTGGAGTTCTGTGTGCATTGACTGGTCCCTGTGCCGCATAATATTATCAGTCTTTGGTGTGATTTCAGCTTCCCTATGCGCTGACGGTGACATACGATGGGGAGGCGGGTGCCATGTTGCCTCCTCAGATGAACATCTCATCCACTGGGATGATTCCAACCTCTGTTCAGTCATTTAGGTTAGTAAAACATATTTTTTTATGGAAAATACTTACTTATTTTTGTTTTTCAGGGTGCGTTTATTATGCACAGGCCTGAAAAGTGCTGAAACCGAAGTTCAGCTGTTGTTAAACGTCTCCACTTCGAATCGCTATCACAACAACACGTTCCTCCGCTTTCGACGCAACAAAATATGCCTGAAAGGTAAACACACTCCCCACTTACATGCATATGCAACTAAGCATACATATTGTAAACTTGGTTGCCTACATTAACACTAAACAATTCTGAATTTATGAATTAAACTATCCGCTGGTTACGCAGTCGCACACAATGCATAATGCATACGTACAATTTGCATATACACCCTGTAGGATGCCGTCGGCGTAGATATACTTGTCGGTTGTAGTTTGGTGTAGTACATCCCCGAATTAAATTTAATTAACACCGCACAGCATGCGCACGTTGTCGTCACGTTTCCTTACGTTTTGTTCGCCTGCGTCGGCGCCATTTTGTTTTGTTGACTTCACATTTGTGTTTTGTTTCGAACTCGCATCCGCTTCCGTGCATCCGGCGTTAAAATAATTTCCCACCCACTTAATAATCTCGTTAGGAGCGTCGGTGAAATTACAAGATGATTACGCGCACGCCGTCAACTTCCCCAAACCCCCAACCCTCAAAAAACAAAAGCAGGAAGCTTATAATTTCGAATTTTACTCTCGAGTAATTAGTTCATTACAACGGCGTGCAAAACCACATCAAATTAATGAACCCCCATAATATGCGTAGTAAAATATAATCGCATGATTTTCACTTCGCATAATTCACAATAACTATGGTGTTTTTTATTTTAAATTGTTGTTGTGATTACAAGAGGGATGAATTAAGCATTCAACATCCGTTTTGCTAATGTACTCTTTACGCTGGCGATGGAAATGGGGATGTTTTCCACTGAACATTGTTTACATGTTTACCTTCATGACTCTGCACCCTCGAGGCGGAAATTAAGCAAAGCTCGGGAAAACAAAGCCGTGGAAAATATTTACAGCATTATCATCCTTTAAAATTATTTTTTAGCTCCAAGGGATGATATATTTTTTGTATTCGTTTGATTATAGCGTTCGACAACATCCTCAAGTTGATTGTTGACATGAATAATGTTTGTTTAATATTCATTCTCTTTTTTTGCGTTTATCCTTTGCCTTCGCTTTCCATCCATCAAGGAATATCTATACCACTACGTAGACAGATGATTGACTAGCGCCAAGAAAGGGGCGGGCTGGGGGACGTAAAAAATTGATGTAAAACTGATCTACTCACATCCCTTGCCTACCCTTGTGTGTTTTGGGAGTGTTCCGATGCTTGCTTGCTGGAAATCTTTGTGATATTGAAAGAAAATTGTGTTTGTCTGAGGAATATCCATTAATATTGACGAGTTGTTTTGCGCCCCTGCAGGCGTGCGACCGCCGACGGAGACGCTCCGCCTCGACCCGGACACACTCACCAGCTCCACGCACTCTCTCTATGTGGCGGCAGCGTGTGCTGTTGGCATGATTGTTGTCGTCGTCGCCACAACTTCTACTATATGTATCAAGGGGAAGAAATTACCCACGCAGGAACCTAAGTACGTATTTATGCATCTATAATATAAAAATGAATCGCAAAATCTGTTGGTAAGCTCATAACTCAACAACGCCTAGACCAATCTGGCCAATTCTTTTTTTTAAATGTTCGTTAAAGTCCAAGGATGATTTTTATGACGAAAAAAATTCGAATAATTACCGGGAAAACCATAAAGAAAGCGATTTTCTAGAGGATAAAAGTTGGCATTGAGTTTTAATCACAGTTATAGTTAAATAGTTGAATCCGAGATGGCGCGCTGAAGTGCATTATTAGCAATTCTTTATATAATTAATTTCTTTTAAATAAAATTGCGAATCTTATTGATGGAATTGACACATATTATGTTTTGAAAAAGAGAATAAAAACGAATTAATTTTTATTAAACACTACCGGGACGAAGTCGTGGACTAAAGCTAGTTGTGTATAAATTTAATTGTTTGTAGGCAGATAATATATGCAACCCTACTAACACCAAATAAAACAATTTTTACCGAAAGACGTCAGAAAAGAAAGCAATATGTTAAATCATGAACAAAATGTATCTTTTTTGTGTGTTTTAATAAATAATTCCTTTGCAATGTAACTAGAAATAGCTTGAATTAAAAATAAACATTTTATGTTATAGTTACATGTCAGCTGCATACGACTGCAATCAACATGTGTTCGTGCGCCTTGGCACCGGAGGCGGTTCAACAATCGGACGCACTCCCAGTGCCGACAGTGGAAGTTATGCAACTATCGCAAGTATCCACAAATCGCCACCCTCTCCATCTCCGTATGCAACCAGTGACGCTCTCAGAGTCTCCTATTATGCATCTTCCCAAGTTATGTTACTATCACAGGTAAGATTAAAAAAATAATTGTTTAAAAATGTGAAATATATGTGAAAAGCACTCCTGAAAGGCGCAAAGTATAAAAAATGTAAAAAACATAGAAGACGTGTGCTTGGCTACAGGAAAAGTGTTTCTTCCTGCCGTATTCCCAGCGCGGAATACATTAAAAGTGCACCGAGCGTACCTAGGGGTTGAAACGTTCCAGTCCTACGAGAGGGCAAAAGCCAGCACCGCATCGGGATGAAACGTCCGCCGATTATCATAAATTTAGAGCGTTGCGAGCATGTCGAGGGTTTTTTTGATTGCATCAAAATCGCATTAGCCTGTAAAAAAAGTTTTCAAGACTTTCTAGACTACGGGGTAGTTTTATACGTGCATGTAAGTCTTGATCATGATCTCAGTTTTGTTTGCGGAAATCTCATTTTAGCGAGTCTATTAATTCGGGGTGTTGCTTCCCCTTCAAATCCCAAAACCTATCAGCCATTAGTTGCGGCTTTTGCTTTTACAGTTTGTGAATGAATGCGCGTTCAACATCTGCATCGACATCCTTCACTTTCCACCCCCCGAGATAATATAATCGAAAATTTTCCTCAAGTTGCACTTATGCGCGAAGTAGATAACGCGTAAAAACAAGGACGCATTGAGATGAACCGAGACGCGAATCGAAAACCGAATTGCAGCATTGCATGTCTATGTCATCCGGGCCCCGCACGCGTCTAAAGTAAATACGTAGTCCGTCCCGCGGGATTAACACCGAGACCCCAGTATCATCCCGCAGGAGACTGGAGGAGGCTTAGTCATAGCCCAGAGCGCATTCAATTTACTATCCGAAAAGGGGACGAGCGTTTTCACCGATGTTAAACTAGTCATATCGTACGCAGGGGTGAATTCTTCGCATCGTGAGCACTAAATACTATTAAACCACTGCGATTACCCTTAATGCGCATTCAAATTAACTAAGCAAGCACTGAAATGTTGGTTGCCTAAGTTAAAACCACGTTTCGTTTTATTTTTCTTTTAGCTAGTACTGCAAGATCCACGAACTTGTGACCCAACAGACCGAGTGCGCGCTCTATCCGTGTCGGGGACTAGCATCAGTCTACAAGAGGTCACACAAGAGGGCACCTTCGGACAGGTGTACCGAGGAAAACTGCGGCAGCAGGAAGCCGTGACGATAAAAACCGTTACAGGTAAGTTAAACGCCAAATCGTCAAATCTACAATCACATCGTAATAATCTTTCCGATTACAGATGCTGCATCCAAAATGCAAGTTTTAATGTTCCTCGCTGAAGGAATGATGTTGTATGGGATGTCACACAAAAATGTGTTGCCCGTCATCGGGACTAATGTAGACGATTCAAGGAAACCCTTGCTTGTCTACCCATTCAGCAATAAGGGCAATTTAAAGAGGTAGTCATTTTTTTTTCTACTTGGAAAACTTCATTTCGCACTTTTTCAGCAATAAATTTTTAGCAAAAGTTGAACTTTTATGAGATAATAAAGTTTTTCTGTTTGTTTGATGTTTGGGGTAGATTTTTGGTGAAATGCCGCCAAAGGGATGAGGAATTGTATCCGCTATCGACGCAGAGTCTCGTCGACATGGCGATACAGATCGTCCTCGGGACGATGTACTTGCACGCGCAGTTGGTGTGCCATAAAGACTTAGCTACGCGAAATTGTGTGTAAGTTGGCGAGAAAGAACAAAACAACAAAGACATAAATCAAATAATTATTTTTTTAAATTTAGGGTTGATGATAAATTAAAAGTGAGGATCACGGATAGCGCCCTATCACGCGATCTCTTCCCCGGGGATTATTCCTGTCTGGGGATAATGAGAATCGACCGATTAAGTGGCTCGCCATCGAAAGTTTAGTGAACAAACAATTTTCGGGGGCAACTGATGTGGTGAGTATTTTTCGCAAAAAATCAGACAATTTCCCTTTCCGCAATAAAATTCAACTTTGGGTTTTTATTACCCAAAGCAAAAAAATAGTGTAACTATTGTGTCATTTTAGAAAAATGCTTTGACACCGCCGAAGGGAGAGTGAAAAAGTGAAAATCACAAATGAAACAAAAAATAAATGCCTGCAGTCGTAAAATTTTAGGGTTTTGACTTTCGGTTTTACATTTAAAGCGAACTATTCTATTCAAATTTATTAAGAAGCAACAACAGCTTTTTAATTACCGAATAGAAGACGAATAAAAACGCGAACATAAAAAAAGCGCGTGTGGCGGCCGCGCATGAAGAGTTTTTCGTGCGTTGACCTTTAAAGCGTGGCGAAGAGGTCGAGAGAACTAGAAAACGTAAGAATAGAGGAATGGCAGATTGTAACAGGAAGAAACATTACACATACAAACAAAATTGAATAATAAAAAATATAACACGCATCAACTACGCAAAATGATGGAAAATGTTTTTACATTTAATCAAGTTTAACGCGTATCCAAAAGAAGAAAAGCGTTTGATTGAAAAACGGAAGTCAAACACGTACAATTAACATCTTGTCATAATGCCATCAACACGTCTTCTTACTTACAATTCTTACTTACTGCTCGTTACCTCGCGTCTCTCGACTCTTTCAGCGCTTACAGCTCTTATTATTCTTGTCTATTTACAACCGCCACTGGAGACGCGAAAGCAAACGCAAAGGCCACGCAATTTTTTCCCAAACGCATCAACCTTTCCTTCACGTTTCCTTCTCATTTATTCCACGTGGCCATGTGAGATGTGACTAACACTAAGTACTCTAGTACATACGTGAAAAAAGCTCGTTCCACACGAAGAACTACACGAAATGAGACTCAATGTTACACGGTTACATTGATACTTATTCCATATACAGAGCGTGACAAATTTCGCCTTTCTGCCACACTCTGTATAGTGAATGCGAATGGAAATGTGTGAACACACAAGAAAGATGTTGGTGTGTTGGTTTGTCGGTCGGTGTTCGGTTCCGTCCATCGAAGGATCATCGCATTGCCATCGCATTACCATCGCGTATCGCATCGTGTGAATTGGATTCGAGCGCAAAGAGCGCGGCGCGGATGAATAAAAAAAAATGAACGGCCGACCACAAGGCTATTTTGGGTGAATAACCTTCGCCAACTAACAAACTCAAACTTTAACAACACTTTAACAACATTTTGCTGCCAACCCAAGACCACGGCTCGCATCTGATCATCTAAGATCGAGCGAGTCGTAAATCTAAAATTTAATTCAATGCCGAAGAGAAGCAAAAAACCATCGACAAGAAATTTCGCTTTAGCACTTCCTGAATGCGCTCCAGTCAAAACTTTTTACGTTGGATATAATTTAGTTGTAAAAGTTGCAAAAAAGTCGAAATTATTACGTAAAAAAATTTTTTTCATATAAAATTTATTCTAGTGGTCATTTGGTGTGGTCCTATGGGAATTAACCACTTTAGCCCAGCAACCCTATGATGAAGTAGACCCCTTCGAAATGGCAACCTGCTTAGCCAACGGCTACCGCCTCCAACAACCAGTCGGATGTCCTGATGAACTGTAAGTCTCTGAAAAAAAGCAATAAATAATTAAAAGTTTGTTAAATTTTAAATTTGATTAGTTTTGAACTCGCAGAGGGCTCAAAGTTGAGTTTTCAATCAAATTTAAAGTAGGTGCACCCTGCACACACGCATACACACTCCGAAAACTGTTCTAACTCAATTAGAAACTTGCGCGGAACGCGTGTATGGCAATTAACTAAATGTGTAATTTCGCAATTTCGTAATCGTGGCGCCCATTTCTCCACCCCATAGGTTCGCCGTGATGAGCTGCTGCTGGCTGCACAATCCGAACGAACGGCCCAACTTCGCACAACTGCTCGCCTACTTGCAGGACTTTCACACCGCCCTCGGGAAATACATTTAGAGTGTACGACGTTGATAAGCAAACTTAAAATTTTACTAAAAACTTTGTGTCAACAATTTATTTGTTTTTTGAAGAGAAAAGCGCTGAAAACAACACAAATCAAATGTTCTTGAGAATAAAAACTTTAATTTGTGACACCTGAGCGCTTAATTCATGAAAGTCATGAATGTAAATGTGATAACTTGTATTAATTAAGTAAAGTAAGTGAATTTCACACAACTTTTACTGTATACATACCTAATGTACTTATGTTAAGTTAAATTTAAATTCAAAGTCAACGTGTTAGATTTATTTATTTATGTGCAGTAGATATTTGAATAAGTTTCTCGTTAGTTCGGAATAAGCAGGGTTTGTTTAAGACGTTTAAACATTGTAGGCACAATTAACTAAATACTAGTAGCGTAAATGTTTCGACGTGTTTCATGTTTCAAGACTATTGAGGAGAACGGGATCAAAAATTGTGACTACTGATACAATTAAACTACAATTAAACAGTAATTAATTATTATTAAGTGTTATAAATTGTGAATTGCGTCAATTTGTAAGGAAAAACAACAATCGACAACTTTAGGGCTTAGAAAAAGTCTTCAGATACTAAAATATAAAATTTTAGAACTAAAATTAGTTGCGTTCGGTGTTTGTACCGCAACTCAATGCATTGGCCAATATTTCTGTAATGAACACTGCCAATTTTTTTAAAGATACGAGTAGAAGCAATTGTAATCAAATGAATAAATTTTATTTGTTTCTCAATTAATGATCGCTTTTCGCGTGCTGTGAGTGACGTTAAACTGAAATTGCAATTTCGATTTGCGAGTTGCAAAGCGCAGATTAAGTGGCAATGAAAAGCACCTCGGAGAGAATTAAAAACAGAAAGAAAAAACAAAACGCACTGACTGACTGAACAATGAGCGCAATTTTTCAGTTTAATTAGATGTTAAATGTGCATTTCCTCTCACTCTCTACATGTTTCAACTTTACTTATTATGCAATTACAAAGAAATCTTCAACTACAAAAAAGATTTAGACAAATTTATAAACGAAAAATATAATAAATTATTTATATAAGAAAAGTGTACGAAAAATAATTTAATGTGAAAGATGAAAAGCAAAGGAAAAATGTGAACAAGATGTATTTGTATAATGAAAAAATAAATCCGGTAAATGTACGAAAATAAAACCGCCGACATTATTTTTTACCCGCGTGAAACGTGTGCGTTCAAAAGAGTGTTTCGTAAATAAACGAATTAAAGCAACAATCAAACAGGTGAGCCAGTTTTCCGAAGCCTGCGCCGATTGCGCAACGCACGCACGCACAAACTTTGAAAAATTGAATTAGTGAAGGGTAGAGAATTACCGCACAAGTACAGAATACAACACACAAGTAAGTAGGTACATTCGAGACATTCTAATTGCTTCGATCGTACTTACAAGCAACACGAGCGGCTAATCAATCACGATCAAAATCAAAATTTCGCACTAAATCCACACTTAAGGCAATCACTTACTTTTTATAAGAATTTCAAGAAAATTAAAGTAAATTACGCATGCGTAATGCGATAATCTGCTTTTAAAGTAATCGGCGCATGTGTAGAACATAATAATTTTCTATAATTGATGCATCATACTTGAAGATGTTACATAAAAAACACACAACAAATCGAAAAGTGGTTTGAAGCGTTACTTTACTGATTTACGAAGTTTCTGTGCGCACGTGAGAATGGCGCATTGAGCATTTGATAATTGCAAGCGCCTTGAAACGCGCGGCGCGTTTCAATTACTTACCGTTCATTATTGTCTTTTCCACGAGCGTCGTTATCGAAGCGATCGACGGGCGATTAACGCGCAGCTTCCCGCCGCGTCGGTATAATTAAAACATTGTTTTGTGTTTACACGCTTTGCACCTTCTTTATTTCCACTCCCGGACTCATTACCACACTCACATTCACGACTCAAATCATTCATCGCTGACAATTAACCGGTTTATTAATAATTGTGTAATAACAACACATATTTGTGTTTATTCCAAAACAATTTCTCGTAATAAGAGAAACTATTTTCGTGTGTGTCAAGTGTAAAAGGGTTGGAGAAAGTTTTGTTGAAGATTTTATAATCATGCGATAAGTAAACATATCGTAAACCCTGAGCAATGGAAGAAATTTCGTTCGGTCGCATGATCGGAAAGTTTCGACGCGTTAATGTTTCCATTTTCGGCTCTTGTAAGCCTTTTATTTTTTTTCGGTTGGTGCCGAAATCGAGATGAAGAACACGTTGCACACACGCACACAACGTGCGTGTTCAAAAATGACGTAACCATTATGTAATTGCGATGGAATATGGAAGAAAAAAAAAACACACACGAAACTTCAAAACAGTAGCGACGGCTTAAGTAACTTTGCTTAAAATTTTAACATTACTTAACCTACTTGCAAGCTGCAATTTCTCACATTTCACATTTCTCCACTCTCTACAACCCTTGCATTTCAACAGAATGCATATTAATCCTCTTAGCGCGCATTTGAATGAAAGTTAAGTCAGTTAGGTAGAGAGAGCGTGCGCAAGTGACTTAAACTCGGGATTTACTACCCCCGGGGTCGTGTGTCGATTCAGATGCAAATTTACAGAAGGGACGCATTAAAAAGTCATACCAAAGTTTCCTAAAGTTGGATGCGACCAACCCTTCTACTTCTTCGCTAGGCGCGCGCTTTCTTGGAAGCTTTCTAAAGCTCAGAAAAGGGTTGACCGTGCGTTGTGACTATTCGCAAGAACTGCATCAGTGCGTGACGAACCAACAACCAGTGAGAAACAAATCCACATAAATTTGTTTCTAAATTATAACAAACTTAACTTAAGTCGTATAATTACAAGTGTATGAATATAGAGTGTGATGTGTAGTGAATCGGATTGCAAATGAAACCAACTTACAAAGAGGTAAGTGTCAGTTGCGCATTCTTTCAGCATGCATCAATAAAACCAGTCTCGGCTGCGTAAAGTGACTTAAGTTATACATGCAGATGATGCAGATGCGCGCCGGGATTGTTAATAAAACTAAACGCGGGAAATAAGGCGCGTAAATAAATAAATTAATGCACACTACCTGCACACACTCACTAATTACGCGCGCCGCATTGTTGCATATGTAATCGAGTGTAACAAGTGCGCATGATTCATAGTTTAAGTCAGTTTTACTTACGAGTTAAAGGTGTAAACTACGTAGAAAAATCCAATCATTTAAGTGATGTTTGTGCAAAACCATTAATCATATTCAGATTTATGCTTGGATTCAGTTCGATTTGAATTCGAATTAAGTCATCAACATAAACCTCAATATAAACAATACTAGTACACATATATTGTGTTTTACTTACACACTCAGTGTATGTGGAAAATGTTGGATAGTTGGATGGTTGACCAAGTCGAATCAAGTCAGATAAGATTGTAGCATGTGCGCGTTATGTAATCGCCGCAAAACGCAAACATGGCGCGAAGGTTAACGCTGAAATTGTTTGTTGGTAACCAGCAGCCTCGTCGCAACCATCATCTTTTTACAATTAACAAACCAATCACAACAATCAATACTATACTCTACTATGTAGAAAAAAACAGTCATTATGTTTCAATCTGGATGCAAAAAGCTTTTAAAGTCACATAAGATGACTTAACCTCTCATTATAACCTATAAACTAGCAGAACAATCACTAATAATATAATACTTAACTTTTATTGTAGTTTAAGTAATATTACTTAACATAATTTTCAATGTCTTGTGTTCTGGTTTATTGAAGTAAACCAATACAAATAAAAACAAATAAACGCATGCAAAAAAAGCTATTATTATCTATGTCAGGTTTATAGAATGTTCGTGTACGATTGTGTTTTCCACGAGACGGATTTCACGCAATCATTATATTATCGCCGGCGTGTTACTTTTTCTTTTTTTCTCATTTTATGATTTATTCCAACGTGTGTCCACGTACGTTTCGTGAACGTTTCATTGCACATTTGTTGTGGTAGAGTGTGTGCTATTACTGCGCGCGCGCTGCTGCCTTAGACGTTTACTTTTGCTTACTTAGCTGCCATTGCTTTTTCTTCACTTCACTTCACTTCGGCCGTTGTTATTGCAATCGGCGTGCGTTTTTTTTTTATTTCTCTTTCGAAAAAGTAAAAAGTAAAAAGCCATCGCGCCATCGACGCAACCTTGATACATGCGGGATCGTAACTCGCAATCGTATACTCACATACACACACATAAGTAAGCCTGGCACAGGTTAAGTAACAATTACAATAAAACATTTCTATCGCAATACGTAATTGTTTCATCGTCGCGCCGCATAGAAAGGTGGCGGGCGCCCAACAACCAACAGCCAAGAACTTTAGAAAGTAACATTTCGATTTTGAAACACTCCAACGCCATATTAACGATGTGTATTAAAGAAAAATTACAAATAATCAACTTTCATCATTTAGTAAATGTACTTATATACTTATAAAACTTTTTTGTTTTTTTTTATGGGAAATAAATTAGATATTTATTTATGCGTCCTATTTTTAAATTCAAATCATCGAAAAATATTTATCATTGATAAAAAGTAATGCGTTTTTTTGTTGCCTTGCAAGTGCCTTATCTGGAAGATTCGAGGTAAAACTATAATTTCCAAATTTTGCATATTCTGAATAGAAAATTCGGCGCAAAGTGCAGAATATATTTAGATAAACTTTTGGGACTTTTCGTGAAAATTGTCGAAAAATGCAAACTTGTCGCTGTTTCGCCGTGCTAAAATTACAATAACTGTATGTCAGATTAAATAGTAATTTAAAATTTAAATTTTTAGCGCAAAAATTAAGTTTAAATCCAAAAATAAAAACTTAAGTCTCTTCCTCAAGTTTAATCTTTAATTATTGACTTAAATCAACAATAAATCTTTCAATATACCATAAATTAAACTAGTAACTAGTCAGCAGTGTGTAGTAGCTGATTATTTTCCTCAGCAGCAAAAAAATCAAATTTATTGCGCCAACACGACGCGCAGCGGAAAGAAAAAAGAAACCAAAACTTTAAATACCATGCTTACCTGCCTCGGCTAATGTTTTAATGTGTTTCAATGTTTATTGGTCTCGGGTCTTAGATTGGCAATCCCAATCGGTAATAGATTTTTTGCTCCGAGGAGTCTGCGCCCGAAACTCAATCAAAATATTCAAAGCGCGCGAGAGGCACTCCGTGGCAACGCTCAAGGTTTCTTTCTAAAATAAAAGTAACATTCGTACATTCACTCGAATCGGATATGTCGAGTAATGGTGCTCAGGTAAGAGCAAAATGGACACGATACAAAAATATTACACACAATTTCAATGTGACAACAAATTTTTTCCAAAGCAAAATAAAAAATAAATTCGTGGTTATGTTAAAAATCATATTATTTGACGTAAGAAGTTGAGTTTGAATAAATGTAATTTATCTTTCCCAGAAAAAAAAGCGATGTAACCTTCAAAGTTTTGCGTTTTGATGGTTCTTTGTTCGTGCCGACATCGTAAATTGTCCAACTCGTAAAAAATAACATTGAAAAGTTAAAAAGTGTTAGAGGTTACATAACCCAATCTCGTTTTTTGACATCCACACAATAAAACATATCAAACACCAACATTTCTCTTTAAAGCGACATAATTAATCCGCGATATAAAAAGTGAAAAACCTAAGTCAACTTTTAAGTCAACTCAAAGTCGTTTAAAACAAGTTACTGCACCAAAGCACAGCCATTAGCATATTTCATACTTGTGCCCACATTACATATGGATCACTTGACACGAAACCAAACTGTGTGTGTGTGCTGGTGTGACAGAGAAGCAGTGAGAGAATGTGAGCAATTTCGTTTGTCTCTGTGCTGTAGAAAGTCGCGCGCGCGCGCGTTGGGAAATTTTTCGTGAAACTCACAAATTGTCAAGTCTCAAGTCACAAGTGCCTTTGTTCGCGATCGCGACTCGCAAACGACGACCATACGCGGCGCACTCGTCTTAAATGTAGTCCAACGTTTTACCATCGTTAAAGTGTAACACTTGTTCGTGTGTATCCAGCCTGCGAATTGCGCTGTTAAGTGGCTTAAGTCACTTTTTCCTAATACAGTCTTGCTCGATTGCTCGAGAAAAGTTGAAGTTCGAGGAATGATGGAATGCAAAACACTCGGACTTGTCAATGTGACTTAAGTCACAGAGAGAAATTTAATAGATCCTGTGTTGCGTTTGTGTCATAAACACTCAGAAACGCTAATTAAATGAAAAATTGAAAAATTGAGACAAAGTCGCGTGCGCATGCGCATTTTACACAATAAGTATATTTAGTGTTCTTAGTTAAATCTATAGTTTTAAAAATCGACAAATATCTGCTACTTGATTACATAACATATTTTTTGTTGTTATAGTAATTGTAATAATTGCAATATCAATGCCACATATTATGTATCTAGTATTTGCGTTCACACTTTAATTCGAAGAGATTTAACACTTCGCCCGCGGTGAATGTGAGCGGGGAGATCCCGTGCGAACATCTGCGCGAACGCGTATTGCCTCATTATTATAAACTGTCGAGAGCAAATTAAAATCGACCATTAAAATAGTTAATAATCTTAATGACTATGGCCATGAATGAGAGGCGCATCCGAGCGAAGATAGACATAAAGAGAGAAGAGAACATAACTATTGTTATAATCAAATACCTTATACAGGTAAATATAACATCAAATATAAAGTAAAATAATTAATTTTCAAAATTAATTAATTAATAAAAAGTCGTGTCATGCGTGGATGTCAAATGTGTTTTTATTGAATGAAATTTTGTAGGTCACGTTTTACACTCGGACCTTAAAATCTTTTACAGTACATACGTGTAATGCTTGCGCCGAGCGCATATTGCATAAGCGCCGGTAACGTCTTTCGGTTTGGGTGAAAGTAAAACCAAAGCGAGATTACATCTACCAACAAACATGTCGAACATAAGAAACTTGAGAAATACTCACTTTGTGAAGAAAGAAAAAAACGTTGATACACCTACGCCGACAAAACTGAAAAAAAATACGGAGATTTTAAGTGAGAAAAATGCAAGTGGGTGTTGATAGTTGTTACGCAAATATTGTACACATTTAAAATTTACATTAAAATTAAAATCGTTGAATTGTCAAGTGGAAAAACGCATTAATCATTGTCGAAGTCTGCTATTATGAAAAAAGAATCAAGCGGATAAAATTCGCGTTTCCAACAATGGAAAATGTATTTGTAATCGAGCGTTGCGATCTTTCGTTCCATGCGAATTGTTTCATTCCCCTCAATTTACAATTTTACAAGTTGGTAAACGAATGAATGACACTAAAACATCTTTTACATCCAAATGCATAAACTGAATCACATTAAATTTAACTAAATCATTTTCCGTGCATTGACTGCGTTTAGAATTCGGCATTAATTATTTATAATTAGCGTGAGAATTAACAAGAAATAACGACGCGATTGAATGCAAAGCCTTTGAAAACCTAAACTCTCACATTAAATCAAACGAGTCTCATTTTCCAAACAATTCAAACCAATCTCAAAATGAGTTTTAGTTACTTACTAAATTTAACACGACGTCAGAGAGTCATGAGTCATGCACGGGCGGAAAAAATAATTAAGTTTATATAACTTAATTACACATCTAATTCGTTATTAAATACATTTCAATGTTTTCGTGCATCGCCGTCCAGGTGCTCATATTTTTTTCAACGCTCTTTGTGTTTCCATTTCGCTTGTTCCTTGTTCGCTAATCGCAGATCGCACGAAATTAGCAGTCGGCGGGCGCGCCGACCTTGAAAATAGAAGGTGGCAAATTAGAATTGTAAGTTTTTTTTTTTTGTTTTCGGGTATCATACAATACATATGAGAAACAGCGAGAGATATAATGCGGGCGTGGAATTAATAGACAACATACGTCTCTGTTTAAATTTGGTACCGGCATATTACTCATTATTATGACTTTGTTGAGGTTGTTATTGTCATTGTCCAAGACGTAATTATAGACAGTTCTTTTGCAAAAGGACATGTGAAGTAAAAATGACATGCGTTTTTATCTTGAGGCCAAAAATTAAGTGTTTTGTAAATTACGCAAAAACAACGCAAAATTGTAATTATTTTACAAGGGTATTATTCTAGTCAAGTACGCAATTTTTATAATGAGTCAATTTGTCAAAAATAAATATTTTAACATGAAAAATTTTCAAATTCCGCCACACCTATGTTTTTGTGTGGCGTTGATGATCCGAACAATCAAACAATCGGAACAAGCCTCTCTTTCGCTATCAGCCATCCCATCTAACGTTCGATCTATCGCCAGCATACACAACAATCGATTCAACAACATTCACAGCGATTTAAATTCGCATTCACACGCCAGTGGAAGATTGAAGTGTGCGCGCTATGCAGCGCTATGTAACTCGTATACATATTCTGAAAAGCCTTTGATGATGATGGCTTTGATTCTGATTCTTTGATGGACACACAAAGTCGCCTCATACTTTTGTATGAGAAGAGCATGAATTCGCATTCGTTGGCTGTACGTGTGTAGGTATTGTTTGTGTTTTGTGTTCCCATTCAGATTTATGTGCTTAGCGTTCGTGTTGTTTTTTTCTCTACCAACTACTACTACAGGCATCGAGGAAAGGGATAGTCGTCGCGCGTTCGCTTACATAATCGGACACGGCTCGCTAATCGCACAATTGCGGCTAATATAGAATTCAAGACAATGTGTAGCAAATTATCCTTGAAATGCATGCGGCACATCCAACATTCAATTTACATTTTACATTTCACATTCAAAAATATAATAAATTCATCTAGTTTTGTATCATAATTTATATGTACATTCGTTTTATTTCCATGGCTGTGTGTGTTGGTATATTATTTAGTAAATTTAGTGACTTGTGAAATGTTCGAGCGGACGCGGCTCGACTGCAAATAGAATTTTCGTAACCGAACAAACCAACAACGAGTAAAACAAGCAACAAGCAACAAACCTTTCGTTTACGAAAATGTTAAGACTTTGTATTGAATTTGAGACCTGAGAGCATTGCCAAATATTATAAACTATTGTATTATTATCTATGAATAATGACGTGCACTTGTTGCATGGTGGAAATGAATTATGAATGATTGTGTGATTCGATTGGTGCAGAATCAAAATAAACATTGGCTGGACATTCAGTTTGCTCTACGCCAAGCCGACTGATAAATATTCATACATTATAATAACAGGTCTACGCGCGATTAGGTAATTTCACCTGATTTTATTGCACACACCGACAACGTGTTGCACGATTAATAATTTTATTTCTCTGCTATCTATGGTTTCATTTTCATTTTGTTTTTCGAAAATAGGAAAAATATTTGAATTTTTGCTAAAATAACAAATAGAAAACTTCTTTGGGTCCAGTTTATTCAACATTTAGAAAATATTTGACATTTTAAAAATAATTTTCCTATTTTTTACAACAATTTTCTTTAAAAAATCCCAGAAAATGAATTTTTTTCAACATTTTCCCAATTTTTTTCGTAAATCTTCTTATTAATCGCAAAAATTGAATTTTTTCCTATTAATTTTCTAATTTTTACAATATTTATCAAAATTTTCCCAAATTTTTCTGATAATCTATTTATAAGATTCTAAAAATTGAATTTTTCGTTATAATTTTCAAATTTTTACAATATTTTTCAACATTTTCCCAATTTTTTGCGTAAATCTTCTTATGAAATCCCAAAAATTTAATTTTTCCGTTTAATTTTCCGATTTTAATTTACTAATTGTTACAACATTTTTCAACATTTTCCCAAATTTTTCTCAAAATTTTCTTTGAAATCACAAAAAATGACTTTTTTCAAATTTATAATTTTTTTACCAACCTTGTAAATTCTTCTCATGATTGTTAACTAATTATAATTACTAATATAATTCGGCCTCAAACATAAAGTATTAATGACCAAAAAAAGCACTCCGCTTCAAGGAGAAAACAATAAAACTGATTACACTGATTTTCCCCCAAAAAATTCACGCAGAGATTGCGCTGCAATAAATCTCGAACCGAAAATAATTTACACGCTTCAAATACGCCATGCGAGTGATTTACATGCGTGTGCAGATAGAGGTAGGTTGGCTTGGCTGTTGCCGTGTGTCAGCCGAAGCAAGACCACTTTCACTTCCCTACAAAGCGGAGACCTTGAAGGTTTTTAAACAGGTAAAATCAGTCTCGAGGACAGTGCGTCCGAGCGCCGCGCGGAGCTTACCCATAGTATGTGTATGTATGTATGTGTATGCACCTATACGTGTGGTACCAGCAGAAAACGATCAATTACTTAATAACGCACACACAACGCACTCACGACCGCAGCGCCATTACGCCATGCGTAATTTACGACATGTGCGTGTGTACGCAAAAAATGCGTACCTACGAAATATCGTTACACACACGCGAAAGGAAAACGAAAAAACGGCAAAAGCAAAAGGCAGACATTCGAATAGAAGCGAATAGAAAGGACCAGAGAATAAAATTCGTATATTGGTGACATTTAGTCATCATATTATGCTCTGGTTTAATATTACGTCAGCGTAAACTCACTCCTCAGCAAATTGGAATGGGAAGAGTCGACGGGACGCGACCGTAACTCTCTCGCTCTCTTTCGCGGATAAGACACATTAGCATTTATTCACTGCTGGCTAGAAACACAAGCAGGCGGACATTTTATTTTCATGGTCAATGCGCGAATGCTACCGCTTTACTTAACACTTGACTTAACCTAAGTCACTAAGCAAATACAAGCACAAAATGTAATATGTTTAATTTTAGGGTCTGTTCTCTGGTCTGACCTGATGAATGGCGTCTCGTCGCGCCAGAGTTACGCGATAGTGAAAGTGCTACACTCTATGAGTCGTTACTTTCCCTCGATCTCGTAACGCCCGTAATATAACAATGGCATATTACATGAACGCGCGCGCGCGCCGGAGACTCAACCAGACCAGTAAAAGTTTACACTTTTTGTTTTAACGAATTTTAATTCGTGCGCGAAATAAATTTTCAATATTCGCTTCTTCTAGGAGCATTTCTTTGTTTTGTTGACTGTTGAGTTTTTTTTTGTTGTCGCTGAGCAGTCGTCATATAATATCCAACATGAACGTCGCGAATGACGTAACGCTCGGCCCGGCGCGTGTAACGTGTATCCAAACGAGAGTAGGACGAGAAGGTGAAAGAAAGGACATTCTTCAATGTTCCGAATATAACAAAGGGTAAAAATGAGCGGAGAGCTAGCGAGCGAGAACGCGCGCGCGGGATATTGCGACCGGGCGTTATACAATCGGCGGAGTTGTGGATCGCCGGTGTCCCCTCCCGAAGGCGAAAGTAACTTCGCGCGGTGTGTGCCCCAGCGCGGGCCCCAGACTCTCCTTGGCATCAGGAGGTGAAAGCAAATGCGGCGCGAGTCAGCGCCTCCGCAACTTTGGCCCTACAGGTACTGCAAGAGTCTTGCCTTAAGTTAAGTCAAGTTGCGTTCAGTTGAACTGTTTGGACGCGCGCGCGCGGGAGATACCTAAGCGAAAATAGACGCGGAGAGTCGGAGCAATTTCATGCGCGATATTTAGCGCGACCTTGAAAGCCGCGCGCGCTCTCGGAGAGAAAGAGGAGCCGCGAGCGAGCTGGCGATAGGAAAAAAAACCGCGCTTCCAGCAGCGGTGTTGAGTTTAGTCAGAGAGTTGAGAGCGCGAGAGAGGCGAGTGGGGGGAAACCACGCTAAGCCGAGTCTGCTCAGTGAGACCAGCATGAAAGGGGGAAAGTAAAGGGAGAAATTAAGAACGAGCAGTATTAGCGCGCGCTCCGCTCCCGTCGCGAGCAGCGCGTCGCCGTCGACATTTCGCATCGTCACGTGCGTTTCGACACAATCCATACCAACAACAACAACAACAACCTGCTAGACGCGCGCGCGATCTCCCCGAAAAAGGGTCTCAACTACTCAATCTGCAGTCCACTCTTCCTTCCACACGCGCGCTGGGACTTAAGTTCAGTTTGGAATTTCGGAGTTTCGCTTTCGTTCGCGCGCGCGTGTGCGGTTTAAGTGTGTGTGCGTTTTGTACCAATCGAGCGCGGAGCAGCGGAGCGCCGCGCGTTCCATTCGTGCGCTCGCCTCACTTTTACTTTCATTTCGTGGCGCAACAAACGCGACCACGACTGTACGCTCTCAGGCGGACGGAGCCGCGCGTGTCGTGCCCCAAAAATACGAATCCGCGCGCGGCGCTCAATACGCGCGAGCCGCCGACCGCGAGAAGAACGCGCGGACCACCGCCGAAGACACCCGCGAGGATGACCGCCCGATTTGGTACCACGCGCCTCCACCAACCGTCCAACCATCACCACCATCGGGAATAATCCACGAGGATTTAATCCGCATCTTGATTTGTTGGTTTTGAAAAGTTTGTCGAAAGTTTTTTTCTTTCGGCAAAGTTTCATACTTTACAAAGTTCACATTGGTGGTCTTGTTGTTGGTGTGTCCTGGAAAAAATTCCACACAGTTTCGAGGAGAAAATCGAAAGTAAAAGTGCAGAGTGCGCGGCTGGGCCGAAATCGAAAGTGAACTGAATTACGACAACTTGTTGCTTCATCGCTCGGCGCGCGCGCGCGCTCGCGCAATCGGAACGTAACCGCTTTTCAAACCTACCAAAGCGACAAAACACCTCACAACCACCTGAAAATTTTTGGATTAAAGTGTGTGTATGTGTGTCACAACAAAAAAAGTGTCTCTGTGTCTTGTTATCTTCATCAACAAACGGATTAATGTTTTCATCAAAGTGTCGCCCTTTGTATTGTGGATATTACACGCCCAGGTGACCCCCAGGGTGGCAGCCAATTCAAATGAACACCTGTAAGTTGTGTTTCTGTGTGTGAATGTGTATGAGAGATGTGAGGATTCATGGTGAAGAGTTTTGCGCGTTCGCGCTGAGTTAGCAAACACGCGCTCGCGCCACGGCGTTGGTTACAAAACATTTCGCGATTGATGATGCGCTCTCTAGCGATGATGTTAGGCGAGTCGCCGCGGCACGGCGGCGAGTCTTGCGCTAAGTCGACTTATTAATAGGCCACTTGCACTTTATTCATTTATCGCCGTCGCGAACGCGGCGCGCCGCGGTGTGCCGCTTTCGGTCGTCCTTCACGATCGATCTGCGCATTCTCGCGCACACAACACAACCAGCATGAATTGGGACACATGATTTTTTGCGCCAAGCAACGCCATTTCACAATCGAATTCTCCAATATTCACCGAACAATTTTCTATCTGATGGCACGCGTGTTGGAATCACACATTTGCATTGCGTCTTTTGCTTTTTGCAGGTGATCGATAGTAAAATCTCCATCATCCCCCTTCGTGTCAATCGCCATGTACGCGGACGAAACGGAAGCGCACGGCCTACTAACCTTGCACTATGGCAAACACCATGCGACGATCGTAGACGAGATCAAGACGTGCTTCACGTCCGAGTGCTACGCCGACATGACGTTCATCTGTGATGATCGCACCACGCTCAGCGCGCACAAGTTGATTATGGCGTCCGCCAGTCCTCTAGTGCGCGCCATCCTCGGCGAGGCTGTCCATGCGCACAGCCCCGCTGTTGTTCTCATTCCCGGGATCAAGAGCAGTCATTTGAGGCATCTGCTCGACTTCCTCTATCATGGTCAAGCATGTATTAAGGTAAAACATAAAAGTTCTTATTTTGGGACGTTTCCAACATGTGTTTCTTTTCAATTGTTCAAAAACATCAAAAATCACATTTTCTAACCTCAAATGACCACTATTCGTGAATAAAATTTATTTTCTCTATTAGTCTAGCGAATTGGACAGTATCCAAGAACTTTTCGAAGTCCTCCAGATAAAATCGGATGTGTGGGAGTCAAGTACGCGGGAAGAAGCGAAAAAGCTCACAGATGAGGGTTGGACGCAAAATTCCGAAAGTGGTTCAGACTCAATGACGATAGTGAAAAAAGACCCCGATGAAGACCACCGTAGTGAAGAGGACGACGATGAAAAAGAGGAAGGCGAAATCAAGGACGATGATGATGACGAAGACGATCACATAAACGAACGGAATGATAATGATGAAGAACGAAGAAGTACATCACCCAACCCTGTCAACCTTTCACTCAACTCAAAGTCAATGGACAACGAGGACGAAAACGACAACGACAACAACAGTAAAGTTGAGGTAATTACAGGTTTCTAATTTATTTCGCAAGACCCGCATTAAAACCACCTGATTTTATGACTTGCAGAGCACAGATGAGCCCAGTAGTGGGGATACTCTGAAAATAGGCCAGTCGACAGTGAAAATTGCCCCTAAGGTTCACGAGCACTACCATCACCATCGGATGAAACGGAAGAGCATGTATATAGAGCCCATTGTCCTGAAGCATCACGAAGAATTCGCCAGTTTGAAGCCGCCCATTGGGGACCAGAAGCTTATATCACTAGTACAAACCCCCGAGAATTACGTGGTCACACCACATCGGAAGCGCCGACCTGGTTTCCACAACTCCCCAGCGCAAAACCCGCCCTTCGTGCCGTTCTCACCTAGTTATATAGATGAAGGGGCGATACACCAACGATATAAAACCCTCCAACACCCACTTTTAGCTGCTCATCATCCATTGTCCCTAAGTGCTCCACCGTTTTTAGTGGAAAGGACACATACCCCCACACCAGGTCAACATGCGGATGGTACATCAGGGGATAACGTAGTGGTAAAATACAGACCACCCTCAGCGGACCAGAGTGTATCCGAAGGGTATTCCGGTTTTGAACATACCTGGGGAGCATGGTCATTATGCCAAGCACAGGTAAACACTCCAGAAGACCGTGAGAGGGATCGAGATCGAGACCGAGACAGGGATCGGGATAGGGACAGAGATAGATCTCGTGAGCGGGACCCATCAATACCAGCTTTCCCCACAAACGCACCTGTGTCCGATGACAACCCGGAAAGCTCCCATTCTACCACCAGAAGTTCCGGGGGACCAGGAGGTGTTGATAATGTAGGATTGACAAAAAATACCACTCCTGGTACAGGAGGTGGTGGTCAGGTGAGAGAATACCGCTGTGAGTACTGCGGTAAACAGTTCGGTATGTCATGGAACCTCAAGACGCACCTGCGTGTCCACACCGGCGAGAAACCATTCGCGTGCCGGCTGTGCGTGGCGATGTTCAAGCAGAAGGCACACCTGCTGAAACACTTATGCTCGGTGCATCGCAACGTCATCTCTGCAAGCAGCGATGGCAGCGTCGGCCGCTTCAACTGCTGCTTCTGCCCGCTCTCCTTCGAATCCCTGCCCGAGCTGATACGCCATCTGTCGGGCCCGCACAACAACCTGCTGCTCAGCAAGAATATGCACGAGCTCAAATGAACGATGACATTCCAAACGACTCGCGCGAGAATTGTGTGAAAATGTGAAGTTTTTGTTTTTAGACGGTACGAATCCGTTTTGTGATAAATTTACACGTGAGCGAAAACGATGAAATGAGACTTTTCACCCCTGTTAACCCCCCACCACCCCCTCAGGGACATAACCCCCAGAACGTACACCCGCGTCCGCCCCCCGTCTTCCTCATAGTGCTTTAGTAATTTTATACGCATGAAAAACATAGATTTATACGCAAATATGTAACATAGTAACATTCTCTCAACCGACGCTGTGTTCAAAACGACTCGTGTACCTAAAACGAACGACGATCGAGATCGACGGAGACTGCGCGTGGTGTGTATGACATGAAAGCAAGCAGCGAATGGCGCTGATTTCCTGTTATATACATCACAAGTGGTGGATTTATGCAAACGCACGCAGCGCCAAACAAAAAACGCCGCTAACCTACAACGTCAGCCATTTTTTTTTTCTTTTCTTTCGTTTTCTTTACCTGTGCGTCCGTTCGCACATTTCACATTTAGCGTGTGCGACGCGCGCAGGCCCAATTACTATTTTTACTCTCGGCTTACATAAAGTATTTAAACTTGCGCAAGAAGCTGCGAGCGCGTTTTTTGTTTGCCTCCGCGTGCATTTCTCGAAAAATACTTATGGTTTTTACTACAAAACTGGATCATGTATATTATTATGAAACGAAACGTATATTTTTTGAATATACACACCAAAGACGTACGAAAGTAAGAAAAATTACGGAAGCGCCACTTATGTCGAAGACGAGACACACACACCAACATAAATTTTTTTCTACGCGAAATATTTTTTGAAAACTATTTTTTGATACTGATTTTGAAATCATTTTGTGCAATCCACTACAACTTGTGTGTGCTCTTGCCTGACGGAAACAAATTGCGACATCTTGAACGAAAAAAAAATCTTGTAACTCGCGTTACGGCCATTGGCAATATCGAAAATCTAATTCGACATCTAAAAGCATCGCACGGTTAATTTTTGTGTTTTATAATTTAATATTGTTTTTTGTTTAGTTAGATGCGCAAAATCAACTGCAACGCAATTTTTCGCAAATTTTTTTCCTTCTTTTGTTTTATTTAACGATGTGGTACAAACATGTGGTACGTTAGGTTTAATTACATTTTAAAAACACACACACACACGACATTTCTGTAAATACAAAGAGGCGATTATGCTCTTGGACGCTGCAGACTCTTGTAAATAATGATATTTAAGATAATGACTATTTAAAATATAAATCAAATCACCTTTGTTCGCCTCGTGTGTTTTCACCGGAGTTAAATGAATGCATGTGTAGATTGCCTCACATTTCACCTTCTCTCCTGATCCGTTCAGCTCAATATTGATATTTGGCGTGGCCGCCGCGAATGCTAAGTACGATTGCGAGCGCGCATGTCGCGTTGCATCAATTGTGCGTTCACGCTCGCAATGTGTAGACTTACGTCATTTATTACATAATTGTATGTTACGATTTCTATCGGACGCGTAAAATTTTTAAAACTTTCGCAAAATCACAGCAAACATTCGAAAAAAATAGCAAAATTTCAGGGTTATGTTCATTTTAATGTTGATATGCAACCAGACTTACATTAATGTGGAATTCTTTCTTTTGTGTTGGAAAATTCATCACCTGTAACAAAGACATTAACGTTTAGAATATACACCTGGAGAAAATAACATGCGGCGAGTGTTGGGAAACGATTTGAAATCGTGCGTTACGGTAAAGTCGCGTTACGTAATGCGTGTTTTCTTGGTTGTCTATAATGAACCAACGGTCTTTTGAGCGTCGTGTTCAATAAAAGCTGTGAGGACACGCCTCGGTAATAAAAGCCTTCCAAAACACTAATTAATGCCGCAGGACACTTTTTTAACGTTTAAATTAAATCATTAATTGTACTCGAATAAAAATAACCATAAGATTATCTAATCGATAAATTTAGTGGCTCTAGGGCAGTAAAAATTGTCAAAAACTTATATAATTTATTATATTGTTTGTTTAATGCATGTTTCGATATCTAAAATAACTGTTTTTGTGTTTTGGCATAGATTTTTCAAAATTAGGTTAATATCTCTGCGTATTTCCTTGTATTTGCAAAATCTAGAAACAAGTTTCGAATTCCTGCCGCTTTCGGGTCAGTTCTGTTTGTCGCCGTGTAAATCAAAAACATAACAGTTCCGCAACCACGAAATGTTCCGTCCGCATATAATAAAATCATAACGATGACGTTTCCAGTGCTGGTAGAGCAAAATAAAGCGTCGTCGGCGACGTTTCGTCGATGATGAAATGCCCACAAAGTCGTAATAACTTGCCATTGACTTTATCGCACATCTGATCCGATCGCGGGGCGCCGAACACCGTTGTTCGAAAGAGTTCAGAAGGCCAACGTAGGGCATTGCCTCTTCTAATGCGAAATCTATTCGAACCATAACTCAACACTCATTTCTATGCATATAAGGCGACTTAAGCGTCGAGCCCAAAAAAACGGTGTAAAAATATGCTAAATAGGCACATGATTGATGTTTTCATTTTCATTCAACTGATTACTACCATTAAAGCGATGTATGGAATTAGAATTGGAATATAAGAAGAAATTTGGAGTAAGAGAGATGCTGATGATGATTAATTTTTTGGTTTGGATGGGCTTGGTTCCTCCTCTAGGCGCATGTGAGATGAGATATTGATACTGGGCAGGATGGAAAAGCGGTATTTTACATCCGAGATGGAGCCTATAAAAGCTGCAGACCTCGACGAGTGCGGACACACTCACTGTCGTCACACAGAAGATGGCCAACAAGCTGATGCTCCTGCTCGTCGCCGTGTCGGCGCTCGCCGCCGTCCACGCGCAGATCCCCAACGTCGGATGGTGCCCAGAGTACCTGCCGATGACCGATTTCGACATGAATCGCTTCCTCGGCAAGTGGTACGAAGCGGAGCGGTATTTCACCTTCACCGAGGTGGTTTCCCGTTGTGTTGTTACCGACTACGCCAAGGCCCCCAGCGGAAGGATTTTCGTTAGTAACGAAGTCACCAACAGATTGTAAGAACCTCAAAATCACCCAATTTCAAAAAAAGGTGTCTAATATTATTTGTTTATGTTTTGTGTAGAACTGGAGTCACCAGAATCATCAATGGTAACATGGAGTTGTTGGGCAAGGGTGACGAAGGTCGTATCCATGTCAAATACGCTACAACCCCAATTCCCACTGAGACCACCCTCACTGTTCTGGAGACTGATTATGATAACTTTGCTATTGTATGGTCCTGCAATGGTTTTGGACCAATTCATACCCGTAAGTACCATTGGAACCCTTTTTTACCAAATCAACTAATATTGAATTTTATTCCATTTAGAAAACGCTTGGTTGATGACCCGTGAACGTCTCCCAAGTGGTAACATCCTCCAAAAGGGTTACGTCGCCCTTGAGAAGTTTAAGATCAACCGCACCTTCTTCGTAAAACCGACCAGGAAGGATGTTTCCTTGCTGCATCCGATATTAATGCCTCTAATGGTATCACTTCCCAATCCACCGTCCCAGAGTTCTCTGGTAGTGACCAACGTGATGAAGCAGCTGAAGGTCTCCGCACCGCTGGTGTCCTCGAAGGTGACAAACCAGTAGCCGTCAAGGAGAATGAAATTAAACCTCAGACTACTGAGATCAAACCAGAAACCCTTGAGATCAAACCTTCTGAACACACCAGACCAGTTAAACCCGTGGAGATCAAAGAAGAACCCAAACCAGAAGCAGCTACTTTGAAAGTAGAAAAGGTTGAGAAGGTTGAACCAGAAACTCCAAAGGTTGAAGAGGTAAAACCCATTGTAGAAGAGAAGAAAGAAGAAAAAGTGCCGGTCGTGAGCGTCCCGGACCATATCCTGAGCGCTACCGCTACCAAAGCTTAAAAAGCTTGCAAGCCATCCTATGTTCGACATAATTTAACAAACTATTTATTTTATTTATTTATATTTTACCGATATGTGTAAATAAATTTATATTGTGTTTTTTTACACAAAAATCAATGCGATTTATTTATCAAACCTGAACTAGAACTAGAAAACTTCTATTCTAAAATTCTAAAAATGGATGAAGTTATAAGATGTGATATGGGGGAGGCAAAAATACCGTTAGTTATCAAAGCGCCTGTAACTATAAAAGAGCTACGCGGTTGAACTAGACACTCACAGTCTTCACAGCCGTAGGAAGATAACCAACATGATATTCCTACTCGTCGCTGTTTCAACACTCGTTGCGGTCCACGCGCAGATCCCTAACGTGGGATGGTGTCCAGAGTACCTACCAATGACCGATTTCGACATGAATCGCTTCCTTGGTAAATGGTACGAAGCTGAGCGCTATTTTACATTCTCCGAGATTGTTTCCCGATGCGTTGTTACCGACTACGCCAAGTCAGCCAGCGGGAGGATTTTTGTTAGTAATGAAGTCACCAACAGATTGTAAGAATTTTTACTTCTATATTTTTTAATTTAAAAAAATATTAATTTTGTTTGTATATTAATAAGAACTGGAGTAAAACGTGTCATCAATGGTAACATGGAGGTTTTGGGTAAGGGTGACGAAGGTCGTATCCATGTCAAATACGCCACAACCCCGATTCCTACTGAAACCACCCTTACCATTTTGGATACTGATTATGATAATTTTGCTGTTGTGTGGTCTTGCAATGGCTTTGGACCAGTGCATACAGGTAAATATAAATTTATCATAAAAACCTAAACTATATACTAAAAAGTAAAATTATAAAAAATAATTTTTTACTATTATTTATATTTAGAAAACGCTTGGTTAATGACCAGGGAACGTCTCCCAAGTCACCAAACTCTCCAAAAGGGTTACGGTATTTTGGATAAATTCAAAATAAGCCGCACTTTCTTCGTGAAAACAGATCAAGCTGGTTGTTTCCTAGCAGCGTCTGATATTAACGCATCAAATGGTATCACAGCCCAATCAACTATCCCTGAACATTCAGGAAGTCCACAAACTCAAGAAAACGATGAAGAACTACGTACTTCTGGTGTCAAAGAAGAGACAGAAACAAAACCAGAAATTCCAAAAGAAAATGAGGAAAAGAAACCGGAGATTACTGAAATTAAACCGGAAAACATCAAAGTAGAAAAAGAAGAAGTTCAGAAAACTAAGGAAGAAACTCCTAAGGACAAAGATGTTCCTGTTGTGAGCGTCCCAGACCATATTTTAAAGAACAACGCAATCAAAGCTTAAAATTTATAATTTAAAAACTATTTATTATATTTAGTAATTTTCCTATATTATTATTTATGTAAATAAATTAAGTTCCGTTTATGCAAATTTTCGTTTTTTTAATTTTTTGCAAATTTTGATATTGATTATGTTTAGAATTGACTGGAAAATAATATATATTGGAAATCAATAGTCACTCCTAGCAAACACACCGTTATTCTGACCTTATTGCCTTGGCATAGCACGAATGTCATAGATCTTCTTCGCTGTGATGGACTTCAGTTGCATGACTTGCAGCGCGTGCATGTGAATTCATCTAGCGTCGTAAAATGCGATCGGCGATTCGGTTGATTATCGCGCTTGCGTTGGCGGCGAGTGCGTTCACCCAGGTGCCTTTTCTCGGCCCGTGTCCTGACCTACCAACTATGCAGTATTTTGATCCACAAAAGGTAAGCGAGCGCAAAATGTTATCAAAAACTATTTACATAACTGCAGATTGTGCAAACATGCAAATATTCTGCAGGTGCTAATTTCAAAATGTAATATGTTTCTAGTACTTGGGTAAGTGGTACGAGGCTGAGCGATATTTCGCACTCTTCGAATTTGGCGGCAAATGTGTCACCGGAGATTACGGCCTAACGGAACAAGGCGACATTGTTATAATTAACAGGCAAACAAGTGCAATGTAAGTCATCATAATACGCAGAAAAAAACATAAAATGTAAAAAATAATTAAATATTTAGAACAGGAATTGAATCGACGATTGAAGGATTAGGAAATGTTCTTCAACGATCAGATCATGCAAAATTATCAATTAAATTTCCTTCGTTACGAGGTTTCGTCAATTTTACAGCGCCATATTGGATTCTTGATACGGATTATGACAATTATTCTTTGGTTTGGTCATGTAACAACTTCGGAATGTTTAGTACAAGTAAAAATTATTTTTTTCCTCAAAAAATTGATTATTAATGATAAAATTTGAAATTTTAGAAAATGCTTGGATTTTAACAAGAAGTCGTTTACCTTCTTTGGAGATAATTGGTCACGCTTATAAAATATTAGACAATATTGGTATAAATCGAGCTTATTTTATAAGAACTGATCAGAAAAACTGTCCCAGTATTTATTAACTTAAAATATCAACCAAAAATGTTTTTATTTATATTATGTTTTGTTACGTGAATGTATGCAACTAAATATACATGTTTTTGTTATTTTCTTAAATAAAAGCTGTTTATTTACACCTAAAACCAAATAAATCAAGCTCAATTGGTGCTTTTATTAATATTTTATGTATTTTATTTATTTTGAAGCTGTTAATTGCTATAAATTTCGTTTCATTTAATAAATTTATACTCTGTGAGCTTATACCTGAGCTTTTCGCAAAGCTTCGGGGTTTTCCGTTCTCCTTCGTCAGTTGGGCGTTGCACCTTCACCAGCTTAGGGTGAAAGCATAAAACGCAATCTCCAACCCACCCAACAGAGGTCATCCCTCTCCCCATCTTCGATGCTTCATAAAGCTCTCTTCTACTATCTTCACCTCACACTACCACACAAACAAAATCTCTTTTCATGTTTCCTCTGTAGTAGTGGCAACTGGTTCACCTAAACCGTAAACCAAGGCCGCAAACGATCTTTACGCTCACGCTCGCATTCGTTTCTCGCTGCTTGCACAAAGCCCCTCTACACAACCAGCTAACATAACCTAACAAACACGATAAACTGAGTAATCGCGGAGATGTAACAACAAAAACAAATGAATACCGAGCGAGGAAAAGCTCGCAGGAGTTGACATATGACCACAAGGTCCGTAACATATTGTGATATATCATTAAAACGCGTGTTTTGAAAATGTGGCCAACGAATTCAGCGAAATGTTGGACGAAAATCGCGTTCTACTTGTTCCTATTGATGGATATCGTCCATGGATATCTGAACTTTTATCTTAGCTCATCGGAAGTGCATCGTCTTCTTGGTAAGTAAATAATTATTTATTTTTAAAGATGCATGCAAATTAATAAAATTAGATTTCATATTTATTAATTTTTTAGAAGATAAATAAATTATTTGCATAGATAAACATCAAATTTTTATCAAAACAAAGATTTCTGTCAAAAAATTAAAATAAAATTGAGTAAAACCCAAAAGTAAACCATAGAAAATTTATTTTATAACGCGCATGCGTATTTAGGAATTAACCAGATCATCGACCGTCAGATACCCGCAAGAAAAGAGAAAAAGACATAAACAGATAAAACGTGAAGATATTAAACCAGAAGACTCGTAAAATTCAAAACCACATTAAATTTTCCAAAGAAATACTAATTCCAGTCGTGTTAAATGATCCCCTATGGTTAATCTGTTTGTTCAACGTTCAACCAGTCACTTTAATAACAAGGCAGGTAAACTACCTCAACCTGAGCCGAGTTACTTTACTGCTGTGACTGATGATTGGGTGCTAAACATAGAATAAGAGACATAAAGAGTAATGATGCTAACCGATGTTGCGCTACAAGTCTACCTGCTCTTACTTAAGAAAACTGGTTCTAATCATTGATCTTCATCATGTTTCCAGGCCTTATTTACATAATAACTGATTTAAAGCGCGCCAACTAATATTTCCATCGTAAAATTTATACGTATGTGAATTTTAGTTCGTAAAATGTTTTACCAATTTATGAAGTAATAAATTCCGTGCAAATTTAACGAGATGTGCGGAATTTTAATGGTGTTAGGTGTAATTTTAACTAGTAAACAAATTAGAAGCATTTAAATAATATTTTAATAATAACTGTTAAGAAAAAATAAGTAACTGTCATTTTATGTGCATAAATATCTTTTTTATGCCGAAATAACCTTAAAAATTAACCTAAGTTTCTAAAATTTGAAATTTTTCTTTCAGGACTTGAAATGGAATTATTCTACGTCCGAAATGGTACTGTAAATGACTACGCAATGGTCTTTGTTGTGCCTGTACCATCAAAAATAGATACTTTACATTTCACATGGGAAAGTTTCGCTGGACGCCCTGTAAGTACCCGAAATTTTAATTTTTAACAACAAAAAAAACAATTAAATTTTAAATTTCCAGCTTCCATATTCAATCAGCGTGGATGTAACAGATACCATTGCTTTGGGTCACCCTAAACTAAACATCACCTCCACTGGTTCAGTCCCTATGTCCTTACAAACATTCAGTGTGAGTCTACCTTGTTCCGGAGTAATCTCAGCGGATGTATCCGTGACGATTCAAGTAAACATCACGGTTATGCCTTTAAACATAACAACTTTAACATTTAACCGGAAGAAAATCTGCACTAAAATGGATTCTCATCTCGGGAATCAAGTCCACGTTGATTCTTTATCGAAACAATATAAATCAACGAATATATTCTACACTGCAGTTGGTTGTGCGATTGCTTTTGTCGTTATAATCGTGAGCATAAGTTTGGTTGGGTGTTATTTCAAAAATCAGAAACTAATGCGTACAGGAAAAGCGAATAATACTCAAGCACACACGACTTATTTAACATCCGCGCCAAGAAACCCAACGTCCACATCTTCCTATGGAAGTTTTCGTAGAATGCCGAGTTATTCTTTGATTGATGAACGATCAAAGGATTTACGTGAAAGAATCGCTGAATTAACAATCAAAAGGTAAAAAATATACCAAAACACTTTAAAAATTACTAAACTTTTATATTTTTAGATGCAGAGTGAATCTCAACAGTGTTATCCTCGAAGGAACCTTCGGAAGAGTCTACCTAGGATCATATACAAATGACACAGGCGTGGAGGAAGAAGTAATCATCAAAACAGCGACTGATCATGCATCACAAACACAAATCTCTTTACTTTTACAAGAAGGAATGTCAATGTATTCACTGAATCATAAATACATTTTGACTATATTAGGCGTGTCGATTGAAGATAACACAGCGCCGTATTTATTATATCCGTATCAGAACTATAGCAACATGAAAGTATTTCTGCAGAAATGTAAGAGTAACGCAGAAGGTGTTGCTCACACGTTGACGACTCAAGAGGTTGTGGATATGGCTTTGCAAGTGATTGAAGCTATGCAATATTTGCACAAGAAACATTTGTTACATAAAGATATAGCAGCCAGGAATTGCATGTAAGTAAAAATTTAAATATTTTATGATATAATTTTATTATTTGATGTTTTTGTGATTTTTATTAGAATCGATGATAAATTGCAAGTGAAAATTGCTGATAACGCACTGTCAAGAGATCTATTCCCGTCGGATTATCATTGTTTGGGTGATAATGAGAATCGTCCGGTGAAATGGCTGGCAATTGAAAGTTTATTGCATAAAACATTCTCAGCTAGTTCGGATGTTTGGGCTTTCGGTGTGTTATTATGGGAATTGACTACGCTTGCGCAACAGCCTTATGTTGAGATTGATCCGTTTGAAATGGCGGCGTATCTTAAAGATGGCTATAGATTAGCACAACCTATAAACTGTCCAGATGAATTGTAAGTTTTAAATAATACAATAATATTTTATGGTATTTTATTGATTAATAACATTTTTTGTTTTATTTTTCTAGATTTGCTGTAATGGCGTATTGTTGGGCGATGAGCGCTGAAGAACGACCGACATTTTCACAACTTCACGTCTGTTTACAAGACTTTTACGCACAGTTGATTAGATATGTTTAAATAACATAAGCATAACTACATGTGGAATTGATGAAATGTTCCTTTTTTACACGAATAATGATTGCTGAATGCAATACGTGCCAAAATTTAATTATTCGGCTTTTTATAAGACTGTTTTTTTATATTATATATTATTTTATAAATACTAACGCAGCGAATGATTGTCTATTATATCGAAATACGTGACGGTTTTAAAGGAAGAGTGCTTATTGTGTCTCTAAAAATATCGCTTTTTATGGAGAGATATTGTCACACGGGCCTACTGCGAACGCCAACTGTAGAAATAAGTAATCAACGTCGCGCAATGCTTGGAAATCACTTGCGATTTGTGCAATTTTATACTAACTACGTTTTATACACTTTTGTTAGCATGTAAGCGTATTTATTGTCATAAGCAGTGTGTAAACAATGCCTATTTTCTATGTTTTATACTTTAATTGTGTAAATAAATGTCAGCGTAAAGAAATAACAAGTTTTTTGTGATTTTTTTCATTGAAAATCAAGTATTCTGCAAGAAAATACATCAAAATATGCCAATTTATGAAAAATTGAGGAAATTTTACTAAAAGCTACACGAAAACTATTAAATTACGAATTCTTTGTCAATTAATAATAATTTTTATGGAAATTTTCATAGAAAACAATTTTTACCAGGAATACGCACGAAAAACAGTAAATTTTAACGATAATTATAAGAAATTTTACTTAAAACTGCATGAAACAATAAAAAAATGAGTATTTTTTTAAGAAAAATGTTTTTTGCAACAAAATTAATGAAAAAGAGTACATTTCTGTCATATTTATATGAATTTAACGAAAATTTTGAGAAATTTTGCTCCAAATTACCCAAAAACAATAGAAACATGAATTTGATTGCAATTTTTGTGCAATTGTATTGCTCTACGATGTGTACAGTTTCCGGTGCGAGTAATAAAGACTCAAAACAAGAAATATCGCGTGTCACTTTCCATTTATAATAATTATTGTGTTATTCATGATGAATATTCACGTGTTAAATAAAAAACAAGCCTTAATCTTACACGGTTTCAATCAGAGTACTTGATTATGTAAAAAATGACCATTCAGAGTTGTAATTTATTATTTCAATCTTAAAAACACTATTTTTTAGTGTTTTGCTATTTTTATTATAATTTTTTTAGTACGTGTCTGTAATAAAGACGAGTCAAACTCTATTATCCTCAATTTGCGAAAAGAATACGTCGGATTTCTAATGCATAACGATTCGGAGAGCCTTGAAGCGGCCATCAAGGATCCGATTTGTCGCCGGTCGCCGCGGTTGCGCTTCAAACAATTTACCAGCCTGGGGATTGAACTGGAATTACTTATTGTCACGCTAAGCTAAGGTGTAATTTCTGCCGGCGCAAAATTGTCACTTTCAGTACGCTCACGACGATGAAGTTGTCAACACCTTTATTAATTATAACCATTTGTTATAATCAATGTAGATATTCAACACATAATAAAATATCATAAATAATATTAATATTTTATTGCATTTTTAGTGGTTTGGGGAATTAATGTGCGTTCCAATTTGGATTTTGATGATGCGCAGAATAAACCGAGGATAATCGAAAGAGTCTACGCGTTGGAAGATAAAAATAACAATGCGCAGCCAAAGATTGGCGTCGTTTGTGCGTCTGGCGGGTGTAACACCACCACAACGTCGACAAAAGACCCCAAGGGCACTGACTCTCTGTCTGCCGATGTGGTTGTGCAAGTTCAAGTGAATGCAAATGACGCAAAAACAAATAAACCTGAATCGAAAGAAACCATAGTGAAATCGATGGATAAAGAAGATGAAGACATTCCAGATGTGCCCGTGGTGATAGGCTACGGGGGCGGCAATGCAGCCACCCCACAAGAACACATTATACGACCGGATAATCCACATCAACACTTTCATTACAACCAGCATAATTTTCCGCAGGATCATGTCCGCACCGGGGGCGGTTTCGTCCCCTCGTTGGGGGTGAGCGTTGAGTTTAAACCACGGGGGCATTATCCAAATGATTATACGAAATATCACACCAATGGCAACGGGTATGGATACGGAGTTGTACAACGCCCCAGTTGGAATTACAATAGCAATCCAGCACCGTGGTATCGGCGGGTGACAGCGCCGCCACCGCCGCCGCCGACCACGTGCATCTGTCATCCGAATTCGGTGTGGTCAGGAACCACACCACCGCCGTATGTTAATTTTAATAATCCTGGAAAGCAAATTAATGATAAATTAGCACCGCTTCATTAAAATTTTCAAGTTTTTTGTATTTTTTGTGGGTAAATATTAAATCTATGTATGTTTGTGTTTAATTTATTGTCTGTGTGGTTTTTGCTCGCTTTCTGAACAAGTGAACAAGCGTGATTTGAATAATCTCATGGATTTGCATCCGTTTACAATTTGCATTTTACCTTTCCAGCATTTACTCTTTGTGGAAAATGGAAATCCACTGCATGTGCATACTGTAAATTGTAACAAACATTTTTTTTGCTTGATTTTGTGTTTGTCTTTAATGCTTTTCTATTATTAAACGTCTGAAGTGCGAGGCAAAAAATGTTTTACGAGCGCCCGCCATTCTTAAGCCACGTTAACGGGCGCAAAAAGCGCAAAAACGAAATTTACGATTTACGGACAAATCTTAATTAGGCGCCGGAGGGTTTTCCACATTGAGCGAATAAGTACGAGCACAAAAACGATTTATACCCAGAATCGTACAAATACGAAGACAAAAGTGAAATAATTATAATTATAAGCGAATGATGGTGTATCCGAAGCGTTCAAAGCAATCGTTATAAATAGATACGTAATTAGAATCCCTTTTCAGGTGTGTGCCTGAATGTTGCTGGGAATTCCCAGCGCAATTTATAAAATACCGCGAATATTTTCAACCCGTGCGCGTTTTGCTAATGGATTTCCATTGTAATCTTTCGCCCCGAAAACAATTTCGCTCGTTATATGCGCTGTGCGCCGCTTCGCTATAGAATTATGGTATTGAAATGTGCGTTTTACCTTGTGATATCGATTTGCACCACATCCCGCCGGGGTTTTGCTGATTTGCAGAGGTTTTCACTACAAAACTCGAAATCATTTCGGCAGCTTTTGCATGTGAATAATCTAACCTATAAAAATATAACAGTTAACGGTTTTTAAAATCAAGTTAGGCACATGACAACTTATGTAATTTGCAGTGTGTTAAAGAGAGATAAACGTTGTCGGATGCACTCGTTGTTTAGCGTTGCAGTGGAACACACGTTTGCGCACTGTGTCAATTTAAGTTTTGATTCGTGTTTATTTTATTGTAATTGTAATACTGACTATTCACTTTCGTACACGTTTTACACTGGGTTTAACGTGTTACTTGAGATAAACTTGTCTCATATCGCTCGAAACATCGATAAAAAGAATCAAAACAAAACAAAATAAAAGTGAAGGTTACACATTCCAGCGTTAGGGGGCAGCACAATGCAGACAATTCTCAACATTAAATTAAAAACGGTAAACATTAATAAAATACTAAATCTAAAATCCCAAATAAAACACATTTATGTTGATTTTATTTATAAATCGTGCCAATACAATCAAATTTACTCAAATTCACTTGAACAATTGCATTCATGTTAATTATAATCAATTCACAATTTTAGCGTTAATTAATACATAAATGTACTAAACGATTACGCTCACACGTCAATGTGTGGTGTTTTTCGTACACAATGCACAAGCATTTCAATTAATTGATGTGTTAAATTGTTGATAATTATCTTGTATTGTTCGACGCACGTTGCACAGGTTGTTGAGCGTTGAATTTATGTAAACTGTGCACGGTTCAAATGTTCGACAAGAGTTGTGTGGGTTGTGTTGGCCGTGCAGGGTCTGGGTGAACATTTTGTGAGTAAATTCGTGGAAATTCGTTGAAATTTGTTCGGTTCAGTGAATAAAATGAAAAACCGAATGAAATTCGGTGGAATATCGGGTTTCAATCAGGTTTATTCATTGTTTTTGGTTGAATAATATTAATACCGATAATTGCTTTTATTGAGGATGCGAAAATTACTTTTTATTGAAATTTTTATCGTGGATTTTATGATTTATATTAGTGTTAAGTTGGGATTTTGAGAGATAAAAATTGTCTGATTTTGAAGCCGTATAACTCTCGATTTGATAGAGCTAGAATATTGAATAAGATATCAAAAGAAAGGGAATTTAATTGAGAATAAATATGTTTTTATTGTAGATTATTATATTAATACATTAATATTTTTTGAATTTTTAAGCAAATCACTGCATAAAAATTGAAATTATGATTTTATTTAAATAATTCAAATTTTAAAGCTAAATAAATATTGTACACAATAGATAAAGTTCTTATCAGATAAATAATTAACTATACAATGTGTTAAAACTTTTCCTTTGTCTACATAATAACTTTTACGACTTCAGCTGTCTCTCAAAGTTGAGCATCAGATTAAAACTTAGTTCCAAGCGCACAATGCACACAAAATAACTTCATATATTAATAATGTTAATAAAATTAATTCCAAACTCATTACACATGATTGTTATTATTACGATAAAGAAAAAACGTATAATCAAGCTATAATTTAATGATTTTTATATAAATAACGTAGCGAATCGAAGATTTCTCGATTTTTTCTCGACGTAATTGATGTGTTATGATGTTGTGCACGTTTTTTCCTCTCCGCTAGGAAACACGACAACATCCATTGTAATGTAATAAATTTAATGGACATAATAATCGTAAGAAACCCACTCTTAGGTAATTACATTAGCCGTGAACTTCATTTTCGTATTTTTATCTTGATCCGCCTGCAAAACCGTAGAAAAAGCACCGTTACATATTTATTTTTATTGATTTTTTGTTGATATGTTACTGAATGGGAATGATGTGAAGTGCACCTCATGGATTATATCGAATGTGAGGCAAGTTGTGATGCTCGTTAGTGAATTGTGTCATCACAATTCACAATACATTGCTGCAACGCTTGCAGCACGTCGATTGTCATCTTCTGTGACACCTAATTGCATATTGTTAATGGTGGCACGTGTCGACGCATCAGAGAGTGTTATTAATTGTCCATTAGCAGGAAACTGTAGATGATTGCGTCTTAATTGGGTTCGAAAGACATTTATATACACATCATTATAGACAGAATCAGATTTTAGAATTGATGGTTTTTAAAGTCAATTTCCACGAATTTTTGAACATATTTTGATTGTTTAAAAAATGATTTATTATAGTATGGTTAATAGTATCCAAAATACTGAAAAGAAAATTAAATTTGATAAAGTAGTTTCTGAGATATTAATTATTTTGTAAAATGTATTATTTTGGTTTTAAATTTGTATATTGATAAATTTTATTGAAATTTAAAGACAATTTAAACAACTTTAAACAATTTATTTTTCTTTAAATAAAGTATCCATTAAAAGTCTGATTAATTATTTATAATATACATTTAAATTGATACGAATCGAGTAATTAGTTTATGAGTAATTGCGATTTTAAAAAATTATGTCAATATTTTAATTTTTAAATTCTTTCTGCCTTAAAATTCATAAAAATTCAATAAAATTATGAAATTATCCAGAATGTAAACACATTAAAAATTAAACCTAAACTAATTAAATCATTAAAATTAGTTTTTAACGTACAGAGTGTTTCCTAAAACCCAAAAACAAACAAAAAAAGAAATAAATCATTCTTTTAATCGCAATAGAATGCTTTTAAATGATTGCTTTATTCCGTTACAAGATTGAAGTGCTGCACCTAACCATCTGCATCACCTTACTCGTACATCTTACAAGTGCGTCACTGCGCCCCGTCCCTAAGATATTAAACCGCCCACGCGAGCGCATGCCGGCGACATCGACATCGATTCGCGTTTTACGTCAGGACGTTCAGGTTCAGGTTATTCAAATGCCACCAACCGCCTTGGAAACAGGAGTACAGCGAAGGAGAAGATCCTGAGGGGGTGGCGCTGATGCCATACGAGAGCTTTGACTACGCTTTGATTAAACTTCTTAATTGCGCGTCGACGCGGCGTGTCGTCTCGAATTGGCAACTCAATTAAGTGTCCTAAAAGCTGTTTTTGTTGCGCCACGCTTACAATCGGCTTAAAAAGCGCAGCGATAATAATTTATCGCTAATAAATTACTCGGTTTGCGCGAAATTTCATTTCGAAGCGATTGTAAACAGATTTACGTTGTCGAGTGCTTAGATTTAGTGCAAGTGAAGGAAATAATGCATTATGAAACTTGTTTTACATAAAATTTACCATGGAAAATGTGTTTTTAAAGGAAACAAATTGCTAGGTTGAGATATTGTGTATGTTGGGTTGCATACATATGAATATCGATTGAGTGCTTGTTTAATTAAACTTGCAAACGCAATAAAACGCCAAAAGCAACAAATTGATGCTATAAAACTATATTGACGTTTTATTAAGATGGATTTTATTAAGATTGATGATTGAGTGCGTTTTGTTAATGGAATTTGTTAGATTTTTATATCCTCATAATTCTGTAGGTGTAAAATAAGTTGCCTACATTTATTTTCAAAATACCATTAAAAATACAATTATATTGATGTATACTAAGTTGCCTACATTTAACAACGAAATAACTTGGTTGAATTGTTAAAAACTTTGAATATTTGCTTGAAAAACATGAAAATCTTCAGAAATACAACGAAAAACATAAAAATAAATGCTGGCATGTTAATATCTCGGAGTATTCGCAAAGAAAGCGAAAGTACGAGCAAGTTTAATGGAGTTTTCTCCTCCCGAGGATGGTTGAGAGGGTGTTTTCTATAAGGGATGAGTCCGCAAGCGGCGATTGTGTGTGCCGGCAAAGATGAAATGAAATAACTTGTTGAGTTCGTATCGTCGGCCGATGAGTGGCTCAGGCATAATGCAAACGAAAACGTAATTTGCCAACACGCCACCATCACATCATCCCCTAACTTCTATATATAAGGTATATATATTTTCTTTTCACTCAGCTGTCGCTTTGATCTCTGTCGCTGCGTAATTGGAAACAGTGAAACACTGAAACATTTCGCCAACTCAAATTAGACTTTCGAATTTTATTATTATTTTAGGGATGAAGAGGGAAAAGGGTGGTGGTGGCATGCGAGTATATGAGATGGATTTGAATTCGTGGATTACGGTTTCGTTTTCACCGGTGCGACGAATTTGATTTAGTCGGCGTGCGCGTGCACACAAAGGACTTGAAAAGAGAAGCGCGGGTGAAAAACGGGTGGTTTTTCCACGGGGGATGAGGTTGGTAAATCTAATCCCATGCTTGAAAATGAGCCAGGCACATGAATAGCTTTAAATTAAACTCTATATTAAAATAAAATTAATTTTTGCAAATAGTTCTAGCTTAGTACTTAAATGTAAAACAAACAAAAACTCATTTTACGCAAAATTAAATATCTTGAAAACTACTTCATCAAATTTAATTTTCTTTTTACCATTTTGTAGACTATTAACCACACTATAATAAAACATTTTTGTCGTGATAACGTCTTTAAAATCGTTTTAGCCGGGTGACATGTTCAGAAACTGTGTCACGAGGCCTCTCGAGGCCGATCGCAGGTATACCCCCCCCTCTCGTTATAACGAGAGAGAGACGGACCGATCTCCCTTCTCATCTCGAGCGCTGCCAGTCATTCCGTGAAATCCACACGAGCGGAGGCAGGCATAGCGTTCGAGTGAGTTGACCGATCTTCCGTCTCTCTCACTCTAGCGGCATACAAACGAATGGAGATTTTCTCGTGCGGTTAAGTTTTCGTTTAATGTTTAACAGTAAAACAAAATGTGAAGTGCAAGTGAAGTGTTACAACAATTGCAACAAACAAAACTTATATCACCAATAAGACGTTATCACGTAAACATCTCGATCGTAAACCTACTTTACAAACAACCATTTTTTAAACAGCCAAAATATGTTTATAAATACGTTGAAATTGACTTTAAAATTCATCAATTTTTCAATTTTCAATTTTTTTTAAATTAAATTTTTAGGTTAAAAATTAAAATGGCTATGATTTATTGCATTGGGGGCGGAGCTAAAGTGATTATAAAAAGCAATTAAAACTCATTTGTTTGTAGAAATTACCAATTCATGATTTTAATTGATTTTTTGTGCGTTCAAATGCAATTTTGCGCCACGGGTATGAAAATATAATTCCAGATTTAACATATTCACGAATCTGCAAATTGCGCGCCCGGCGATAATAAATAATGTAAACATTGCAGGAATGCAGAACAAAACACGCTGGCAACAGACAAATCGTTTCCGGCACGGCGCGTCAGAAGAAAATAACGCGCAGATTTAAATTACATACGAACATTTCATGCGCAAAACTTCATCTCCTTAAATTTTATACATACACATTTAAAACACTGAAATATTTAACCACATTTTTATATTTTTTTATTAGGTTATGTTAGGTTAGGTTATATTTGAAACTAGCGTTTGCTTGCGACTAACGCCCCGGTAGTGTTTAATAAAAATGTGTTTCTTTTTTACTCTCTTGTTCTAGACATATTATGTATCAATTCTATCAATAAGATTCGCAATTTTATTTGAAAGAAAGTAATTATATAAAGAATTGCTAATAATGCACTTCAGCGCGCCATCTCGGATTCAACTATTTAACTATAACTATGATTGAATATCAATGCCAACTTTTATCCTATATAAAAGAACTGTCTTTAGGGTTTTCCCGTTTTTTCGACGTAAAAAACCTTCCTTGGATTTTAACGAACATTTAAAAAACAAGAATTAACGAAATTGGTCTTGGCGTTGTTGAGTTATGCGCTTACCAACAGATTTTACCATTCATTTTTATATGATAGATTTAAAACACTGAAATTTTTAGCTACACTTTTATTCTTTTAGGTTATACACTTTATGGAGATTCGACATGTTGGACGGTAACTTTTCCGTTGTTATTGACGACAGTTTCAGCAACATGTTTAGTTTTTGGTACTCCGTTGACATTGTGCGTATGAGTGCTGCTGGCCGTCATGAAACCTTTGAAATTAGTTTTACCACTAGGAGCCAAATTGACAGGCTGGAAGGCATTACGCCTGTTTGGCATAGACTAAAATTTCGGAATTTTTAGTAAACCAGTTAATTTTTTTAGAAAATATTATGTTCTTACTGGATTCGCCGGATTTACAACTGCCGACTGCAATAAACCTTTGTTGCCAAATGAAGCTGCAGCAAAGCCTGCTCCTATTTTTCTGCTTGTTTCTGCGTTTTTATCAGTTTCACCTCTTATGAATTTCGCCATTTTTGCGTTGTCTTCTAGTATTTTCTTATGAACTTCCTGAATGCTACAAATTTTATATTAAATAATATTCTAATGATTTTATTGTAGTGTAAAAGTGTATAGTATAGGTTATGTAATTGTGTTTTACCTTTCAGGAGTGTCATATGTCAAAGAAGCTTGTGCTTTAATATTTTGACCATCACCAGTAGTGAAAGCGTAAGAAGTTATGCTAAAAGTGGGAAATACAAGAAGAAAGCGCCAGAAAATAAAAAGAAGAAAAAAGCAAAAAAGCATAGAATTTTTTTTTAAATGCGTACTTACCGCCTGCCGATATCATCATGTAAATTCCAGAAATTATTATAATAATTTTTATACTGTGAAAGAACATTTTCGGTTGCATCGGCGACTTTTCTAAGATGGTCGCCACCGAAACCATCATCAGGCACACCATCATTAGCTCTTCTTTGTGGTGCGTTGGAACCTTCATTACCTGCACTTTGATCTCCACTGGAACCATCATAACCAGCACTATGACCTCCGGTGGAATCAACATCACCTCTTCTCTGATTTCCGCTGGTATCAACATTTCTTCTTTGAGCTCCGCTGGGAGCAACATAACCTCCACCAAGACCTCCGGTGAGATCCAAAAAACTTCCAACATTAGCTCTTCTTTGAGCTCCGCTGGAACCATCATAACCTGCACTATGACTTCCGGTGGAATCAACATCACTTCCTCCATGAGTTCCACTGGTACCAACATTTCTTCTTTGAACTCCGCCGGGACCAACATAACCGCCACCAAGGCCTCCGGTGAGATCCAACAAACTTCCAACATTAGCTCTCCTTTGAGCCCCGTTGGAACCAGCATAACCTCCACCATGACTTCCGGTGAGATCATAATAACTTCCAATATTAGCTCTTCTTTGAGCCCCGTTGGAGCCAGCATAACCTCCACCATGACTTCCGGTAAGATCATAATAACTTCCAATATTAGCCCTTCTTTGAGCTCCACTGGGACCAACATAACCTCCATTTTGACCTCCGGTAAGGTCCAAATAACTTCCAACATTAGCTCTTCTTTGAGCTCCACTATAATCTCCACTATGACTGGTATAGGAATAAGCATTATTGGGTTTAAAATATTTTCTTCCAAAGGTAGCATTATAATTGTCGTCTCTACCATAACCACCTGCAATGGCATAGTTTATACCTCCGGATGCAGCTCCTGAAGAAACAAACAAAAAATTCATCATATTAATATAATACTCTAGAAATAAATACAAACCAGGCATGTATGATGCGCCAAAGGATAAAACTGCCATCAAAACAAACCATAATTCCATTTTTAAAGCGATGAAATGAAATAAACGTTTCTCAAAATGTGTCTGGATATTTTGCGATTTGTATTAACTCTGAGTCGAAGTGTTTGGATCTGCGTCTGATATGAAAATCAACACAATTCCGGACACCGCCGACGCATCACGATCGGCTCCAAATTGGAAACACAAACGGGTTTACGCTTAAGTTAACTTGACAATAGTGAAGTACCTACTCGTTGGGCTTTACTTTGATTAACAATTCAAGGTAACAAGGTAACAACCAAGTGGGTATTGCAACTATAGGAGCTGATTTGCCACGACATTATGGCGCATTGTTGCAGTTACGATGTCATTTTGATAATTTCCATTATTTGTCAAATTTCGCTCTGATTAATTTTCATTTTGTTGACGTTTTACATTCAACTGCGCAAAATAATAAACTCAACTAAAACAAGGTTACAATTAAAATATCAAAATATGTATGCAACCCATTTAACATTTGAAACATTTTAACTTTACTTTTAATTCTACGTTCATTGTGATTTAGCTTTTAGCTTTCATGTACTGCGAGAATGTTTTTGTTCAAGTTCCGAGTTCCGAGCGCACGGTCAAATATTATTTCAGCGATGATAACATGATAACAGTGCCACTCGAATATTGTGGACAGTACATGCGCGAAGCCTTGCAAATAGGTCAATGCAAAATGTCAAGTTCAATTCCGATAAAATGTAGAAATAGACGAAAAACAAAAATTATCCAATTTCACAATAAATCTACGCAATACTTTACAATACTTTATTGTTTAAAACATAAATTATTTCATTTCGGACTGAAAGTCTTAACTTTTCGCTTTCTTTGTTTGAAATAAACTTGGAGTTGAAGTTCAAACGCGATAAAAGCAAAAGTATGAATAAGTATAAAAGTCACAATAAGAATAACACAGCCGACCGCCTGTTATTCCTGATCCTGCTTTTCCCTTCTTGAGTTTCCTTTCATTTCGCGAGTAAAAACTCTTCAATCTTTTCTTTTCGCTGTTTTCAAGTTGATTCAACGCGCTCAGACGTTTTCTGCCAGCTCAACACTCGATAAAAATGTGCGGATAACGAAAACCAGTGTGTCGACAGACGGAAATATATGACAGGCGACAATAAACAGGAAAACCGGAAGTATTTCTTAGATTTTCTAAGATATACTGAGTGTTTTTAATTTTTATTCTATCAAAATAGAAAATAAAAGTAATATTTCGATAGAAATTTAATATAGGCAACTTGAATCACATAAAAATTAAATTTTGAATATTCAATGGAATTTTTGGGTTATTCATGAATAAATTTTGTTGTATTTATGCATAATTAAGATAAATTGCTTGAAATAAAGTTAAATAAACGTTGATTGCGAAAAATTTCGTTTCGTTTCGTTTCGAAAAACTCCACTTATTCGCCGCGTTTGAAAGCAAATTAAATTATCCGCACACAATCAACAATGGCGTTAGAGGGATGAGCGCCCGGAATCGTAGACGCGTCAGCTGCGTGGCTCACACACACCGCCCTCGGGAAGCTCGGGAAACTCGTGGAGAACGTTCGCCGGCGTTAATTTCGCTGCGCGCGGGCACGCACTTAACTAAATTACCCAATTTTAAATAAAACACACTCTGACGATGACGCTCGATTTTCCCTGACGTATGAAAACGTCCAGAAACACTGGCATAGCCACACAAAAAAACGTATACGCCTGTCACTGCTCCTCGAGCGCCACAAAAGAACTTCAATTAGCAAAACGAGAAAAACATTTATTACAGCACCCTCGAAATGTTCCTCGGCGCTGGAGGATCAAAGGTCCGCACGTATACAGCCAAAAAATGCGTGGGTACCAAAATATACAAAGTGTTAAACGAAATAAACAGATTATCTACGTGAATATTAAGAAATTGCGAAAAATATCATCAATCATGGAAATATAAAAACATGTGAGGAATATACACGTGTCGGGCAGGTTTTTTTATTGCCACGCGTAAGATTTCACGCGATTCGATAGTGGCAATTTTCTTTTTTTGCTCGCCCACGTTTCCGACGTTTGCAGCTCGTAAATCTCGACCTCGTTCGGATTGCAATCGATTACAAGTGCTGTATCACGTTATTTTACTCCCCCACATATTCTTAACCTACCTTAGGGACCATTTTTAAGATATATACAACACAATAAACTGTAATGGTGTATTACAAGTTGCCTATGTTAAAATTCACTAATTAGTTGTAATTTGACGATTAAAACGGTGACGACAAAGTTTCCAGACGACATTTTAAGTCTTTTAGTTTATTTCGATGTAAAAAAAAGTAATTGTGTGCTTTGGTTCCGTGTTGGTGTTGTTTTTCTTTGCAAAATCATCATTAAAAATGCATTACTGCGATGCCATCGAAATATAAAAGTCGTTGAAGATGCTAACGCGCAGCCACTGCGATTTATTGCCTCACAAAGTCAAAGTCACACCGAATATTTATTTATTTATACTTTTAGTGTAAATTTAACATGTTTTATTTACGTTTTTTGCTTAATTTAGCTTTGTTTGGTTGTTTTTTAATTGTTTCATGTAAGTATATCATAGGCAACCAATTATACACGTTTGTTATATGTTTAGTATACTTTTAGGTAGTCCACAGTATTATGTAACGCCAGACGACTCGCCATTTCCTACAACCGGAAGTGGGATAGCTTCCTGGTCGAATTATAACAGATATGGCGCTGGTGCATCACAAGGACCATTTCAATATTATCCTTCGTCATCCGGCGCATTCGACACACAATCACTTTCATCGAGTTTCTATCCTAATCAGAATCAACCAACGCTCGGTTTCTACCCGCAACAATCAACCACTGGGCTTGGTTCCACTCAATTAACTTCGGCTTCATTGGACGCGCTCCTAATGCGGCCATTGTTGGTCATTGATAGTCAAGTATTCGCCATGTATGAACTCATAAAATGTTGGGAGCGGCACGGCGAGCTGAAAAAATGCGTGAAACTTATTGAAAAATGCGACCAGCTGTTTAAAAAGAAATCCACAGGGGGAGATGACGACGATGATAAGAAAAAAGGTAAAAAATCAAAGAAAAGTAAAGGAAAGAAAGGCAAGAGGACTAAAAAGAAAAATCCAGATAGTGAAAACGCCGACAGTCAGGAAGATGACAAAGATGATGAAAACGCCGACGAAGACGACGAAGAAAATGACGAAGAAGAATGATTTTGATTAAAGCGTTATTTCACGGATGATTTGAGGTTGAAAAATTGCTGATTAAGTATAATCATAATCAACTTAATCACAACACAATAAAAGAAATACTTTTGATGTATAAATAGTTGCCTACGTTAACGCACACATCAAAATAAAACAATTTTTTAATTTTACTCTCTACGGTAATATTGCACGAGTCTAGAATGTTCAGAAACATATTTTATAGGTAATCGATGTTGCAGACTGCGTTATCACATAATACTATGCACACATGACTAACCTGATTAGATTAGGTTATTGACAAAGGTGCATACCGATCGATAACTCGCAATAAACGCAAAACAACTTCAAGCTATAATATTTAACATCTTAATATGACATAACCTAAATTATAATCTCTTCATTCAATTGTTTTGTTAAGAAATATTAAATATTTTAATTTTTCTTGGTGTTTTTTTAATGTTGAATAATTTACATCTCTTGTAAGACGTGTTTTCGTGTGGGTGAGACACGTAAAAGCCGGTGAGTGCTTCCTGGCCACTTTCTGCGCCTTCCGGCGCTTTCTGCAAGTTGCCGGCTGTTAAATCCTCCCTTAGTCTACCACCCTCAGACAACGCAAATTGTGCCATTAGGGCTATTATATTTATATGTACTTACTTACACAGAGCTCTGGGCTCTGAGCGTTATTTTCGTTTTCGCTTGTAGTTTTAATGCGCGTTCTACAAAAGGTTCTAACAAAGGTATTAGGCGTTTTTGAGGTAAACATAAAACATAATTTAGAGCATTTAGACTTCATATTTTATTTCTGAAACTGTCAAAAGTTTAAAATTGAGGTCATCTACGTATCCAGTCTGGTTTTACAAGAATAACAGAGAAACCATCGATGTATTCATGGATTTTACCATCGTCATCATTATCAGATGATGAAGAAGTTGTTGTAGTTGATGTTGTTGAAGTGGTAGTTGTCCTTGATGTTGTAGAAATTGTGGGACGACTTGTCGAAGACCTAGATGTGGTTGACCTTGACGTTGTCCTTGAACTTGTGCTTGGATACTCTGTTGATGATTCTGTTGAGGTTTCAGAGGATTCAAAGCTGTCTTCGTTGCTTTGACTGTCACAATCTTCATTACTGTCGTGGTTATGATGACCATGGTGACCATGATGGTTATGCCAAGGTCTATGACCGTGGCCATGACTGTGACCATGACCATGCCCATGGTATCCATGATTATGATGTCCTTGATGTCTGAAATCCTGTCCATGATGGTTATGTCTTCCACCGTGACCTCCATGACCTCCATGGCCTCCATAATCATACCCAGGTGGGAAATAGGGTGTAGGTCCTACAGGTTGACCAAAGCGACCAAAAATTGGTAAAGCAGGTAATGTCGGCGGGCGTGGTATACCAAGATTAAAATATGGATTAAAACCAAAGTTTTGACGGTTTCCACGATGAGACATTTCTGTGTCTTCACTTATTTCATGACTTAAAATTCTCCCGTCAATATTATTGACAATCACAGCGAATACACACAACCAAAGATACATTTTGATACATTTATACTAGAAACGTTCTTGTCAAGCTTCAAAATGATACTAAATGTTGTCTAAGACTCCAAGAACGTCAAAAATGTATATTTCCAAAGTGATAACTTAATGACAATTTAATTAAGATGTTGATAATGTAAACAAAGTGATAAGAAACCAGTATATTTATTATTGTTTGCAGTAAACAAATTCAATTTCAATTCTTTGTTTGGTTTTGGGTTGAACATTGCACATTTCGAACAAATTCTGCACTTTACGCGTCCACGTTGATATGACAGATTTGACGAGCCCAAAACGTGCAGATAACGAAACAATGCGCGTGCAGACGAGTGTGGAAATGCAGATTGCATTGATTTTCTCTGCGTTTTGCCCAAACAAGCATTTACACGATTGTGGAGTGTTTGGAAAACGTCCGGAAGTAAAGCCGGAACGCCAGGAACACCGAAACATGACGTGCTATCGTGTTAAATTAGAACGACGTGCCTGTAATGCGGAATTATTGAGAATTATTGCGTTGTTTGCTTTGGAAACTCAAAATGTCTGCATGTCAATCAATCATGCATCAAAACACCGACTAATTATGTATTAAAAACCTCATGAATAGCATTAAAACATCCATTTTGTATTATATTTACAAATAGTTCAATTTTTGATATATAGGTGGCGCTGTATGAAGATTAACCTAATGTAATACAACGCCATTCAATAGAAATGATTGAATGTGATGAAAAACACGATGAAAGTATTTCTGGGAATTAAATGCGTTGCATAACGGATGTTTATCTTCACGTATATTTGACAATATTGAATTCATGCCTGCAATTCGTCATGGTCACGATTCAAGTTTGAAATCAACTTATACACACACGTAGTGCTGTTTACATTTGCATCCACATTCAAACGCCATATGTGGTCTTGTGCTATAGGCGTCAAAAGTCTGAAAACCTCAAACCTCTAACCTCAAACGCACGAACTTCACATCGGCAACTTTTTTCACACTCCGGTTCGCACATACAATGCTGGTGTGTACCGTTGGCTGCCTTTCAATGCGGACAAAAAGTTTAATATTCGTGTTTTCATTTTATTCGTATTCAAAGCTTAGGAGGTTCGAAACACGCGAAATTGTTTTGTTTTGCCTTCGAGATTGCGATTGCGATTGTATGGTGATGAAACGTGTGTGCAGCAGAGATATAGGAATACAAAATGGCGGCGTGGCTACGTGCGCAACAAAAAGTTTAATTAATATTTTGAAATTACCTCAACCTTTCGAGATTATACTTTACGTAGACAAAAACAAAAGTTTTATTGTTTATAAAACAATAATTAAATAATTTATTGAGTGTTTTATAAAATAAAATGTTGTAGTCAGTTAGTCAGATAATTTCGATTTGCGTTCGCCATTTCATTATCTACGAATACGAATATTTGTATTTGGTGTTGAAAGTTTGTTTTACTGTATTTGCTATTCCGAGTTATTGCGAGCTTGTCTGCAATATTCCCAGAATTTGTCTATCAGCAACTCAGCAAGATAATCCATGCTCAAAAATACATTTTTCTAGGTAATAAAATATAAATTTTACGTTTTAAACAATATTTAGTGATTATTTGCTCCTCCCAATGAGTTCACTAAGGATAGGTTATGAGTAATTGGTTGCATAAATTACCAAAATGCAATATTACAGATAATTACAAAATTATGCAAATTTATCTTGTTTTGATGATTCAATAATAATAAAATGATTACATATTCATAAATTACTCAAATGATTAATAATTGTTTAAAAAGAATCGAAATTATTCATTCAACAAAAAGCGAAATTCAAATTTAAACAGTATATAATTAACAAATCGTTTAAAAGATGAAATCCGGGATATTAATATTGTTCAATCATCAGGATCTTCAAAATGCACTGTTGCCAAATGTCAAATTAATATTTTAACATTTACATATAAATAAATAAATAAATAAAAATCGTGCGTTTCCGAGTGTTGGTCAAAGTCAAAGTTGATTCACGACACTTGATATTTGATATATCCGATATAATAGCGTTAATCAAATTAAATCCACGCAGAATAAAAGTATTGTACGGTATAAATCCGTGAATCATTTGATCTTTGATTCGTTGTTCGAACGATGACGAAGGATTCGGTTTCGCATATGATCTAATCAGACATTCAGACACTCGATTCACACACGAGTAATGTGTTTACATGCTTTTATTCGTTTATCGTCTCTACACTTATTTATATTAGAATTTTTTCACGCTTACTGTTTGCAACGGAAGACGTCTCAAGGATTATACTCACTTTACTCACTAAACGATAAAAATCCATTAATATATAAAGTGTACAGCGTAAAAATCATAATGTATGCAACTAATTAAACATATTGTATTTTATTTTGAGGTTATTACAGGCATACTGTATGTAATTTTGTATTATTTGATGAATAATTAACCATTATCATTGGTGTAATGATGTTGCTTGGGTTGTACTTGAAAATCGTGCGCGATTGTGTGTGAAAAGCGATTAAAATTTGAGTAATTATTTAATGGCGGCAATGGCGGCGCGCACGTGAAGAGGTCGAAAGGTCAAGCTTGTCGAAAACCTTCCGCTTTTCATTCCTTTCAATACAATATTCCATTCCGATTGAAATCAATAATTATAATGAATAACAATTCATTTACTACGCTTAAACTTTAGAAAAAAGAACTATTTTAAGGTTATGATGAAAATATGCGTAAAAAATACCTGTGTATAATAAAATAATCATTTCTGCTAATGTGTGTAATTGTCCTGTAATTGTTTTGTTCCTAATCACGCAATAATACTCATAATTACAGTTGTTGTAAATTTAATTGTTTTATACTAATGGTGTTTAGAAATGTTTAGTGTTAAAAAGTTTAATAATAGCTGGACATTTACGATTTTATTGTTTTAACTTATAGAATATTATTGTTTGATTAATAATTTTATCGGAAAGCGGAAAAAACATCCATAAAATTCATAAACGATTCAACGTGGAACTTTTACTCGTTAAGTGAATAATATCAAAACAAAAAATTAAAATACTGATTAACCGTATGCAAATTAATCTGTGAGTCATCAAGAAATTGTTTATATAAATAGTTAACTCATAATAATATTTTTATTCATAAAAAACGCACGAAAACAGTAAATTCTTTTATTTCTTTCTATTTTTACGTCAGTGAATACATCCTGAATCGTTTTATGCAATATTAAAACGAGTTGTAATGTGAAGTTAGTGTATAAATTGAAATTGGAATTGAAATTGCAAAATATCCAGTGATGACAGGCGAATAACGCAAACCGCACGATAAAAATCTATTCGCAGAGACAATGCGGAAAATAAATGCTTGTAAATAAATAAACAAGTGCCAATCACAAGTCCGAAAGTTAATAATAATTAAATTCCCTTTTCTTTATGAGTAAATCAATGATGTTTATGTTGTAGCTTTGATTTTTTTGCGGTGATTATTAACAGAATGCAATAAATCGATGTTAATCGGCGGTAAAAGATAAAAATCGTGAGTTTCAATGATTGAATCGTCATTGGAAGAGTGTTCACATTCAATCGAACGCTTTGTCTGCTTCATTTGCAGTAATGCACGTTTATTATGCAGCTAATTATTATAATTTTCACATTGCATCAGCGTTAATAAAATCAGGAAGACTAAATCGTATGTTGCAAGTTGTTAAAGTTGCCTATACATCGAATAACCTCCATAATGTAAATATTTTGTTTTTTGCTGATTACTAAATAACGGTTTATTTTTTATTAATAAAATTTTAAGAGTATATACAGTTTTAAATTATCTTTCAATTGATGCTTGATTCAATACTGTTTGATTTCTGAATCCAAAGTTATAACGATTCAAAATTGCACTTCGTTTTTTGTTGTTTTTTGCGTAGTGTTTGTGCGTTAGTCGAGCAGACAAATTGCTGTAATAAATTCCATCGATTTCGAAACGCCTTTTCGTCGACCTGTTCCAACTCGCTTGTTCGTTAAAAACGTTGCAAACATTTCTTCACGTCCCTGAAAACTCCCTCTCGTTAGCAAACGTTCCCACATTGTATTTATTCCACATTTCGGAACGGAATGTGCATTCCGCACATAATTTTCTGGTAAATTTTTATTTATGATTTTCGAAATTATCTTTTGTTGCACACGCGAGCGACGAACCGACACTAATATCACGCTTATTCATCATGCATAAAATTAGAAATTACTGGGATTACTGGAATTTCAGTTTTAAGACAAACGACGCAACTATTAAATGTGTTAAACGAAGTGGGCCAAGAAAACCACCACCAGGAAATAAACCCCATCAAGCGACGAGTTAATCTTAATTCCGGCAGCGTTACGCAGATTAAACCTTAATTAATCATCTTAAAAAGTATAAAACTATTTCTGATAATAAATCATCACAAACGCTCGCATTTCGCGAAAAACTTATATTTTATTTTTATTATTTTATTATTCCAACGATGACAAACTCAAGTGTTCTTGGTTCATCATCTAAATGATTATTTCCTATTTACTCGGCGAAGAAATATGTGTTAAGTGTGCAGTGATAAGCAGCGGTAAATGCCAAAGTGGGCACTTCTAATCTGCGTCGCGTTTCGCATCCGAAGACCACACCGCAAGTCGCAACACGAAGCCCACAGAGATGATGATGATGCTTTTATATGTATATAAAAGGTAATCCGAGGCGAGTCAATGGCCAGTCGGTTTGCGAGTGCCGGTCGCGCATCTCAACTTTGAATCCGCAAAATACTCAACGTGAATCAACCACGCACCAAAATACTTCACAATGAAGTTCAGTATATTACTGTGTTTTATAGTGTTCATCACAATGTGCAATCAAATCGGTATAAATAACATTTAAAACCAAAAAGTGAAAAAATAAAAAAATTACTAAAAATGATTTTCTTCAGATTCTGCACCTTTGGCACTTGCCAGTGCCCGTCAGTTTTACCACCTATGCCTGGATATATCCCTGTATTCATTCGACAAGGTGACGAACCGCTGGAGAATATTAATCTGGATTTAGCGGCTGCGTTCCGCGCTTACGCAGCGAAGCATCAGATCAACACAGGGCGAGCCATCAACGAGTTGCAACCGCAGCTACCTGCGGACCTTCCGAAGGAACCACAGACGAAAACAGGTCCGGAAGACGCCGAGCATAATTCGGCGCATATTCAGAAGATTGCACCGTCGAAGAAATCAACATAATACAATTGAAAAGTTTGGTTATGTTTGTCATTTTGTCATTGACAGATTATTTGTATAGGTTATGTTTAGGTTATGTGTAATATGTTCTAGAATTTGTAATCTAGGCTAAAAGTTGTAATAAATTTGTGATTTAGACATACATACAACATATATGATTGTGTTTTAATAATGACCTCATTCACCGCTTTCGCTAGCTATGTTTGATTAAGTATTTTATCTTATCTAACGTTTGCAGGTTGCTTGGGGATTTTATCCTATGATATTGAGTTGTACAGGTACAACAGTTGCAGTGTAATCAAGTTTCAGTGAATACGCACGTTAAAATTTATGAAAATCTTGTAATTTTTACATAATAACTTCAAAAAGTAAGTTTAAAACTGTTTTTATGCATTTTTTCCTTAATTTTTACTTAAGACATTTATAAAAATATGTAAAAAACATAATTACGAAACTGGGTGTGCCATAAAATGACTCACATATTCTTATCATAGTAAAATATTAATTTAGAACGCCATTTTAAGTAATTTTGACTTAAGTCACGTTATTTTAATTAAATTAGGAATTTATGTACATTTGTACCTATATAATATATGTTTTGCTCCAATATTAATAATTATTTGAGTTTTATAAGAGTTCTGTTTGTTCCGCCATTTTGTAATAATTGATAACGCGCATTTGATCTACTTATCAATTTATTGACACGAAAAGTGTGTGTGTATCCTAATTTTAGCTTCGTTTTTAGTCACCAACTGTGGCAATGACACAACTGATGTGGATTGCTGCGGCGGCCATCTTGTTGTCATGCGGATGGGTCCACGCCTCGGCCAACACCGGCTCCAATGTGGCTGATACTTTAAGGATATGTTACAATACAACTGAATTATATCATCCGGAACAACGTCTTCCGGCTACCATCAATATGTTTATTGATCTTATCAGGCAGATTGAAGATGGCGCACCTAACTTGGACGCAAGGACACTATCAATTCAACTTGCACATCGGTAAAAATATCATTTCAGTTTAAGTTAATGCATGTAAACGTGTTTTTGTTATTTTTGTAGTTTCCGTCAAGATGGTATCCAAAAATCATATTATGCAAACCCTAATATCAACGTGTTACCCTTTTCCCCGAAAGGTGAAGAGGCCAACAAGAACCGTGTTATGTTAGATAAACTGCTACCAAATGTTGGAAGTACCTTCCCAGACAATACTCTAACTTTGGTTGAACATGTTAGTAATTCCCATCCATATTCCTACTGATATCAACTAATTTTACTTTTGTTTTAATTAGTGTGCAATGCATTTCATGAGTTCCAACACTGTAGAACTTAAGGTACGAGGTGATGAAAGTACTGTCTGTAAACATGCTGGACAATATCGTCGTCGTCCGAGACAAGCCAAAAACGTCACAAAACCTGAACGAGAAGAATTCGAAGAAACGTAGGCAACTTAATATACATTAATACTTTATATACTAAAATATGTCTGATTTTCAGGAGTGCCCTTCAAGAACCCGCAGTAGAACGTGTGAATATAAACATTGGACGTAGTGGTGGTCTAAACAGTGACGAGGTGAGTGATTGCCCTATGGAAAACGGTGTGGTCTACACCCGTTGGGGAGAAATACAAGCTGGTACCCTTTTGGCCGCCATTGCATCAGGTTTCGAAACGCAGAGTTTTGTTCAGGATGATATTGTACTTGATAGCAAATATGCTGTTACCGTTGCAGGTATACCTTCTTTACTTCTTACTTCTTTCTAAACATGGTACCACTATGTAAATTGGATGTTTCTACAGGTGATTTAGTAGAGGTAGCTTTCCTGGAAGGATCAACAGAAGACAAGTTCAGTATTGGTGCCAAAGGTGGTTTTAACAGTACCCTCGCCCCACATTACTACTTCAAACAAGGTAAACCAAGAGTTTTTCTTACCAACCCGGAACTCCGAGCGGATTTGGACGGTTTGATCCTTGCTTCTAATGTTCGGGCCTGGAGTGATAAGTATCGTAACCTGAAGGTGTCCCAGATCCTGGATGCTTATTATTCCGATCGTGGTGTGTTCTCAACTGAGTACAGGGCATGTAACAGGAATAAATTTAATGCGCAATACGCACCTTCTGAGATTCTCAAACAACAAACCGTGGCGTTTGCTGAGCTGTACAACAAGGACACCACTTTTGGTGTCTCACCTGATTCGGAAAACATCAAGAGTTTAACGTCTAGAGCTGTTGATGCTTATAACAATGGAATAGGTATGTTTCCCAAGTCAAAAAATTAGAAAAATATTAAAGGTGCCCTTAAATTTTATTCCAGCTCAAATAGCAAATGTAATATGCGATTATGATAACCTGGACAGAACTGCTACAGACTTGATCATTGTTTTGGATACCACATGGTCCTTTGATTATGTCCATCGTACAATATCTTATATCCTTGATAATTTGGATATTAATAAGTATGAGAGTAATTATACTGTGGTCAATGCTAAAGATGGTACCATCATGGTAAACTCCACCTGGAGTATTTCCAAGTTTGCTCAGTATGTAAACAGGACAGTTTATGATAACAGTAAGTGATTATAATCCTCATCAATAAATTAGAGATAACTATTGGTGTTTTTTTTAATCTTCAGGTGCGAAAGGTTTTGATTCCTATAAATCAATGTTAGCTGTTGAAGACCTTCATGAACAGCGTGCCCTGATGCACCAGGATAAATCAAAGTTGAATGGGAAATCATCAACGGTACTCTTCATGCCAAAGACAACAGATTCCTCTCAGGGAAGTACGATTTCCAGCAGATTTAGTTCTGTTATGGATAATTACTATCCAGGTAAGAATATAATCAAAAGATCTTAAAAGATCAAATTTAAATGTTTTGTATTTGAAGGTTCCCTGCATATTGTTCTTGGAACTGGTAGCCGTGAAGTTTACAACAATTTCGTCCGGAATCCTTCCTCGGATATTTTCATCGTACCTGAAAGTATTCCCAGTTCCGAAACTGATGTAAAAATGACTCTGGACAACTTAATTCATCGTCTACGTGAAGGTACCCCTGAAAAATTATAAATATTTTGTATTTTTACTAATAAAAATAATATTTCCAGCTCCCAGGAAGATCATCAACCCTAAATGTGGAAGTTCCATGTCTGGTGGTACCAGCTCGGATACAATGGAAGTCTACGTCGAACCAGGGACTACCAACTACTACAAGGTGTCCAAACAGTTCATTTCCGGCGAGGGTACCAAAACGTTGAAATTCAGGTCGCAGGCCAATGGCAACCTCACCATCTGTTCAAGCAAAGACGATGATAAACCAACTGAAAACTGTGTAGTCCTGGGTTCTGGTGAACAAAGCATTGAATTGACTTCCGGTAGTGATTTCAATTTTGCATTGGTCGCTGGTCATACCACAGAGACTTCAAGCGCTCGTTGCGCAGGTAAACACATAAATAACTATATCATAGGAAAATATTGTAAAATGTAAATATTTTAAAAATTTACAGATAACGGTTGTCGTTTCACTGACAACCTCAAGGTCACCGTACAAATCGATGGTTTCAGCTGCAGCGATCCAAACTCTGGGATGAAACTTACCAGCTCATTCACATGCATCATGACCGTTATGATTATCAGTTTTATCAACAAATTTTATTAATATAGTATACTGTCGCTTTTCATAAACTTATCCATATTTAAATAAAACTTTTATACTAAATTTTAATATTTGCTGTTTGCATTCACATTTTTTTTATTACAAAAGTAAAAGATAGTATTTGTAACACCCAAATGCAGTGTTTACCTTACTCTCGAATTAGATAAGATAACATAATCTATTGTGTTCATTTGATGAGTGTTCTGAATAATAATCAGTTTTTGTACACCTTTGCACTGCAGCTGCCAAATCGCAGTTATTTCAGTTTAAGTCAGTTTGTAACGCATGTAAAATGATTAAATTCTTAATTTTTTGTTTATTCGTTGATTTGGTGATGAGTTTATCTTCTCAGATTCCCACACAATTGATTAAGTGCTACAGTGAAGAGTATGACCTACAAACCGATCATTTTCCGCCGTTTGAACCGCGAACTTTGGTAGAATTGATCAGGAAATTGGAACACAATAAAACAGAACCTAATATTCGATTGATATCCAATGCTATTTTACATGTGTAAGTAAAATATTAGTAGTATTAGTGGTACCATCAATATTTTTGTGTTTTTTAAACATTTTTAGTTCAAAATTTGATGGTATTCAACACGCATCCATCTCAAGATACACCAGGACGGTTCTACCATATCGTGGAGTAGGCCCACAGTTTTTCAGACATTCCTACCTGGTAGATCACCTCACAACTGGAGAAAATGCCAATTTACAATTTCCGGATGTTCTTACCACCAAGGAATTTTGCCTGTTACATTTTCTTATCTCTGATACTGTTGATTTACGCCTGCGGGGAGATGAAAGTAAAACCTGCTCGATTAATCTAAACAAAAAATTAGGTCATCTCCAAGATGAATCAAGGTATACCTTCAGTTTTTACAATTTTATTTTGAGGTTAATTTATTTAATATTTTCCAGACCTTTTGAGCGTGTAACTGAATATTCTGATTGCCCTGAACAAAAAGGTGTGATTTACACTAAATGGGGCACTGTTTCTGTTGGTCCCTTGATTGCTGGTATAGCATCAGCTTTTGAAAGAACCAATAGTTCAACAGATGTGGATAATGTATGGCTGGCGACACTCGGTGGTATGTTGGGGCAAGCGATAATCAATCAAGCAACTGATAAACCTAATATCTTCAATACGGGTGTTTGGAACAACACCATCAAACCAGGAAAGTTTTATCTGAAGGGAAATCACTGGGATGGAAATGTAGCACAACTACTTGGAGCTATTGATGGTATGGTTACGTGTATATGTTTAAGTCCTCGGTGGGGAAACTTTTGAATTGCTCCCGAAATGCCCGAAACGCGGGATTAACACGCGGCGCTTAAACAAATCGCCCTTTGAAGGCCCAAAACCGACTCGAAACTAAATAATCCGCGTGCGCCACTCGACTCGAACGCTTTCAAAGCGAGGTGTCGACGCAAAACGACCCACGAGAGCTTTAACGGTTTAGTTCTCGCATTAGGACGATTGAAAAACAAAACAAACACAACCGCAGACACTAATACTCGGCGAGCATTTACCATTTTCTGTTTTGAGGTTGTTTTCAAGCATTTTGAGGTTATATTCAGTATGAATAGGAATCTATTGTGTTGATATTTAGTCAATGTAACACGTAAACATTATTATACGAATCGGAGATGATAGAAATTTGAATTTCAATTCGGGTTGCGATTATTCGGGAGCGTCAGCAATCGCTTTGATTACCGCGATTACAATTTCGAATTGATCAGCCAACAGACGCCATTTGCTTTGGTATTAATTAGTAAACCGAACTCGGCGATCGATGCAAACGTGTTTCAGCATTATCAAAAGGAAATTATTACTAAATCAACACATATACCACACAGGAAACTATTTATATTGCAATCAAATTCTTTTAATTCAAATTCGATTTTTTTTGTGACAAAATTTTGATTATTTTCTCTACAAATTTTAAAATACTTTTTGAACTAAAAATGATAGAGACCAACGGATTGCAGATTTAAAAACTTCTAAAATTCTCTAAAAGTCCCAAAAAATGCGATTAAAATTGCTTATTCAAAAATTTTACATTTTTTTTTCTTCATTTGCAAATATTTCGTAAACTAAAAATGATAGAAAGGAACGTATCAAAGATTTAGAAACTTCGATAAATTCTCTAAAAGATATGAAAATAAAATAATCATATTTTAATAGGTAGAACTTCACAAAATTTAATTTAAAGTGATAATTTGAAATTTTTTATTTTTTTGCCATTTTTTTCAATTGCAAATATCTCAAAAACTAAAAGCAATACAGAGGAACGGATTGAAAATACTTAATCTACGGAAAATTCTCTTTATAATAAAACATTAAAATCAGCAAGAAAAATGTTAAGAGATGCTTGATCATGTTTATTCTCATATTTTCCCTGAAACTTTTTCTATCGAAAAATAAAAGTAAAAAACTTTCAGCATAAATAACGCGGAAACTTCTCACATTACCATTTGCTATATTTCCGTCGCCAATCGACGTCTTCCGCATTTAATACGACCAGCTTCCGGTTCAATCAAAATATTTGTATTAATATACTCCTGTTTTTATTTCTCGCTTCGTAGGTTTTAATTTGTTTTCTTTCGTCACAACGATGTTATTGTTTTGTTTGTGTCTCTGCAGGATTGATTCTCTCCATGGAGGTGCGCAGGTGGTATCACGAGTTTCCGGCGACGAGTTTATCCCAGTTAATTTCGACGTATTACTCGCCTCGGGGTGTTCCATACGACCATAGTATTCGAGCCTGCAATCGAGAAGAACGATTAGAGAGAATTTTCAAAGATTACAACATTACAAAAGAAGTAAGGTTAACCATTTATATATAATCCGCCATTTTGATATATTCAACACTTTCTTTAATATTTTAGGTTATAAAAGTGACACAACTATTAAACACTTATGGAAATTATAATGTGAAGTTAGTTGATGAAAATATTTCTAATTTGGCCAAGGGTGGAATAAACCATTTGAATTCTAATATTGGTAAGTGATGACAATAATAATATCTTAGTTCATTGACCCGTCATGTTACCCCTACCCTTCTCATCGGATAAAATACACAAAATGGCAGCGCGTCGATGTTTATGACCCGTGACCGTTTGATTCGCTGACCGCAGGCTGGAATTTTATTGGAATCGTTGCGAGCGCACTTTTTTCGTCGATAAATCAAATTAAGCGAACGACTGGTGAACATTCCCTAAAGCCGAACAAAAAATTACAAAAACGCGCGCTCGCCAGAGATAAAATAATCAAATCCAATACAGGAAAATCGTTTCGGCGGGAATCTGCATGAACTCCGCTCGGGGGAAGAATCTATTTTTACGACGGCGACGCCATTTTATTGTGCTTTGTTTTGTATGTGGATGATATTTTTTTCATAATCGATGCTTGTTGACGCAGAGAGCTTTTAGATTTTTTTTTTGTAATTTACATTCATGCTTAATTTTTTTGTTTGTTTGTAGGATTATTGGTCTCGGCGTTCAAAGAATGCGAGAGTAAAGATTCGATGGGAGTTCAAAAACGTTTAGAAGTGATTATAATCGCAGATCATAGTTATACACAGTATCAAATGGAACTGGTTTTCTCGTGAGTACAAAACTAACCTAAGAATACAGCTATTATCATTAGAATTTGTAACATAACCTCAAAATGTTTAGTTACAAAGTCAAAAGTTCATAATGAGTCTATTAAGACTGCATTTTGCAACCTGCACAGTGATTGCATTAATTTATCTCTACACCGCCTCCACCACCCCCATAAACTCCTCTAATAGTTTCAATTTCACCAAAACAATGGTAAACGTTATTTTATCTACAAAATCTACAGGTATCTGGTTGATCAAGCTGATGTATCACATTACTCCAGTCGTATTGGGCTTATAAGCGGAACTTCCGGTCGATGGCTAGTGAATATCACCAATGACGTCTTGGAAATTTACGAATCCATGTCTAAAATCAACAATAACGATTGTAAACACATAACATAACCTAAATTTTACCTTTTTACCATTTACTTTTATTATTTACAGGGCCTAGTGGTTTATCCTTAACGCCCTGTTTACATGAAGTAATAGCATACTACCAAAACATTTCCGGTACACCTCGGACCCTTTTCGAGCGTCCCCATGGAAAAGTCATAGTTATCCTGGGTCAATCTTCTTATTTAACGGACAACGACCTGGTAACTTCAAAGAAATCGTTGGATTCCATCCGGAACACCTATCCGGAAGCCCGGATAATTTTGGCGACTGATTCTGAACATGCCAGGACCTACAGTCAGTTGATAACACCTGGAGACAGTCATTTAATTATGGTCAAAGACTTTGAACTTAAAGATACCATTATACAAATCGCTAAACATTTAAATGAAATACCAGCGGCCATTGCTGACGTACACGGAAATTCATCCGAAGTGAATTTTGAAGATTACATTACGCCTAACATGACCACAACGTATGAAATTGATGGGAAATACTTATCTTTGGAGGATCTTACAGTTAGTGTAAGTAATTGTTTGTTGTATTGAAAGTATTTGATGCTTTTTGTTCACGTGTTTTGTTACGGATGTATAAATCGTCGCGCGTCGTTTAATCGGGTTAATAACGATCACATTTCCGGTTGTCGTATGTATCTTGAGTTAATGCGACTTAAAGTTTAACTTAAGCGTGGTGCAAAGATGATTGGAAAGTGCCATTTGTTGGAAATGTCGGTCAGAGCGGCGTGTGCAATTCGAAGACAGTCGAAATCGGATAAAATACACTTCTATACACGCGCGCGCCATATTGTTGATTGCGACAATCGGCCTTTCATTCATTCCGTTCGCTTTCGGACTTTCTTTTCCTGATTTTATTCAATACAACCATTTTGAATCTTATATCTCCACTATTTTATAGGTTAGAAGCCGTTACGAGTTGAATATTTGTGTTTACAATGCAATCGACAAGATTGCCAACAAAAAATGTACATCAAAACGGAGTGGTGATGAAGTGACTTTCAACACTGTGGATTATTGTGATGGTAACACTGGTTGCTCACTACGATTCGACTTTACAACTAATCACACGGCAACCCAATGTGCAGGTAAGATCTACGCATGCGCACTGGAGTTTTTAAATGTATCAACACGTTTTGCATTTTTTTTTGTTTTACTGCAGAATTCGCATGTAGATATTCTGACCAAGTGCTAATCAACATTCGCACATCGTGGAGGACGAACGCGTCACCCACGCGCATGTCAACATCCTGCTCGCTGCTAGTCGCGATCGCTTTAATATCAAATTATTTAAAACATTGATGTTCGACAAAGTAATAAATGTAAGTACCTAGTATGTGTATTGTATGCAGATTGTATGAGGATAATTTCATTATTGTCGTGTTTGTTTGTGCGCCAACATTCTTTTGTCGATTTCGCTCGAAAATGACGCAAAGTTTTATGCGCCTCGCATCCCACACATAAACGCACACACGGCCAAGACAGGCAGGTATATGTGGATTCCATGTTGTGCGGCTTTTACGTACAAATTACGAGCGACGCCATCGATTTTCCATTGGGTATACACTTCTCCTTCTCGGTAGGTTTAGGAATAACAGAATGAGGCATGAGACATCATGCCGTGTCTAGTTTGTATAAGTGTATGACTAATTCGTGTAGGAATAAGTTTTTATACTGGCAGATAACGTAAAATGTCACCTAATTTTGTAATATGTAGATTTTAGTTAAATTTTGTTAATTGTGGCCAAAATTTTGCATATTTTGTAGGTTAAAAAAATGGCACCAAAAATAGTTCAAAAATGGCGCAAAATGGCACTTTTTAAGTAGTTAGACATATTTTCTTCAAATTATAAGTGTTTTTTATGAAAATGGATTTTATTTTTGTATGAAATTCTAAAAAAAAATAAGTTTATATCAAAAAATAAAAAAATGTCCCCAAAAATGGTACCTTTTTTCTTTTTTATACAAATTTGGATTGAAAATGCTATATTACCATTATTTATGACAAAAAATAATATTTATAAACATTTTTAGGTTAGAAAAAATAATGGTACCCAAAATGGTCCCAAAAATGGTACCATTTTTAAAATTTTTATGTAAATAAAAGTATACCAACGCTTATATTTTAATAATCACCGAATATTTTATGAATTTAAATAAAATATGCCCCGGTGACATTTTTCCTTTTCCTAAAAATGGTCCCGGAACTCAAAAATTGACCGCACAATGAATCATATGTCAAATTAGAGTCGTTTCCACCTTCCACGAATCCGAAAATGAGCGTGCAGCCTGTTTATGTGAATTTTATCGCTGCTCGAAATGAAATCTGTTCGATGAGCCCGAAACGAATTCCGATCGGAGATCATTGAAGCTAGAATGGCGGCTCGTAAAACCCGATCGGCTCGCAAACCGGTTTGCAGCGTCCGAAAAAATTGATCCGACCGAGAATCAACAACGAACGAGAATTCGGGACTGCAGCATCATCACATCTACCTGTACCACTCAACATTTAACATTTTACCTTTTATCGGCATTCTCGGAACGAACGGTAGATGTTAAGCATTGATTTTTGTTTGCGCATCTGTCTATGGGTACCTGATATATAGTATAAGTATAAGGTGTGTTTGGTATTCGTACCTGTTGTGTTTTCACATATTTTTGCTAAAATTTGGCTCGGAGCTGATCTGGAACTGGTTTTAACTCCGGTAACCTAGCTTTATGACGGTCCAGCAAAACTCATACAGCTAGATAACCAAAGAAAATATCAGTTCCACGCGTGTGTAAAATGTGAACAAAATTCAAAACGTGGCTTAGTTGATCGCGCATGCGCGCGCGCTAATTGCGTGCGCAAACTTTGCCGGCGGTCATGGATTACCTCGAAAGCAACCTCGTCGCACACGTGATTAGAATACAATACCCACAGTTTAGTTTTTAGGTTTTATTAGCACACAACTTTGATTACACTCGCCGGGTTTAGAAAGAAAGTTTTTTTTCTGCGCTTGGGTGGAAAATTGTATCGGGTGTTCTTTGGTGGTGCGCGGTGATTTGAACGCACACGACCGCCAACTGCCAACGCACCATCTCAAGAACTGAGGACGTGAGGACTGACCGGAGCCGAGCGGCGAGCGGCCGACACGATTTCGGCTTTCCCCCTTTGGCGGCCGGCGCGCGCCCGGCCGATCAAGTTCGACGACTACTCTCGCGCCGGCCGGCGAAACCAGTTTTGCTCGACGACCACGACGACGACGACCATCCAGACCTGTTCGCTGGACTACCTCCGAACGGGCTAAAAACTTTTGCCAAACTTTCTGTATCAAGGTATACCCACAACAAGGATAATTGGGAAGACATTTTGGGTACCACCTGATTCAAAAACACAAATACCTCACCTCCACTTTTTTTAAATTTTTTATTACTCCCGCTGGCATTTTATAAAAATTTCTCTTTGACTTATTTTTTTATTGGTATCCAATTTAGAATCTTTGAAGGTGTGTTCTTTGAAAAGGGTTACCTTTTTGTTGTTTCTCGGGCAATCAATTAATGATGCTCACGACTCGTCTGGAATTGGGTTGGTGCAGGTTCACAACAGGTAGAAACCAGCCGGAATACCTGCACCACACGCGAGAGAAGATCTCATGGTGGGATAAACACCATAAGATCAGACAGACGCAACGAGGCTAAAAATAACCGTGAGCGGTTTTCGAACGCACACACGAATATGTTTTTCACTTCTATACAGGATCATTCACAATTGATTCACAAAACATAATGCAATCACGTAGGATGTACTCGTACTACTCTGGCTGCTTCCAGAATATTAACGACATGAGACAAAGTCACAGGAGGAGCAGTTGATTGAATTACAATGAATACAATACACTCTGCATTCTAATCACAGTTTTGTTTTGTTTTCAACATCGCAAAAATAAGATTAATGAAGCGTACAACGTGAAAAATGAACAAAGTTTTCACTTATTTTTATAAACTTCATATTAAACTTTATAAATAATTTTTGGAAACAAAATGGCGTAGCATAACGCAGTGGATTAATTAATCTTTCGAATGTTTCAAAAAGTTTCCGTGCGTTCATTAGAATACTTTGAGGTGTGCGAGTCGTTGGTCTTCTCTTCTGGTAGGAAAAAGAGATGAAAACGGGCGGCGCAGGCTCCGAACGTTACCCGCAGTCGCGGAATTACCATAACCGGTCCGGCCAGTCGGGCCTCATTCCGATGAGGCCGCGGCCGGTGGCGCGCGGCACAGCCTCCCGCGCGCTCGCGGACCGCATTGTGAGCGGCCGCCGGAATGCGGTCTCGAACTTCTTCGCCGGCCAAGACAGCCGCGAGAAAGAAGCAGGCCGTCGCGGACGCGAGAAACTATGTATCTACTCGCAGCGCGAGCGCAAGTTTCGAGCCGACGGGGAGGAAACTGCGCGAAACTTACTTCATTTTGAGTTCTGCATCATATTTGCAACATCTCTGCTGGAATTATGATTTTTTAGACAAAGGAAAGAAAATTAATCAAAAGTTTAAGAAAATGACAAGTTTGGAATGATTTTGGCGAAATTAAGCAAATTTTTTGTTCTGAAACCAAAATTTTGGGTAATTTTGACATTCTTTTTATGTAGTATAACAGAATGCTCTTCTTTATGAAAAGTTATATACAAAGATTTAATTATCTAGTGTTTAAACTTAATTTTTAGCTTAATTTCCAAAAAAAAGTTTCAAAGAAACAAATTTTTTGTTTTGGGACCAATATTTTGGGTAATTTTGATATATTTTGATGTAATATAATAGAATGTTTATCTCCACAATAATTTTTATAGAAATATTCAATTATTTATAGTAAAAACTATGTTTTTCACTCAAAAAAAACCTAAAAATTCCTTTTTACTTTCAATTTTTCTTTAAAAAAACAACATTTTTTCAAAATACTTATTTTTACGTTGAGTTTTATATAGATTTTCAATTATTTTATGTTAAAACAATGTTTTTCTCTCTAAAAACCCTAAAACACTTTACTTTCCCACCAAAATTACCCAAAAAAGCCCCTAATTATCACGTTTTTTCAACTCAATTTAATACCTAATGATGTAGACTACTCTCGAGTTCTAGTTAGTAAATTCCGACCGTGATCGAAAAGCCGAAATGACGCACAGGGAAAAGTTAAACAACTAAAGAGCAAAAATTGCTTTTCGTTAGCCGCGTGCGTTGCTTTTCCGCCTCGAGCAACGCGGGCGCAGAGATGATAGGAAAAAGCGAAAGCACTGAAAGCTGAAAACGGAAAACCGAAAGCCTCAAAGCGCCCAGACGGTAAAGGCTAACTAACACTAGCACAACACAGCTCTCTTAGCGTCGAGTTAGAACCGAACGCGAACAAACATCGCGCGCCAGGACCAGCGGCAGGAAAGCAAAGTAAAAGCAGAAAATGTAAAGGTAAAGGTAATGCGAAAGCTAAAGCAAACTTTGAACTTCGATATGGACCAGTGTAATCGGGAGAAGGATAGGTAGACGGAAAACACAAAGTAAATGTTCAGAGGAATAGTTAAAATTGGCAATTTAAGTTAATCTTTGTCTTTTTTTGACGTTCTGCGTAAGCGTAATTATTAAACGAGATTGTTTTTGATGAATTACAAAAGACTAAAGATAGAAAAACTGTTTTAAGTGTTTTTTTTTTAGTATAAAACAACAAGATAATCATAATAAGTTAATTTACAACCCGTATAAAAGACAAAAATCGTATTTTTGCATTATCTTGTGAACTAACCGAGTAATTTTAATTTTTAATAACTTATTTTGTAGATAACGACTTACTCTATCATTTTATACTTAATTGTAATTTGTAACTAGATGTTAAATACCCGAAAAATTAATTAAAAGTAAAATTTTCTCAGAAAAAAACTAAAACTGCAATTATTGAATTTTTCCAAAAAATCCTAAATTTTCTAAGCTTTCACATAAAATTTCTTAATTCCTCAATGGTCCTTTTTATAACAACCACTTTGCACCCCCAAAACACCTCAAAATTACCCTTTTACCCTAAATAAATTGATTAAAAAGCAAATAAAGAACAAACACAAGCCACGATGATGATGATGATGATGATGAGGCGCGTGTGTGAGATTATCGCGGTCCACGCCGGTGGCTGACCAAGCCAAGGTCGTCCACTCGTGTGCGCGTCTCCGCCGAAGAGGCGCATTCCGAGCGTAGGCGATTACCTGAGTAACCCCGGTGCATCGCGCCGCGGGTCGCCGAAAGAGTTCACGCCGGTCAGCATTCGAAGAAACGCAGCGTGCCACTTGCTGTGTGCACCATGCACCACACACCATCCACCGAAAGACGAGTTTTCTTTCTTTCGCCGCCCGGCCCTCGTTTCATTTTGATATAAAAGAAGAAAGAAAAAAAACGGAATCGATACACGAATAACACCCGAAATGAGGGCTCACATATTTCATCCACTGGGTGTTTCAAGTAATTTAAACCTAAAAATATTTTTTTTAATTTTTTTATAAATTTAATCATAGATGGCGTTAGTGTTTATAGCAATTTTTAGGTTATTTTAATGTTTTAGGTAATTTTTATACACCCTGTATAAAAATATCCTGCTCACCTTTCTGCTCATGTGGAGATCGTCGATCTTTGGCTGCACGTCTCGTCGCCGACTCGTCCTGGCTGGATTTTTGACTCTCCGACTCCGACTCCGGGCTGCGGGTTTAAGTTCGTCTTAAACTTTGCCTCCGCCCGGTGCGTCTTCTGCGTTTTTTCTTCGGCTTTTAGCTCGTTGCATGTTTTTCTGGCCGCCGCGTGCGTGCGGAGCTGTTTTTTCAGTTTCAGCGATCGTTACGTCTTACGACTTACGGCTTACAGCCTTTCACACTCGAGCATAATCATATTGTCTTTGCATGGTAACTTTTTTCTCCATCTCTTTGGTGCGTGGCAATTGTTATCTTGTGCGCAATGGAAACGATGGCGGCTTGATTTATGATGCTGGGACGTGTAATTTGAAAATATGCGTCGTTTAGAACATATTAATATGTGTTAAGTACTTGTTTTATTCATTTTAAAGGTTTAGAAAGAAGTATTATTTACTTTTGGAGCCCACCATGGAAAAATACACGTTTAACCAACAAAAACACTCAAAAACAACCAAAATTTGATACTTTTTAGTCTTTTACTCGAAATGACAGACTATGTGTATTGTGGGAAGCCGCAATTTAGGCTTACAACACACAATATTGAACTAATTCCTTAATTTGTAACCAGATGGCGCTACATGAACTAAAACACATTTAAAACTATAAAACTGCAGTTATTTTCACAGATAACCTAACAAATCCCTTTAATTAAATGAAATATCACTGTATGTAACATGTGTAATCGATGTACGTTCATAAAAAGTTATACACGTCCAAAATTTCAATCTCTCTCGCGCTGGAGTGATCGAAAAATAATATTATTAGGGCGCCGCGCGTCCATGGCAGCCCATCAATCGGTCAGGATACGCATCGTTAAAGTTTTCCGCTTCTTTTTGCCAATCTGCTCGCCAGCCGCTCGCCTCGCTACAATCTCTTTTTCGTTTTCTTTTTCCCCAGCATTTTCTACGCTTTCCGCATTTTCCGCATGCTCGGACTTATAGTTACATATACTCTTATCAACTATAATACCTACTACCTGCAGAGGTGGATTTCGCGGATTAATCTAATTTGTAAAACAATATTTTTAGGTTAATAGCAGTTATTTCAACATAACCTTAATTCAAAGCTTCAAAATGTATTTTTTTGCTAGACAAGTGATAGTTTCGGCTATTAATGATATTTATGCGATGTTTAAATCTTAGCTGACGATGCGCATTCCTGAAATAACATAAAATGATCCTCATTGTTGGTTTTACGACAATGAGTGCTCGTTTCGCTTCGAATTTCGAAAGGTTGCATTCGTTCAGAAGTCGAAACTGCATGCGAGCGAGATGCTGTGATGTTCCTGGTCGGCGTGTTGGAGCACTTTCTTAATTCATCTCGCGCTGGTCTCTTTGGTATACTCTTCGGCTTACAATGAGCGTACGTGTAACGAGCGCGTCGTGCGCTCGCGTAGGCGCGCGCTCCTTCACTTAATAATGCTGCACAACGCCGCACAAAGCAGCGACCAGCAACAAAAGACAGCCGAGCGAATAGAAATCTCCGGCTTCTATTATCTGCGATTATATTAATGGAGGCTGAAAAAATACAACGCTACAATCGATTTTAAACACATGCATGCGTGAATGCACACTTTATGTTTGCTTTAAATGCTCATTTCAGGACGTTTCTAATTGCAAATGATGAAATGAATGATTGTGTAAGCTAGGGTGTCTAATTGGCAGCTGGTTTCTTTTGTTGGAGGTGGAATTAACTTAATTAGTGTTTGAAATACAAAGCGTTTAGTGAAATAATTAAACTTTTCTTTCAATTTGCTACTTTAACAGATGTTCAATGCTAATTTCCGTATTTTGCAAACATAAAATACACAAAAAGGAAGAGTTAGTTTAATTTACTATCATTATTTGCAAAAATTTGAATTTTTTGTTAAATAATTAAAATTTTACAACACTTTTTGTGTTTGTACACATTGTGACCATGTTTATGACTTATTTAAGAATATTTCTTAACATATCACAACAATTATCTTAACTCAGTATGAAAGACTATGGCTTTACCTTTCATATAACGTTTAAATCATTAAAATGTCACGATTAGTTTTAGAGAAATCTTTAATTAAACATTTTATGTCGTTTTATGTCTAAATTTGGCGCGGAATACAAACTCGCGCATGCGCAACACTTACATATCTATGCTATACACTCCAAAACTATCATAACTACTATAATTTACCTTAAACCACCCTTAAACTCGCCTATTTGTCTATTTTTCCTGTTTTTGCATCAAAACTGATGGCGTAAGTAAAGATTTATGAGTTATTTAAGAATATTTCTTAAAATATCACAACAATTATCTTAACTTAGTATGAAAGATTATTTATTTGTCTTTCATATAACGTTTAAATCATTAAAATGTCACGATTAGTTTTGGAGAAATCTTTAATTAAACATTTTATGTCGTTTTATGTCTAAATTTGGCGCGGAATACAAACTCGCGCATGCGCAACACTTACATATCTATGCTATACACTCCAAAACTATCATAACTACTATAATTTACCTTAAACCACCCTTAAAATCGCCTATTTGTCTATTTTTCCTGATTTTTCATCAAAACTGATGGCGTAAGTAAAGATTTATGAGTTATTTAAGAATATTTCTTAAAATATCACAACAATTATCTTAACTTAGTATGAAAGATTATTTATTTGTCTTTCATATAACGTTTAAATCATTAAAATGTCACGATTAGTTTTGGAGAAATCTTTAATTAAACATTTTATGTCGTTTTATGTCTAAATTTGGCGCGGAATACAAACTCGCGCATGCGCAACACTTACATATCTATGCTATACACTCCAAAACTATCATAACTACTATAATTTACCTTAAACCACCCTTAAAATCGCCTATTTGTCTATTTTTCCTGTTTTTTCATCAAAACTGATGGCGTAAGTAAAGATTTATGAGTTATTTAAGAATATTTCTTAAAATATCACAATAATTATCTTAACTTAGTATGAAAGATTATTTATTTATCTTTCATATAACGTTTAAATAATTAAAATGTCACGATTAGTTTTAGAGAAATCTTTAATTAAACATTTTATGTCGTTTTATGTCTAAATTTGGCACGAAATTCAAACTTGCGCATGCGCAACACACACCTATCTATGCTATACACTCCAAAACTATCATAACTACTATAATTTACCTTAAACCACCCTTAAACTCGCCTATTTGTCCATTTTTCCTGTCTTTTCATCAAAATTGATGGCGTAAGCAAAGGTCAAACGATCCGCGTGGTCGTGAAGGTGCACACGTGAGCTCTGGGCGCGTGAGGCTAATTGGAATTCTGAGCCGGCCGCAAATTCGAGCGGTCGCACGGCTAATGCGCTCGCCCCGGCCCCCGGCGCGAGGGCGGGCCCGCCGCTGGATTCAATTAAATCGTTAGCGACGCGGCGAGCTCACATTGTCGCTCTGGCCGCTGCTCCTATTACCTATTTGCGTCGGCGGTATGCGTAATGAGTCGCCGAAAGACGGAATGCAACGTTGAACGCACGGTTGTAACATACTTTGCGACTTTCCCACACTCCCACGACGACAGCGAGGGAAACGTGTTTGAGATGACAACTACCAGCGGGAAAGCCTGAGTTTACTGACGAATAACACGTGATCCAGAAATGGTAGAAAATTGATATTTGGTTCATTCGATAGGTAATTTAATTAGCTTTCAAATTATGTATATGTTGATATATTTATTTGTTTATTAAGTTTTTTAATTTATGTTTTTTGTAAAAGTTAATATATGCATCAATAAAATAAAAGTTTTTTATTTAATAATAATTTAAGAGTGGTTTTACAAAGTTTAATATGATGAGTAATACATTTTCTGAAAGGAAATTTAATAATCTTTCAATATCCGTAAAGAAAATTGAAATTGGATCTATACTTCCGGAGATACCGAGTGTTTAATAATAAATTATTTTTATTTTATTAAAATGTCTATTGCAATTTTAAAAATCTCAAAAAAATATTTTTAATTAATTAAGAACATTTACGCGTAAAAAATCTAACGTAGAATTTAATGCTCTATTAAACTGTGCAAGCAAAATAAAAATCGGACGTTTAGTTAATAAATGGCAGGCATTTTACGAAAACTCTCCACTTTTCTGTTTTTGAAAAGAAATATGAAAGAAAATGAGTCGTTTTCACGTCGAATTAAAGCGATATTTCGAAATTATCCGCGAGTCTATGCCTTGGCACGTGCACAAACTGTCAAACATGTCACAGTCGGCGGCATAAAACCATGCAAAGACGAATTGCGTGTTGTTATATTAGATGCATGATGAATCGACGCCGCTCTGTCAATGACACATTCATACGCGACAAAATTTCGTCCTCGCCGCCGCCGCCGCCGTTGCCGCCGTCGCTGAACAACGCGACGCGAATGTAACGACTGGCGGGCACGTTGTAACGAGAAGCGATGATACGAGCGCATGCGACCTGCCCTGGTAGCGCGGCGCTGGATGCTGGGGGGCGGCCGATCGGAGGCGGCAGTCCGCGTCCGACCGTTCGCCAGCATGCGTGCGATGCACACGAGCGTCGCGAGAGACCATCTACGACGCGGAGTTATTTAGTTCGAGAAATAGAGATATTTTTGAAAACGTCCAGCAAACAAAGAATTTATTAGTCTATTTTAAATAAATAATGTGTCTATTTGGAATATTTAGTCAATAAATTATATACATTCAGGTAAATTTATTTAGTTTAGTGGTATGAATATTATTTTTATAGATATTAAATTAAAACAAACATTAAATATAATTACTGCGCAGTTTTAATGTTTACTTCTATTTTATTATTAGTAATAATAATTAAAATTATTAAACAAAAACTATTTATATAGAGAATTTATTTAGCTTTCGTTTAAAGTTTAAATTTTTAAAATCCGTGAATATTATCAAAAGATATAAACAATTTTGTAAAATTAAATTTTAAAGTTTTTGTTCCTGTTGAAAACAAAATTAGTACTCTCAGTTTATACTCAATTAAAATACAGATTCCATGACAGAAAAACATAGTATTATATATCGAATTAAAGAGAATTTAATCAACTTTAGAACAGTTTTACAAAAATAAAATATAATAATTAATTCAATAGTTAGAATTAATTTAATCAACTATTGCACATCTTTGAAAACAAAAACTTCTCAATTTTTTTAAACTCAACTTTAAAGCTATTTTAAAAGTATTTTTGAAACATTTTAACAATTGCAATTCATCATAAATAATAGACATTTTAATTGAGTATTGATTGCGGTTACGATATCCATAATTGGACGCGTTGATTAGAAGTTATAAGATTGGTTCTGAAGAGTTGATTGTGCAGGTAGAAATTGATAAATACCGAGTGTTAAAAACTCATCAAACCATCACAAAACAAAATAAAATTATATTCTTTCTATTTTTATTGAATATAGATGGATTATATCTTAAGTCTTTATGGCTGCGTGTTCCTTGTGGGTGTCTTGGGCAACGGCAGCCTCGGCCTGGCCCTATGCAGCGGCCCAGGCGCAAAAAACCGCAGCCCCCTGTTATTGGGCATGGTGGCCGCCGATTTTTTCGTCTGCTGCATCGCTGGCCCAGTCACAGCTGCAACATATGCAGTATCATCGTGGTCCAATGTTTGGTGGAGGATAGCACAATTTCTACAGGTATTTGATTCAAAATTAAATTAAAACAAATTTAATAAATTTTATAATGAAAAAATGTTAGGCCTGGCCTGTATCAGCAAGTACATTGTCCATGATGGCAATCTCAATGGATCGCTACCTCACCGTGAAGAACTACCGCCCTGCAACACAGGTAGTGCGTCGGCGACCTTTACTCTTGAGTGTGGTGGCTGCCACGTGGTTATCCGCCGCCGCCTTCTCGGGATTACAGTTTGTTCAACGTGATAATACACTGCGACGGACGTTTCTTGTGATGCGGGTGGTGTGCGTGCATGTGGTACCAGCTTGCGCGGTGTTGGCTTCGCATCTTGGGGTTCATGCCAAGTTGACGGCGCTGTCGTTGACTGCAAGGGCGAAACATGGTGAATTACCGCTGCCTATGCCGTTGCTAAGACGTCCGACGCATGTTATCATCGTTGCGGGTATTCCTAATCGTATGGAAGCGGAGGTAAACAAGATGGCGGTGTGGGAAATGACACAGGCGCTAATTAAACGTAGACTGTTTTGATGCAGGAGCGTAGAGGGACCAATGGGGTGAGGAAAAATGGTAGGAATGGGACCACTAATGCTGGGGGCGGTGATGAGGTGGATGATGTTACTCAGCCGCCGACGAGTACGCTTAGAAGTCGACGGAGATTGGCTAATTCATTGTTATGGGTAAGTTTTTAGTGAAAAACTTTTATGTTATTTTGATTGCGAATAACTTAAAAGTGAATAATGATAGCAACTTGCAATAAAAACTAAATTATAGGGAATTTAATTCTAAAGCATATTATTTTTACAGATTGTATTTATCACGTTTAGTTTTTGAGATATTAATAATTTTTCGAACAAAACCGAAACACTTTTTTGTTTCTTGTTTTAAATATTTACGATTTTAAAATTGCAATATCTCAGTATTGCTTCCTGCTATAAACAATCTGTAAAAAGTATTCGATCCCGAATTTATTCTATTATAACCTCCGTTTAATAATTTATTAACAACTTTATTAGTTTATGAATTATTTAAACTTTTCTAAACAAAATCAAATAATACTTATTTTGGATTTTGTTTCTTTTGTATGCTTTCAGGTGGCGTTCGTGTTTGCAGCTTGTTGGTTACCACACGTCGTCTGCCTAATCTACGCCGAAGCAAAAGGTGAGCCGCCCCCAATCCTGGTAGCCCGTGCCTGTCTCCTGGTAGGCCACATGCACTCCGCCGTCAGTCCACTACTCTACTGGTCACTGAATCATCAATGGCTGCAGCGGCCATGTCGTTTCCGGTTGCCAGCACTATATCGCAGCGCGTCCTCCACCAACGAGGCGGCTCTTGGTCCTTTCAACCCACGCCTCGTGCGTCCGCCGCCCGTCCGCCGGCGGTCTTCGCACTATCTCTACTGATCTGTGATTATCGTCTTAGCATAGACACTGTGCGCGCCATACTCAGGGCACAACACAACATAACCAAACTACGCAACTATCAAAAAAATAACTACGGCAAAACTACAACGTACGGGTGTTAGGTATAAATTAAATGTGCGACGTTGAACTGAACATAAAAAAGAATTAAAATGATATCAATGTCCCCGACGCGTTGCCGCCCTCGGATTTGCATAATTTACGTGAGGAGATAAAAAAAATGCTCGGACAGAAAGGACCACAGTGCGCGACGGTTTTTTTTTCTCGTTAGGAAAATGTGTTTTTGTCGGCAGTCGGGATACGTTCCTTTTTTGTGGAGTTTGGATAAAAATCTAATCTAAACATCAGAAACCACCAAAAACACCTTTTAGCTCTGTTAATTTGTCTAAAAATCAGTGTTAAACAACGTACATCAACAAAAACTATTAAAAAATTAATATAGGCAACTTATTATACACTTCAATGTAATTTTATATTTAACCTTAAAGTTTGGTGGTTTTTAATGTTTTTTGAAGCATTTAACATTCTCCACTATAATTTCTGAGTGTTCTTTACTTGACAATCAATTTCGCGTGTATGTATTGTGCCTTTTCGTTCCTAACCTAAAAACTAACCTATCTATAAACGAATTCTATTTAATAACCTAATAAAATGTGAAACAAACCAAACAAAAACGTTCTATTCTTCTAAATAAAGTTAAAAAACACTAACTGTAAGCGGAAAACGACAGGATATAAAAATTATATTGTAGAGAATAAAATTGTGTTGGTGGTGTCGGTGGCGGCTTCCATGTCACCGGATATGATCGCCGCCGCCATGTTTCCGACACGTGCCCGTCACGCAAACACATCGCACGCACGAATAAATAAATGACTATATTGTGATGTTACCTAATAAAAAGACTGTGCGCGGCGGCCATCTTGTCGTGCGCAATTAGTGTCGAGTGTAGGAATGAGAGCAATAAATTCATTACGATTCAATTAATGCGCGTGCACTCACCGAACGCAACTCAATTAACACTTCTACAACGCAACATCAATATCAACGTCAAGATGGCCGCCGCACGCGTCAAAGATGAAGAAAATTATAATTGAATGCCAAAACAATTGTAAAAATATACATGTTACATAACTGTCAAGTGCAGCCGTTTTTATTTACTACCATTCTAGCGTTGTTTTCGAGTGTGTATTGCGTATTGAAGTTTGAAGTACATTTAGTGATTGGTTTCGTTAGCGTTGAAGTGAGGTTAAGTGTATGACTGTGTGAATGTGTAGCTAGATGCGAATGTGGAACGTAGAGAGAAAGTCGGGCGCGCGCGTGATGACGTGCTCGAACTCCATGTAAGACAGTTTGCCGTCACCGTCGACGTCCGCCTCCTCGATGACCTTCTCGGCGATCTGCCGCATGTCTTCTTCGGGTAGCTGCTGGTGCGTTAGTAGTCTAATTGCGATGTCTAAGTCTTCAGCGCCGATGTGTGAATCTCCATCAAAGTCTAAGCATACATTGGTTGATTTTAAATATTTTTATTTCAGTAGTATTAAAATTAGGTTATGTTTTACCGTATATTTGAAAAGCGTAGAATACTTTAATGTCGCGCGGTGCTTGCTCGCTGAAAACAGACAGGAGGTCGAGGAAATCCTCGAAAGAGAGGTCGCCACTGTCGTCGCGCGAAAACACCTCGCAGATGCGTCGTCTGAACGGATTTTCCTGTGGGGACAAACAACGGGCGTAAACAAATGTACGAAGGAAACAAACAAACAGAGAACAAAGGTCAACCTATTTACCAAACACTCTATGTGTGATACATAGTAAAATTTAGGTTGGGTATTTGTTAAAACACTAAAGATAGGCAACTTATTTAACATTCAATATGTTTTAGTTTGGTAATTAGCTAATTACTCGAAAACGTGTTGAGATAAATAAATTATTTTTTCAGAAATCCATAGAGAATTAAATTATCTATCGAATTATACACGTATTATATAGAATAAATTTATATTTTAGTAGATAAAGAGCAAAAAGTCTGAAAAAAATTAAAAATTACTTGAAAAAAAGGTTATATTTCAATTTATGATAATGTGAAAACGCAATGAGATAAATGAATTATTTTTTCAGTAATCTGTAGAAAAGTTAATTCTCTATCAAATTATATAAACATTCAATTGAATAAATTTAAATTTAATTATCCGCCAAAGAAAAACTAAGAAAAAAGTGAAAAATATTATGAAATGTTTTGTTTTACAGATTTTTATATTTAAATTTATGATAACATGAAAACGCAATGAGATAAATGATTTATTTTTTCAGTAATCTGTAGAGAATTTAATTCTCTATTGAACTGCATAAATATTCAATTGAATAAATTTAAATTAAATTAACTACGCAAGAAAAACTTTTAAAAAAGTGAAAATGACTCTAAAAAGTTTTCTTTTGTCGATTTTTGCATTTAAATTTATGATAAAATAGTTTTCCTCTGCAATAACTATTATAAATCGTATAAAAATTTGTTTCCGTAATAATCTATTCATTCTCCTGAAAATATTGCGCCACTGACGTTTAAAATTTCCACCGCTTATTGAAGTTTGAAGACGCAACACGCGTCGAACATCGAGCGACAAGCGACACGAGCAAGAGCGATGAAACTTTGGTTTTAGCACTTGTTTTGCCTCCCAGTTCTCGCTCCCTGCGAGCTCATTCCAGTCACATCCATAAACTTTCCGCGCGATACTTCCTCACTTGTGACCCAGACGTAGTCACGTCATTTCAACAAGTTCTTCGAGACTTGAAGCGCTTCAAACCCGCTAGTTTTCCAGTACCGCCCATTGGGGATGGCTGCTTGTGCATTCCCGAGGGATTCATGTAAATTTCATACGAGAACCGATCAAACTTCTGAATTGCGGAAGAAGTTACACATTTTTACGCTTTTTTCTGTTGCGAAATGTTTCGAATTGGTTAATTTTTTATTCACTCGGTGGATGATGAATAAACGCCTTTGGCTGATGCAGGTTTCGAGTCGTTTTCTTCGTTTTCTTTCGTTTGCGCGTTTTTGTTTGGTTGTTTTGCGCACGCCAACGCGTTTTACACTCCACAAGTGAAGAAGTTGCCTTTTGTTGGAGTTTTATGAGATTTTTAACCTCAAAAATCCACTTGGCGTTCAAACATTTCATTAAACACCACAATTTTAAACGTAACCTTAATATTACATCATTTAACCTAGGCAACTTTTTATACTTCAATATTTTTATACAAAATAAAAATTTTAAATGCAAATATCTCGAAAACTATCAAATTTACATTTATCAAACTTTACAGGCTGATACCCTGAGTTAAGCTGAATGTAATAGTTTAAAGTTGAAAGTTGTTGCATAAATAGTTTGGGAGTTATTGCAAATTGAATTTTACCTTCAATTCGGGAAGTTTCTCCATGCTGTCCAGCGGTATACGAACAGTGACGGGTTGATTCTCGGTCATGACCGTCGGAACTAGGTCAGACCGCACCTCGCGAAACCTCTTGTGCACCCTGCCGCCAACATTGCCGCCGCCACGCGCGTCGAAGGAACCGCAAACAATCCGCGAAGCGCGAGATTCGTGGAATCGCGCCATAGATACAAGACACAAGACACAAAGCAAACGTTTAACATTTCGTAGGTACTTATGTTTGAGGTTAAACCACAAATTTACAGCTATCATAACTATTATAGTCAAGTAGGGATGAAACATAAAACATGAAACATGAAACTTGCAACATTTTATACCTCAGGATTTCCTTGCGGGTGAAGAATGAACAATCCTGTAAAGAAATAAATATCTCTCAACTACTTACACAATATATAAGTGTATATTGGGTTGCATAGTGTTTAAAATTAAAATTTAATTTTTTATGAACTTACTTGGTAATTAACCAATTGTTGCTCGGTAAAAGTAACTAATTTATTACCCATGACAATAAATTTCAATTTTTATATGAACACACTGTATATTTTTATGTTTTTCGCACTTTTGCACGATTTTCGCGAAAATTTTGAATTTACTGTTAAGTTATTTAAGTAAGACTGGGTCAAATGACCGCCGCCGACGACCGCCGCCCAGCGTGTGGCGAAGTGCCGCCGCCTCTAATGAAAACTACACGTATGCGAATACCGCCGCCGCAAAGTGGAATGAAAGTGAAAGAATCGCAGAAAAATGATGACAAACACACACACAACTTGGAAATCTATATGATGGGAGCGGCAACGGGGGCAACAAGTCATTTGTTTAATTTAATAGTATTGATTTTTTCCGCCGGCGACGCGTTTCGCTAATTACGCCCGGACATTATCATTAATTATCTTTCAACTTTCGCATGTTTTTCTATACTTGTTGGGCTGTTTGGTTTTGTTTTGACGCGTGTGCGTGATATTTGCGCACACATAACGTCAGGCGCGAGTTTTATGCAAATTCCTTCGATCTTTTTTTGTTGGAGGCGTTGGTTTACACTCGGTTTTCATATATCGGCGATGAAATGAATTGGAAATGAGTATGCAAACGGGAGTTCTTTTGAAGTCGGATCAAACGGACGCAAATGGATATGTAAATGGAAAAAAGTGAATATTGCCTATACACAAAGGGGTTTTTAGGTTAAATTTCATATTTATTATTGAGGTTACGTATGAAATCCTTTGTATGCAACCAACATTTCATTTTATTAATTTTGTATATTTAAAGCTTTATTTTAGTGTGTGTTTTATTATTGATTGTAAATATTCATTATATTTAGTGCTTAGTCGATAGATTGTTAAATATTATCATTATTTATATTGATACTGATTATCATTGTATAAATAATGCAGAGAAGTTTTAATAACTGCATCGCATAGTAACAATATTTACTTAGTATGCATGTATAAACATCTTTTGTGCAAATATATTTTCACTCATGAAATATTGATAAATAATTGCGCAATTAACGCATTTTTTAATTATTTAATTTTGGATTGAGGTTGTATTATATGCAACTTTACATACACCAATATAACATGTAAGTAAATTGTAATATTTGCATATAAACAATATATTATTATATTTTAACTGTTTATAGATACAAACTATATAAATATTGCACTGAATGCAGTGTTTTATCAATATTTAATGTTTTATTTTATTTGTAAAACGTTGTTTGACTATAGGCAACCCAAAATACACACCATTCTTTGTTTAAATCTGTAAACATCTGTTGCGAGTTACAACGCACAACAATCTTGACATTAAGCCAGAAACAACTCTTAATCATTTACGAACAACGCCTCATTGTAATATTAATAGTTTCCGATAGTAAAAATCAATAAAACCCGCGATAACACGCGTTTTATTTTCCCATACGAGCGTCGATTGTTCATGCGCGTGTGTGTTTGATCGTGACCTTGACGTCAGCCGCTTGAAATGTCAACATCAGCACCTCGGAAGTGTATCACCACCGATTTCGCTGCGTTTTGTTGCTAGGAATCGGCGGCCGCAATAATTTCGACAATGTGATGCAAACGCGCCGGTGTGCGAGAGTGTGCAGTGTCTCAGCAGGCAGTGGCAGCGGCTAAAATTAGCGGCGAGCCGCGAATAGAACTTGGCGCGCTGTCCGCACCAATCGGCCGCCATCCAAACATCCACGCGTGTAAACAATAATAAAAACAGGTGAGCGACGCTCACAAATCGCACACCAAATCATCATCATCACGACGCCAGGACTCCGAGATCCGCGGGCTTTTGTTTGCGCCCAGTCGTCTCACAGTTACGTGCTGATTGTTCGTGATCATTCGTGATTATTAGCGCTTCACGCAGCGACGGAAACTGCACTGGACACAACTACAAATTAAACGTGAGTTATTTTTGTGATTATTTATAAATTCCATGAAAAATCAATCAATATTATTACTGCAATTAATTCAGCATTAAATTTTGTATTTATTTGTATGTAAAACTTGTTTAAAATCACTTTTTATAACAGTTTATAGTCTAATTTGCATACGCGCATTAAACCGTTAGAATTTCGTCTGTAATTTTGGTTCTCATTATGCCATTGTTAATTTTTTTACATAATTAAATACAGAATTTAATACGGAACATGATGCAGTGTATTTAATTATTGTGACACATTGCGTTTGAGAGTTATAGATAAAAAAACACGGAAATAACAAAGTTTTATCTCGACAATGAAATATTTTAGTTTTTAATCAATTACTCCTAAACTAAATTAGATACAATAAAAATTCTTTCACCAATAAATTCAGAATTAAATTCTTTACCTACTTAAACAAACATTTTGTTAATAACAATTTTTTATCAAAAGTTATTGACAAATTACTTTAAAAATCTATTTTTGTCTGTAACTTTTAATTTAATCAAAATAATTTCATAGTTTTTACATAATTAAACAAAGAATTAACTACCAAACATATATACGTAAGAATTATTACTGTAACTAGTCCAGTTTTGAAATAATCAATCAAAAACAAAGACTTATACTTATTTTATCCAACTCTTGACTTAACATTGAGTGTGTGCATGAAGCAAGAGGCATTTAAACTTAACTTTCACTTTCCGAAGTAAAGTTGTGTGTAACGCTGGAGTTCAACTCCTTTCATTGCATAACTTGTAGTACACTAGTGTAGTAGACACCAAACAGCTGTTTTCGTTCAAATAACGAATATTTAACTTGCATTTTCAGTGCATTAAACAAGATGGAGTCGTTTCTGGGCTTGTTTGATCCGGGCGCAGACGATGCACACATGGATGATGACATCGATGACTTGGATGACGATATTTTGCGCAATGCTACACTCACGCATGGTGATCAATCGAAACTGCCGCCGGAACCACAGCTTGGGAATATCGAGTACAAATTGAAGATTGTGAATCCTACAAAGCAACGGTTTCAACATTTAGTGACACAGGTAAGGAATAAATCTGTCAATTGTCAACTGTCATATTTTTGAGGTTAAGTTTGCACCTTTTTTGACAGAAAAGTTATTTTTAAGGTTAGATTTTTATAGTTTTGAATTAAAATTCATAATTTTTGTTGTTTCCCAACGCGTCATTGCGTTATCTCTTATCTTTTGTGTGGTATAATCACGTAAACCACACAATAATCTGTTTTTAATAAATATTAATACATTATAATCATATTGATAATGATAAGAAGTAGAAAACTTGGGAATGTACAAGTAATACGATTTAATTTATGTATTTAGATGAAATGGCGATTACGGGAGGGACAAGGCGAAGCAATTTATCAAATCGGCGTCGAGGACAACGGCGTCCTCACAGGATTACCGCTCAAAGAAATGAAAGACAGTTTGCAGACTTTAGAACAGATGGCAATCAAGTTGGACGCCACGACGACAATCATCCGCAATCGCTGTTTGGATAATGGGAAACACGTTTGTGAAGTTCTAGTCAGAAAAGTAATTTATTCATTTTTTTATTATCTTGTTTTTTTTTTTAATTTGACTTTAAATTTTTGTGTTTCTAAAGGTACCTGATGATCAAAACAACATAGAAATACGTGTAGCAGTATTAGGAAACGCCGACGCTGGTAAATCAACACTCCTAGGCGTGTTGACCCAGGGAACTTTAGATAATGGCCGAGGGAAAGCACGTTTGAATATGTTTAGGCACTTGCACGAAGTGCAAAGCGGCCGGACGAGTTCAATCAGTCACGAGATCCTCGGTTTCAACTCGAAAGGCAATGTAATTAATTACAGTTACAGTGAGTTGATGACTGCCGAAGAGATCTGCGATGTCTCGACGAAGTTGGTTACGTTTTTGGACTTGGCTGGGCATAGGAAGTATCTACGGACGACAATTCAAGGATTGTCGGGATATTCACCACATCACGCTATGCTTGTGGTAAGTGTCAACTGTCAAAATTAAAATTTGACAGATTTATGATTAAATTTTTGTTTTTCTTTAGATTTCTGGCACTGCTGGAGCTGTAGGGATGACACAAGAACATCTGAGTATTGCAATGGCTCTAAATGTGCCATTTTTCATTGTTATCACGAAAATTGACTTGGCATCTTGTGATGCGACGCTTGAAAGTGCGCAAACTCTGCTAAAACAAGCCGGTAGCTGCCGCGTGCCTCTGATTGTCAATAGTATTGACGACGTGATCACCGCTTGTTCCAATCAGTTGAGTCAAAACATCGTGCCCATATTTTGCGTGTCCAGCGTGACAGGTAAAGGTCTCGATCTTCTTTTGAAATTCCTCCACATCCTTCCACCCGGTGTGAGCGCTAAGGAAAAGAGCGTCTTGAACAAGAATCACCAGAGTTTCAAATCGATGAGAATTTCCGCGCTGGTGATGATCGCATCTTTGGCGGATTACTCACCAAAGGTGTTATCACTGAAGGCATGCGCATGCAAATCGGGCCGATTAAAGATGGCTCCTTTCAAAAAGTGACAATCAAGTCGATTCAACGCAATAGAGTTCCGTGTAGAGTTGTTAGAGCGGGCCAGAGCGCGTCGATTTCATTAACGCCGCATGTTGATTACGTCCGGAATGGAATGGTGATGATATCGGATGATGAGGAGGAGATGATGGGCTGCATGTACTTTCAGGCGTCGATATCGGTGTTGTCACACACGACGCCATTGCATTCAGGATTTCAGACGACAGTTTACATCGGGAATATTCGACAAACCGCGCAGATTCTCGGTATTTTTGGGATGAATTCCATTCAGACTAATGATAATGCATCGGTGGTGTTCAAATTCAAGAGTCATCCGGAGTTTGTGTCTGTTGGACAGCGTTTACTGTTTCGGGAGGGATGTACGAAGGGTATTGGGGAAGTTACACAGATATTTCCATTCGCGAATGCATAAAAAGTTTATTATTATTCATTTGACATATAATTTGACAGAAAACATGTCAAAATCTAAAAATTTGACAGTTCTCATCGAGTTTTCTTATAAATGAGGTTAAAATGATTCTAATTCATTGAATTTTTACTTAATTTGTTCTTCGAAAGAAGATTTGCATATTTATTTCGATGAAAACAAGTCCAGACTACATTTGTCTGAATATTTTCAAGTAAAAACTTGTTTTGTCTCAATAACAATAACAATTTAGTAATATAATCTTTACAAATCAGTCCTTAAAAGTTTAAAACAAATTACAAAAGGCAAATAATCTGCCGAAATGATCTGCAAATGTATTAAAACATGTACTTTTAATATTTAACAAATATTTGCTAGTAAATACGCCAAGCAGCTTTAAATATTACATAAACAGCACAAATATATTTCATTCGACTTAAGCTTAACAAAGATTAAAAAAGTTGTAACATGCAAGGTTGAATAGTAAATTATTATGAGAATTAATTCAGAATATTGAGTAAGGACGTGATATAAAGATAAGTTTATTGCAGTGTGACGTGTCTGAAAGTAAAAGAAATGTATTTTAATTAAATTGACACTTATTCATAATAATACGATTTAAAAAAGTAAAAGAAATTATGTCATGATAAACATAAGTAATAAAATGTATTGTAATTGAAGAAAAAGTGAATATCTACTTAAATTTACGTTAAGAAAAGTGCAATATGTAATTTAAAACAACATTTTATCATTTTTTATGCAAACCGCAGCATTTATCTAAGTTTATGCAAGATAATCACGTTTAATTTATGCACACTGTGCATAAATTCCACAAATTCATCATGATACTCATATATGTATTGAATTAATCAATCAATTGATGTGATTGACCATGATATGCGCCAAATAGTTACGAAAATAACGCACTCAAACATTTCTCGCCTCGTTAAACACACATTTATCACTCGCAGCTTAACTACGGAGTCTCGTACATGTGCTGTGAATGAATTCAAATTAAAATGCTGCGTCGAGTTCAGGATCAACCACGTGGCTGTTGCAATAATTCAGTCGCATGCGCGTCCTCCTCCACGCTCGATCTCAATCTTGCTGCTCGCTAGATTGGAATTAAAAATCAGTCCCATTCCGCGTCGAGCAGCGCGCCGGCTCACAACTCTCGCATTCGGCGATAATTCAGTATTGTCCAGTGCGTCCAGTGATGTTACCATGCAGGATCCTCGGCACACGAGCGCCTGCCATTCCTGCCAAGTTCTTCTTCGGCAGGATTTTCGATGCTGCCGGCGTGGACACGCTGCAGAAGAGGTATCATTCGGTGGAGAGGCTTGAAAATGCTTACAGGAGGAGCAGAGATAAGTGCAAATGTAAGTTTTCATATTAAAATTACTAAAATTTGCTTAAATATTCAACTTTTTCGGCTAAATTTTTATTATATAATGTTTTATTTACGTTGTATTGTTTATTAGAGGTTATTCTAATGTTTTTGTGTGTTTTTCAGCGAAAAAACTGCCAAAGGATGTGAATGTCCAGGCGGTTTTCGCTTGTAATGAGCTGGACTTGAAGGAAGTCAATGTGTATGGTTTTGATTATGATTATACTCTGGCATGTTACAAGCCTTCCATGGATTATCTGCTCTACAACCTGGCCAGGCAGACATTAATAGAACAGTACAAGGTGAAATACTTACTTAGATTTATTTTTGTGTGGACCTGTTGACAACCTTCACACAGCAAAAATCTAAACAAATATTTTCAACACGGTGAAATGTGAACCAATCGATAAACAAACAAAAACAAATGAATGTCAACTGCTGCACATGTTAATTCAGTTGTTTTCAAAGTTCTGCAACGGTTAATTTACTTTTTATGTTAAATTTTTTACTTTTTTACTTTTAGTATCCAAGAGAAATCGAAAAATTAGAATACAAACCAGGATTTGCTGTTCGTGGCTTACATTATGACATCGAAAAAGGCGTCCTGTTGAAACTGGACTCTTTCCTTCAAATCCAACTCGGTTCAGTTTATCGTGGCCTCCAGGCGCTCTCCGATGATGAAGTTCTTCGACTCTATAAGAACCGCATCATCCCGATTGCATATGTCGAAGGTAACACCAAATCGGCGCAGGTATAAGGACAGAATATATTAGATGATTCCTAATTCGACACGTGGATAGTTGATCTTACAGGGTACCCACTCCAAGATGGTGCAGCTCGCCGATCTGTTCTCGGTGCCTGAAATGACGCTGCTCTGTAATGTGACGGATTATTTCGAAAAAAATCATATTGATTATCATCCGGAGATTCTTTTCAGGGATGTGAAGAGCTCCGTGAGGAGTTCGCATCCTGTTATGCACAAAGTAGTCGCGCAGAATGTTTCCGATTACATTGAGCATAACAAGGAGTTGAGGGATTTCTTCAATCGGTTGAAAAACGCAGATAAAAGTTGTTTTTGGTCACGAATAGTCCGTATAAATTCGTGTAAGTTTACGCCTGAAGATAGGCAACCAAACATATCGACCAAAAATTATGTTTTGTTAAACAAGCGCTAAATTTCTTGTTTTTAATGATTATTTTTAGTAATAAGGGCATGGAACTACTGGTAGGTGAAGATTGGAAGGACTATTTTGATGTAGTGATTGTCCAAGCGCGTAAACCCAAGTTTTTCACGGATGAATCGCGACCAATTCGAGTTTACGATGAGAGAAGTGGTACTCATATTTGGGACCGCGTTCATAAACTTGAAAAAGGTACAATTTACTATGAAGGAACAGTGAAACAACTGCAGGAATTGACTGGGTGGCGTGGACATCAAGTGTTATACTTCGGTGATCATCCATACAGTGATCTGGCAGATGTTACATTAGAACATGGATGGCGGACAGGCGCAATCATCAATGAACTCGAGGTAAAGACATTTTTCACATTTTTCGTTATAAAAAATATATTTTAATGGTTTTCAGCATGAAATCGAGACGTTGAACAATCAGCAGTTCAAACAAAACGCCAATTGGTTGCAAATGCTCACACAACTCATTGAAGATCACCAGGATAGTGAGGGTGAAGCAGAACAACAAACTTTAGCAAAATGGATGGCGGAAAGAGATCAATTAAGGTAATACACATGTTTATTTAATGATAATTGTGATATAATATTGTTTTTTCTTTGAATTTCACAGAGATGATATAAAATTCGTCTTCAATAAACAATTCGGCAGCGTATTCAGGACGTATCACAACCCGACGTACTTTTCAAGACGTCTCTTCCGATTCGCAGACATCTACACGTCGAACATAACGAATCTACTCAAGTACTCCGTCAATCATACGTTTTATCCGCGTCGCGGCGTCATGCCGCACGAGTACATTTCCTACTTTGTTTAATTTATTCTCGCTTCTATATATTTAATGCGTCGCAGATCCACGTGTGACGGCCGTCAACATTTCTCTTTTAATTTTATTTAATCATAGCGATCATAGCCGGCTGTCAACTTGTATAGTGTTGAGTAAACTATTAGAAGTCCTAGAGATATGATATAGTGAAGAGAATTGCTAGCTAACAAGCGTAAAACTGTTTCTTTGTTGTGTGACATTGTCTGCAATTTGTGCGCAGTACACTCGAGTTACACTTGAATGTAAATTATATTGTTTACGATTTATTTAAAGCCTGGCAACTATACGTATACGAACAAGTAGAGTATAATGTGTTCATTTTTATGATTCAATCAGAATGAGACGGAATTAAGCAAAGTTTGTAAATGATGAAGTGATGGAAGTCAATTGAGGGATAGTATTGATAAGAAGTGCTCAAAAGTGCCTGATTTTTGGAGGCTGTGTGCTTTTCGTATGTCTATTATAAATAAAACGCCATTTCAGTTGTAATTTATTGTTAAATTTACGGCGTTTAAATTATTAATTTGTTTAAATTTGATTGACATAAAAGAAGTATTTTTGGTTGCCTATGTTACATGCGCAAAAATTCAAACTCTTCTGGTTGGATGTAACAATCAAAGATGGCCACTAGTCTCACCTGATTGGTCGCAGAGAGTTTGACGTTGTTGCGCTGGTAGCCTAATCTGCACCACTGGTGCCATTATAGGTCAATAATACTCGCCTTGTTGTGCTTTCCGCATTCACAATAATAATGGAGACCGCCGAGTGCCCATCGACCGTCTAAGACGCGCTGGAGTCGTCGCACCAGTACGCGCACACCGACGATGTCATGTCGGCCAGCTGAAGCCGCCTCGCCTTCATCTTTGCCGTCTTCATCAGCATCGAAAAATGGCTTCTAGCAGGTGAGCACAATCGATATTATTATCGACACGCCCGCGATCTTTGCATCTCGCAACATGTGTCTAACATATGCATCTTGCACATAGGCTCGTAGAATGGGTGGAGATCATCGAGCCGAAGACCGGCGAGCACATGTACGCCAACCTGGCGACGGGCGAGTGCGTATGGGATCCTCCAGAAGGGGTGCCAGTCAAAAGAACCGACTCCAATCAATGGTGGGAGTTGTTTGATGCAAACACCTCACGGTTTTATTACTACAACGCTAGCTCACAACGTACAGTATGGCACAAACCAAGCAATTGCGATATTATCCCGCTGGCAAAGCTGCAAACACTCAAACACAACACAGATTGCTCTCCAGTGTCAACAAGTCATCAAGGCACCCAGACTGGAGACTCCGCAAGAGGACAAGTATTAAGTCTAAGTGCAAGCACACCACAACTAAGAAGAAAAAGCAGTGAACTCTGCAGGAGTAGTAGTTTCAGTCAGCATGGAGGCCCTGATGGGCCACTGTATTCAAACTGGCATGATTCACATCTGCTGCCTTTGGAGCACTTTTTGTTGAACAACAGCAGAGACAGTGATAGTGAGCATTCTGACAGTGGTAGTGAGTCACTAACAGGTGAGGACTGCAAACATTACTAATGTTTTCATGCAAAAAGGAAACATTTGCTTAAAATTATCGCAATGTTTTAGGTCATGAGCCAGATAATGAAGATTCCGATCAATCAGAAGGCACTTATCTACCACATCATCGTCTTAGAGCGGTGGAATATCTTAATCTGCCTGCACAAGTACCGGAACCACCTAGGGAACGCGCTCCAGCCGCGCCACTTAACTTCAAACCCCTGGCAGACCCACCAATGCAGCCCGAACGCGAAGAAGACATGGAGAAATTCGCGGCTGATAATCTGAATCTCGGCGGACGTGGTTTATTCCGCCGTAAAGCCAGCGTGCGGGAGTTACTCAGCTGGTCAAGTCGTAGTCTGCAACGTCCACTGCTCGCCTCAACGAAACCAGTCACCAAACAAGCGCTGGAAATGTTCCGACAAGTCCAGGTCTACATGGGCGATCGTAAAGCGCGCCCGGGAGTTTCCTTAAACTCTGTTTTAGTCGAGATATTAACCGCTGCGCATGCGCAGGCTTTACTTCGCGACGAACTTTACGTGCAATTGTGTCGTCAGACAACCGAAAACCCTCGCAGGGAGTCCATTCTACGCGGATGGGAATTATTAACCATTGCGTTGAATTTTATTCCACCATCTCAGACCTTCCAACCGGCCTTGCTCGGATATCTCAACCGACATCGTGATCCGACATTTTCCAGAGTGTTTCCGGATGTAAGTCGTTGGCCGCTGCATGTACAGGTGAATCACTACGCGACAGTTGCATGTCAACGTCTGGAACGGATTGGTTTCGGCGGTAAGAAAACCGCGCGGCGTCCGCAAGTCGACGACGTTGAAGCAGCGCGCACGCAAATCTTCCAAGCTAGTCTTTTTGGAAATACTCTCCGTGAAGTTATGCAACTACAGGCATCACGATGGCCCAACCGGAAGTTACCCTGGCCTCAGGTTGAACTATCTCAACAGGTTTTACGCCTGCAAGGTAGAACAACCGAAGGGATCTTCCGTGTTTCCGCAGATGTCGATGAAGTCTCACGTCTGAAAGCACAAATGGATCGTTGGGAGTTCAGCGAGCCTAGTGACGCACACGTCCCGGCGAATTTATTAAAGCTATGGTTGCGTGAATTATACGAACCGTTGATTCCTGATCATTTGTATCCGGAATGTGTGCAGGAGCCGATGACAGCTAGAAAGGCGTGCGATTTGGTGCTCAGGTTGCCTACCTTACACCGTATGGTATTGTGCTATTTGATTAGATTCCTGCAGTCGTTTGACAAACCCGACGTGGTGCAACACACCAAGATGGACGCCGCCAATATGGCGATGGTGTTCGCACCGAATTGCCTGCGATGCACGGCGACAGATCCGCGAACGATGTTTGACAATGCACGCAAGGAGATGGCGTTCATGAAGTGTCTCATTCAGGAGTTGGACACCGAGTGTGTGAGGGACATGATTTGACGCACTGCGGTGGTAGTTGTAGTAGTAGCTTGCCGAGCAATCACAACCAAAGATTTATACTTAACATGCTTGGAATTTTAGGTTTCCTGAATCATTTTTTTTTGTTCGTCGAAAATTGCATGCGAAGTTGCGATTTGTATAGATAAGTATAAATTTTTGTACTACGAACGATCACAATCTTGTACATCGCATCGTTTTAGTCGACACACCGTAAACTGCGACTAGGACTGACAGATATTTATATTCTAGCGGTTTTCTTTTATACTTTGAATGTATATTTACATTGTTTACTAAGGTAGGATTTTAACAAAACGAGTTAAAGAAGTGAATAGTTGTAAGCGCAAAACCATAACAATGAGACAGATCAAAATGATTAACAAGTCTGGTAACCATGGCAACAAAACACGGTAACTATAGCAACCATAGTTAGACAAACAAAATATCGAATATATTAGGTAAGGTGATGATGATGTTGGCAGTAATCGCGGACTGAAACATGAATCAAAACGTAGAAGAGAATCTCGAAATCTCTCTCTCTCTCTCTGAATATGAAAATTATGACACTAATCATGCTTGACTCCGATAATGTCCGCTCTCTAGGCAGAGATTAACACTTAAACTTTAATTAAACGACTATAAAGCGTATGAAGCTACGAGAAACTTACTTTTATAATAGATTTTTGTAATATATGCTTAATGATTGTGTTCATATCGATGATGATGACTGCTTTTCGTACAATGTGTCGATGTCGTTTGTTCCGAACTCTCTCAACTTATTCACTCTCGGTTGTTGCGTTCGATCAGTTTTTCGGATTATTTTTATATATATATCGTATACAGAATGGTTATATACCTTACGATCTGCTGAATAATAAATTATATATTGTTTAAAACAGAAAAACCATGAATTTTCAGTGTTTTACAAGCTTTAAACAATGATTTATGTACAAGTTTGCGTCATTTTGAAAAAATACTTTACATATTCAACCGGTAGATGGCAGTGAATGCGTTTTATTAATGTGGTTATGTTTTAAAATCAAAATTCTGCCTAAATTAACCCAAATTATTGAACATTTTAATTGAATAATCAACATTTGTAATTTATTTCATCATATTTTATAGTTGTTTAACTGTTTTTATTTGTTATAGTTCAATGTTTCAACATTTTTACTTTATTCTAACTTTTAGTTCCAAATACTCCCGCACCGCGTGGCAGTACCCTACGTTGAGTTCTTCTCTGGCGGCGCTCACTGCAGCCTCGCAGACGCAACTCGTTGCTCGCCGGTGTTGCGCGCACGACTTCAAATCATTCTCCACTCTCATCGCGATATAATCGCAGTTCCACAGTGCTACAATCCCCTATTCAACTGTAAATCAAAGGTAAACACATACATTTTTATCTCACCAACGGTTATCTCATGACAATGCAACAATCATCCATTTTGTGCTCTTATTATTTCAAAAAATCAAACGCCGCGTATTGATTTTTCCGTGCGTATATTCGGAATAAGCTGGCTAACCTTAATCGCGCTTACCACGTGGGGAACGAGCAGCAAACAAGCGAAACATAATGCGTTTTTAATTAAAACCGATTAATTAACCACTTAGTTGTCGTTGCACTTCAATTTACTTTATTACTTCGTGTCGAACGCAATCATTTCGTTTGTAAATTAATTACTGCTGCTCGAATTAACAGCGTTTGTTTTATTAAACGATACGAGTCACGCACGGTGATTAATATCGTAAATTATCCTATTATATGCTAAGAAAATAAAACAAATGATGATTGATTATGTTTGTACTGTTGTTATTTATTAATATTAGCTGATAATTTGCTCTGCAGAGGTGTTACTACGTTGGATACATTCGTCACCGGCACAGCGCGTTATCATTCGTATTTTGTTGTAAATTATAAACAAACAGCGGAATAACGTAATAAATGCGATAAACTTGTTGTTTATTATGGTGTATTTTTCTATCCAGTGCATTTATATTTGTTTGAAGTGTTATGTTGGATTTGTTTCTAATTGGATTTTTGTTTTAGATGGCTTCTTCAACTGCTGGTGATAATGAAATGTTGGAGGATGGGATGTCTGCAAAGGACATGATCAACACTGGCAATGGCATCACATATAAGTGAGTTGGTTATGAAAATCTGTGTCTCTGTGTGTTTGATGATTGCACTTGGTAATATAAATAAATGTTTATTTTTAGTGACTTTATTATTTTGCCAGGATACATAGACTTTCCAGCTGAGCAAGTAGTGAGTAATGTTTATTCTAACAATTAAGCGCCGTTAAAAGTCAATATCGTGGAGAGGAAAACAAGAAACGAAAATAAAAGTTGTTTATTTGAGTTAAAATTAGGTTTTTTGTTTGTTTTTCGCGCATTTTTTAAGTGTTATTCGATGAATTATGTTAATTCAAGTTAATATTGAGTTTCAATATGTATTTTTTTGATTTACAACAAAAATCACGCCAAAAATTTGGAATTTACAGTTTTTATTTTACGTTTCTTGTGATAAAAATGGTTATAACTTCAAAAATTTATATTTTATGGTGGTTAATTGTTATTCACGTGATAAGTAGCAGTCACATCAATTTATTTGCAAATTTTAAAAGTTATTTGATAAATGGTTTCAAAAATAAACTCAATTCCCTGAATATTTTTACTTCAGTGCAGTTTTTTAAAATGTTTTAAGCTAAATTTTGAATATTTTAGCTAAAACAAAGCAATAAATTAAAGGAAAAGTTCAAAATTTTACAATTTAGTTCAAAATTTATTAAAATTCTTTGAAAAATAAGAAAATGACGACATTTTTATGATAAAATACATATTTTTACTTATTTATCTGACAAAAAATGCAAGAAAACATGATTTCTTTGTTTTATTTATCTTTAAATATTCTTTTTATTAAAATAAAATAATTCTAGGACTTGACAACACAACTAACAAAGAGAATTGTCTTGAAAGCACCTCTTGTTTCATCTCCAATGGACACAGTGACTGAATCTGACATGGCTATTGCTATGGCTGTAAGTATTAACTACATATCGTTCAACAAACAATTATAAAACCGTTTTTTTATAGTTGTGTGGAGGTATTGGTATCATTCATCACAATTGCTCTGCCGAGCATCAAGCCAACGAAGTGCTCAAAGTGAAAAAATACAAACACGGCTTCATTTTGGACCCGGTTGTGCTTTCACCAACAAATACAGTAAGTTTAATCATTGATCAACTAGCATTTTATTAATTATTCGTAATTTTAAAGGTAGAAGACGTGCAAAACGTGAAAAAAACGCACGGATTCTGCGGTATTCCGATCACAGAGTCTGGCAAACTAGGAGGAAAACTTGTCGGCATCGTAACTTCAAGAGATATTGACTTTATGGAAGGCAAAGATAATCAGAATAAAATTTTACTTCAAGATGTAAGCAAATGCCAACTAAATTTATCATAGTTTATGTTTTATTCAAATTCTTAAATATTTTTCAAGGTGATGACAACTAAATTAGTCACAGGCCCAGCTGGTGTAACTCTTCCGCAAGCCAACGCTATTTTAGAAGAGAGCAAAAAGGGTAAACTGCCAATTGTCGACGATAAAGGCAATCTAGTCGCGTTGATGGCGCGTACAGATTTAAAGAAAGCGCGTAGTTATCCGTACGCTGCCAAAGACGACAACAAACAACTCCTGGTCGGCGCTGCGATTGGCACACGTGATGAAGATAAAGCCAGACTTGCGCTGCTCGCACATGTTGGTGTGGATGTGGTGGTTTTGGACTCGTCGCAGGGTAATTCTGTGTTTCAGATTGAGATGATTAAGTTCATCAAGACTACTTATCCTAATCTTCAGGTTATTGGTGGAAATGGTAAGCAATTGTATATTTATCGATAGTTTTTTTTATGTAATTATAATTTTTTTGTTTATGATAGTTGTGACGATTAAGCAGGCTAAAAATTTAATCGAAGCCGGTGTTGATGCGTTGCGTGTCGGCATGGGAAGTGGTAGTATTTGCATCACACAAGAAGTAATGGCTGTGGGGCGTCCGCAAGCGACTGCGGTTTATAAAGTTTCCGAATATTCCGCACGTTTTGGCGTGCCTGTGATTGCTGATGGTGGAATTGCTTCCATTGGTCATATTACCAAGGCTTTATCATTGGGTGCATCTTCAGGTAAATGTTTTTTAAATCTTTGTTGCCTGTCAAGTTAGCAACCAAACATACACTAAAATGTGTCCCCTGCATTTTTATGTATTATTTATAACGTTTTGGTATTTTAGTGATGATGGGTTCAATGTTGGCTGGAACAACAGAAGCTCCCGGCGAGTACTTCTTTTCCGATGGTGTAAGATTGAAAAAATACCGCGGAATGGGAAGTTTGGAAGCCATGGATCGTAAAGATGCAAATGGCGCCGCCATGAATCGCTATTTCCATAAGTAACTACTAATAGTTGACTTTTTCAACCTTTTTGTACTAATTATTTTTATTTAACAGCGAAATGGATAAACTTAAAGTCGCCCAAGGCGTGAGCGGTTCAATCGTTGATAAAGGTTCCGTTCTACGCTTTGTGCCATATCTACAGTGCGGTTTAAGACATGGTTTCCAGGATATTGGGTCGAAATCACTTAATGGACTAAGGTAAATTGTTTATAATTATATACAGGGTTATTAATAGGGTTAACAAAGTAATAACACATCTACAGTGAGGTATTTTATGCTTTTTAACCAATGGTGTCTTTCTTTTTGACATTTTATTAGAACAATGATGCATTCTGGTGAACTTCGCTTCGAATTGCGATCGTATTCGGCGCAACTCGAAGGCAACGTACACGGTCTCTTCAGCTACGAAAAACGACTGTTTTAAACAATCAACAAACTGGACCAACATGCCACCAACCGACGAAACCTGCTACCATTCCTCTGATTGCATCAAGAATAACTTTTTTTGTTTGACAGTTTTTTTTTCTTCATTTCTTTTCTCCTTTACTCATTTATTTTTCCCCATTTCCTTTCCTGACCAAATAACACTAATCTTATCATTATTAATAATCTCTAGGGAATTGTATCAAAATTTTTAAAGAATTTGTTTATTTTTTATCGGTTTATACTAAATAACTACGATTCTAAATCGTACATCGATGTAAAAAACGTAAATATCTATGTATTAGGAAGCAACGACTTCAAAAACAAGAAATAATTGTATGTACACATTTCATAAAATGAATTTTATTAGAAAGAAGAAGAATTCAGAGCTACACATCTCGAATGTATCCAGCAAATATCGATGAGTGAAGAGTGAAACAAAACGAAAAGATGAAATATATTTGTTTATATAGTATTGTGTACTCGAGGGTCGAGATTTGTAATCAGATGTAATTTATTTTTGTATGAATTTAATTCGCGTGCGAGTGTCATCAGCTTAAGAGCGATCCGGTTGGAAGTTTTCTCTTCCTAAACGCGGCGAGAATGGCAAGACGCGTTTTCCCAGGCGTGGTGCAAACGGTGGCGAGCGCTGCGACATTACTTCGCCGACAAACTCCGGATCTTGTAGAAGGCGCTCGCCGCCCATGTTTGGCAGCCCGCTGACGAGAACATCTTCGCCGGACTCGCGCCCCAATCGCGGGACGAAATTCACGTCGTAACGCTTATTTTCTAACAGAGAAATATTATAAATTAGCTTAATTAACAAATTATTAATGTAAAATTCATGTGATTATGTGTTAAACGTTTTAGGGAATTGTTATTCGGATTTATAAGTGTTTTTGTGAATGTTTATAACTAAATTTATAGTTGGGTGTTGTGTATGACGGGTTGCCTATGTTGAACGTCCATTATGGAATTAAATTTAAGTTGTGTTGTAACGGGAACAAAACTGTTAAACTGTGACTAATTAATGGTTCTATCATTATAAAATTAGCAAAATAGATTCATATTTACTTTTTTAGTTGATATGTATATTGGATTGTGTTTGGTAAGCTTTGAATTTTAAGTATTTTCATGTTTTCTTTGCTTACCGTTGCCGTTAACAGCGACTATGGCCCATGGCGAATCGTGAATCAAATCAATCAACGCTTCTAGTTGTTGCCTCTCAATACCAGAAGTTTTGTACCCTTCTGGGGTTCGTTTTCTGCGCCCTAATCGCGGCCCAAACCACAATTGCCCATACTTTTTCTTCGGAGCAAAATCAAGACTTGCATCTTCCTGCAATTCAACACAAAACAAAAATAAAACCAGTTTTTAAGCGATAACAAAATGTTAGTGATAGTATTACATGCGCCTCGCTGGCGAAAACACTTTGCGTTATCAGTATCAACAGCAACGCGCTCAAGACCACAACAAAACGTTCCATAACTCGCAAAGGTATGAAATTAATTTATTTCTGTTAATATTTTCAACTTCGGAGGGTTGTAATTGTTTGGTGGAGTCAAAGTGGACACTGATGTCCGAATGGCCGGCAACAGATCGTTTTATAGTGATAATACGGCGTCAGATAACTGCATGTGGTCTATACGGGGGCGATCGTGCGATAACAACCCCTGCAGTTTGATAAATCCACGGATTACTGGGTAATCAGAGCAGAAAGCAGGAAAAGTTAGGGCGTAAAGTCTGGAGCGCGTGTGTGGAATGCAAATCGCAGCAAATCGACGCGCAGAAACGAGAAATTGATTTAGTTAAGCTCGTTCGGACGTTATTTACGTTCGGAATTAACATGACACGGTAAGAATTAATCACAAACGCGATAAAAATAAAACTTTAAACCAAAAGTTCATTAAAACATATGCAATCCATTTTGGTGTATGTGTGGTTGCATATTTATCAGGCGTAGAAATACCACTAACCTTAAAATTAAAAAAAAACCGTTTAATTAACGTTCCATCGTTAATTAAACATAAAAACTAGTGCCACTTTAAAATGATAACGTGTAGCGGCATGAATTTACTTAAAATAATGGTAATCAACTTTGTATTTGTTTTTTTACATTACTCAACATCACATTATCTTAATTTCAGGCGCTTCAGACCTCAAGTGGGCACGGCTACATTTGTAAAAGCATGAAGTGCATCTTCAACTTGAGATTGGGCGTCTGAATTGGTGGGAACCCGAAAAGAATTAGGGCCCGTGGCGCCAGCGGGTGAGTTAAAAACTGAATTTATTGCTTGTCCGACGGAAAATTACGACTTGCACTTGCTGCAATTTTTGCTGAAATCACTTGAAAATTACATGCGTTGAGTCGAATGCTGATTTATACATGTAAAGTATAATTTTACGTCTTACATTGTTGTGTTGAGATTATTTTTGGGAGGTCGAAGGTCGATACACTTGCAAATGTTGTCTGTGGATTTTTGGGCGCGTCCGAAATGTAGTCCGGATCAACCCGTTTCTGGCGATTTTATGAACTTTAAATCTTTAAGTACTTAAGATATGAGATTTGAGGCATATTAAACAAACATTTTTTTATTAAATCAGCTTAAAAATATGAATTCTTTATACATCCGGTGGTTGTATTGTTTTATTTTTCAAAAACGAAACGAAAAATGATTGTGTTTATGCTAAAATGCTACTTTTTTAAGAAGTTGTTTATAAAAAGTCAGTAAATACAGCATCCCTTGGCGATTTGTAAATATTTAAAGTTAAAGTAGGCATAGAAGAGTGCAAGAAGTGTCAATTGATGAATGGCGGTGTAGAAAGGTAGCAATTTGTCAAAGTGACATTTTGTTTTAGTTTATATTTTGATGTTTTTCAAGTTTTAGAAAGTATGCAATCGATTTTTGTAATTTTTGCAATTGGAGTGTTTTCTATGTTGGATACTTCCATTGGGATGTTCTTGGAGTGTTCTTGGAAGCGTGGAGATAATCAAATAATCAAACAGCGCCGGTTGAGTTCATAAAAGCACGCTTCTTGCGGCGATATCGCGCGCCGGGACACAAACCAGACCACCGCGCAATCAACTAAGTAACGTCTGATGATGTACCTTCTCTTCTTTTGCCACCGAACAGCAGCCGACAGACGCCGCACGAGCCGGAACGGAAAATAATCCCAGATTATTATAGCTTTATTGCTTTTTGGTACAAGAATTACGTTGGGAGTTCATCTACACATACAAAAATTTTATTTCAAAACATAATTTTGTTAATTTTGATTATCATAGAAAGGAATTCTCCAAAGTTCATTGTTACAAGGTGTTTAAACTTGTCTTCAACACAAGTTGATGCGTAAATGTAAACAGTAGAGTCCAATGCACGCACGTAAGGAAAGCGTTAAAACCTCGAAAAGTGTAACGAAAGCGCAGGCAATGCACGTGTAAAACGTGTGCAGCATGCCGTGACATTGGCAGGCACAGGATGATTACACCTTTTTTATAGACTTTGGAGCTTTTAATTATAAACATTCCGGTTGTGCCGTGCCGTCGCGGTAGTAAACACATAAACATACTAAATAGGCATTCGAGGAATCAAAATTATCAAAGACATATTAGACACATAAATAGAAAAATCTTGAAATTTAAATTTAATTTTTTATTTATAAAAAATGTAGAATTTTAGTTTTAAATGAGGGTTGAAATTGCGTGAAAGTGACCAAAGTGACGAGGCGCCATGAAAAGTATCAGGTTTTCTTTTTCTATTGATGTTTCCTTTTTAATCTTTGGAGAAACAAAGTTTCTTTGTGTTTAGATTGGTGACGTGTAAGTTTTGGGATATGTTATGTCCGGTGTCATTTACACAGAGACCTCCTAGGGTTAAAAAGGCGTAGAAAGGACGTCACAGTTTATAAAAACGTGCAAAATGTATGAATATTTCAGAAATCAATGAACTTTTCATAATGATTTCTTCAGAAATGTATTTTAAGTGATATTATTCATAAATTTATGCAAATATTTATATTTAATTGATAACTGATTATTTTCATAAGTTATTGACTAAAAATGTCAATTTTAAGAAATATATCTTACACTGTTAAATTCAAACAGTGAGCCTTCCTAGGGTTAAACAGTCATAGAAAAGACACAGTTTATAAAAACGTGCAATATCTAAGTATGAATATTTCGGAAATCATTAAACTTTTTATGATGATTTCTTCGGAAATATATTTAGAGTGATGTTTTTCATTAACTTATGCAAATATTTTATAGATAACAGATTATTTCTAGGGGATATTAGCTAAAACTGACGATTTTAAGAAATGTAACACAATTTTTACACAGTTACCATCAAAATTTAATATTTGACGCAAATTTTCATATAAATCTTTATATTTAATTCATGACCAAATGAATATAGAATAGTTTAATCAATTATTCACAAATTTCATAAAATTATTCATCTAAAAATAATTTTTATTAGCAGCAGTATTAATAATTCCGCCTAGAAACGGTTCGCTTTTATTTTATGTCTGGATTAAACCGATAAATATAATTCGATCACTCTGCGACTTATTACTCATTAGCGCAGAGTGGTGGTGGTCCACCCACAAAATAGAATCCGATAAATAAAAATAAAAATAAGCCGCGCTGGATTTGCCCGTTTGCAGGCGGCGAGCGTCGGGACGCCGGCGACGCCAATAAGCGACCGCTCCAGATCGGCGCAAGACACGCCCACGCAACTGCCTCTAAAGTGCTCCCGGGCGTTCGACCACACCATCAACGGGAATAATATTTAGTTATAATCCGCTTGTCTAAACGCTCAAACCAAAGATATAATATTCAAAGCATACAGTTCAGCTATTAGTGAAATAATAATAAATATTTAAATAAATAATAAATTAAATAATTATTTAATTAGTGAAGTTATAAATTAAATTTAAAAACATGTCTTACGGTAGTTCACCGAGTGATCCACACGAAATCTATCAGTATACTTATATGCCACCACAAAATTACACACATGGATATTTACCAGGTAAAAAAAAGTAACAAAAGTTGTTATTATAAAACTGTTGAGATGTTCAGATGTGCGGTTGAGTTGTGAAACATTTGTTCAACAAGTGACAATGTCACTGATGTAAGCTACTGGTTTCAAGTGCAGTTTTTACTGAGTGCAAGACACAAAAATCAAAAGAATAACAAACAACCACTACTCATTTATACAGAGTGTTAATAAATAAAGTAAAAATTGTGTTATTTACTTATTTTCAGATAATAATGGCGTTGCGACGTCCAATGACGAAGCAAATTACTGGACAAACAGCCCTCGTACAGATTCACCTTCACCGAATGATCAATCCTCAATGGTTGGACCTTATCAAATCTACGCACCGCTGAATTATCCACAAACTGAGCATAGAACACCGCAATATCCAGGTAATTATTAGTAGTATAGAAAAAGCTCTAAAACAAACAGAATAATTGTTTTTGTCACTTTGTGGATGATGGACTTTTAATTGTGCTGATATGCAAAGTATTTTTGTTTGTTTTACTGAAAAGATGCTATTTGTTTTGGGTCGGCACGATTTTACATGTAAAGATTATGATTACACGTCCAATCATCGCGCGCCGCCCCCGCTGCATCCGCCCTTCGTACGCGTGGTGAAACGTCGCACCACAGCGAACAAGAAGGAGCGCCGCCGCACGATGTCCATCAACAATGCGTACTCGGATCTACGGGACTGCATTCCGAATGTTCCAGCGGATACCAAACTATCTAAAGTAAGAAAAAAAAAACGTTAAAAATTGATTTATTTTTGTTTATTTTATGTCTTTTTACTAAATTACACTAAAATGTGTTTATTTGGTTGCCTACCCTTAGATAAAAACCCTACGGTTGGCAACATCATATATTTCTTACCTTACCGGAGTTCTGGAGACGGACGATCCCGCCGGTGGTTTCAAAGCAGAACTTATTTCAACCAGTCGAAAATCACAAAATCATCAGAATCATCAACACCAGACGCAGTTGCAGGAGTTGTGCGCGGTTGCTGAGAAAACATCACCGAAGTGCGATCTAATGGTGAGTGAAAATTACTTCATTAAATTACTTAACCTATAATTTTGTATTATCTCGCTATAATTTAATTTCGCTGATGCACGCACACGCCCGGCACGCGCCTTATGTCACCACAAATACAAAACGCATCCCCTAAATGATACTAAATCAGTTAAACGCCACCCGCTGTGAAAACGCATGAAGCATGAAGTACTTATACACGAAAATCTACTTGACTAAAATCATATAATTGCGGTAGTTTTAAGGTTATGTATGTCTATAGTGATGACTTTATTTAATTGGTGTTGGTTTTGGTGAAGGGTGGTATAACTTGGTCTTTGTTGTGTTTTGATTCTCATAGGACGATGGAATGAGCAACCCTCGACGCAGTAAGGGCCGAACAGGCTGGCCACAGCACGTGTGGGCATTGGAACTCAAACAGGAGCAGACATTATAGGTTACATTTGCTATAAGCAATAAATGCAACGGTATAAAGACTTTTAAAAATCGCAGAAATATTATTTTGTTATTATTTGTTTACTGGTGGTGGTGTGGAAGCAGCGATATCTTAATTGCGTCTGGAAGCGTGTAAGCGTCTATTTTCATCCGGGTGTGCTGCGGATCTGTGATGCCCCAAAACCAGATGGCCTTTTTCTACTTCGCATAAATATTTATACAAGGTGTATCCTTGCGGTACTACACTATAATTATAATATAATGTTTAAAATGATATTATTTGATCACTCGGTATATTTTATTCTTCGGGCATGCTTGTTGGCGCAGTGCAGATCTTGCAGACTTTACTTTTACTACTTAACCGATTACAAGCAAATTTGCTTGAAGGAAAAAAAGGATACGTGTACATAAAACTACTTTAAAATAACATAGCGCTGCATGTAAACTAAGTTTATCGGGATGAAAGCACAGGAACATGTAGTAAAGTTATGTAAAACCGAGTAAAACTTTTACTAGCGGCAATAAAACTTAAATATTTCGGAAGGAATGATTTTATTTGGGTTTATTTACTCGAAATTTAACTTTTTTTCTACTAATTTTGGTGTCTGTTGATGTAGTAGGTGTAAAATATATACTTACTGACATTTGATACATCGACTGTCAGTGAATCACCCACGCCTCCTAAAGTATCGAAGTTCGGTGTTTGTGCGCCGTGAACAATTACCGCGAATTGATGCGTTCGTTTGACGACAAGTGAAATTACTGCGCCCCGCCTTCTTCCACCCTAATTTTCCATGCGTAATTGACGGTATAATGTATGTGGAATGTGTGGTAAATTGGTGAAGCGCACAAATTAACATTTTTCACACTTTTGTGTTGTCTTGTATCTGGATCTGGTTCGTTTTACGTCGTTTTGCGATTTTACGAGAATTTAAAGATCAGAATTTATGTTTGAGGCGCAGTGACATTAAAAAGGCATAAAATGAATGGGGAATTGTAAAATATGCGAATCGGAGCTTGAAATTTCACGATGCATTCGATATAAAACCGTAATTTTGGTTTTTCTCGGATTTTCAGTTGATTTTAAGCTGAGTGCTTGAATTTTAAGGGTTTTATATCTTCGTGGGTCAATGAACTTGCAGTGTGAACTTGTTTTTTCAAAATTGAATCAAAAATTTAATATTTGAACTTGAAAGTTATGAAAACCTTGAACTTGTCTTCAAAATACAATCTAATTGATACGGTTTAGTTTAAATATAAATAAAAAAAAACTTATGAATAAATCATTAATACTGTTGGTTTTGCTCTAAGTAAAAAACAATTGGAGCAATTTGAATAATACTTTTGTGGTTTGTTCGATTGTATTATGCAGAAAGGTAGAAATACGTCTAACCCGCGATAAAGAGTGGGGGAACGTATCCACAATACTTACGTATTATCGCGCGCGTTAAGTGTGAATCACTATTTCAGCTATGTTCAAGCTCTTAAGATTTTCCTCCAAGATAAATAATAAATTGACTCATTTTAAAACCATAATAATCTTATTACAATAATTTATTCACACTAAAACAGATGTTTTCGCACTATTTCGGTTGTCAATCGAAACAACTCGCTTGTTTAGGATTAAGTAGGATTAAGTGGGAAGTCACGACTTCATTATGAATAAATATCAAGATTAGCATAAAATAACCAACGACCCACAGCTCACAGTAATAATAATTTATTACAACGAAAGCAAAAAAAACGAACTACAAATAAATAAGATCAAAATAATTGTTCTCCGCGTGTCTCATACATCATACTGCTTCCCACACTCGTTCTAGTTCTAATTGTTCATGTTCTTCTGGATCCATGGCAGGAACTTTTCGACTCGGGTGTAAACGCCTGGATACTGACCTTTACCGCAACCAATGCCCCATGATACAATGCCCACTTGCGTCCATTTGCCATTGTTTACCATCAATGGTCCACCAGAATCACCCTAGATTAATTATTTCACATATAGCTTCATGTTTCTGATTGGATAATAATTATTCTTACACTGCATGAATCCCTGCTATCTTGACCAGCGCACAACATGTGATCAACGATACCTCCGGGGGCGGCACCGCCATATTTCACCCGACAATCACTATTCCTCCAGATGGGAATGTTTACTTCTTGTAGGATAGCAGGTTGTGGTCCCACTAATCAAAAAGTAATAATTTATATTGTTTTAGTTTAATATGTTAAAAAAAAACTTACTTTCCCTTAAACTGCCCCATCCTATAACGGTAGCTGTCTGTGATTCATAGGAGGATCCAGGTGCAGGTAGACACACCGGACGAATTTGTTTAGAAAATTGCACCGGGCTATCCAAGGTCAATAACGCAATGTCGTTATACTATTAAAAAATATTAAAACATGGTAATTTAAATTTAACATAAATATTTTTATATCACCCTGTATACTTACCAATGTACGTGAATCAAAACCACGATGCCGAACAACACGCTTCACACGTTTCTCCACATGTCGCGTCTCATGTGGTATTTTTATATTGTGATCGGCTAATCGGACTGTCAAACGAGCGACATCATAACCTGTCATACTAAAAACACGCAAAAAATAACATTAGTAGTCTATAATTTGAGGTTATAATGTGACTTACTGTGCAACACAATGCGCCGCGGTTAAAATATGCACGTCATCAATAAGTGACCCGCCGCAAAACTGCCGCCCACCATTGAACAACGCCGCGATCCAAGGCCATTCGCCAATATCTGCATTATGTCCACCCACGATCCTCTCCTGATCCTGATAACCATTTTTAGCCCCACAGGAACCATCAAACACCCCGGTGTTACTTTCGGTTGTGGTTGTGTGCACAGGTCGCGGGGGTTTCGGCGTTGTTGGTTTCCATGGTGGGTTAGTGGGTCTCACAACCGAAACAGGTGATGTGGGTTGTTCATCGGGAATAATCCCAGGGAAACCTGGACTTGGTGGATGTGTAGGTAGAGGTGGGATGGTATGATCCGGAGGATGCGTGGGAATTGGTGGTGGCCAATTTGGGATATTCGGGTATGCAGGGTATTTCACTCCGTTGTTTTCTGAAGACGCCGGAGTGGAATCACTGGACTTCACTGCTTCGGTTGTAGATTCAGGTTTTACTTCCGGTTTGATAACTTGTGGAGCATTGCAACATACGCCGAACATCTTTAAAATAGTTTAAAATTAAGGTTATGTTATGCATGTGTGAGGAGGTCTTACTTGTCTTCCTTGTTGGGTATAATAACTGCACGTGTCATACATCCCTAAGACCCAACTATCCCAATTGTTAAGATCAGGCAGTTTGAAATACGGATAACACTCGCGGAATGACACACATCTCCCAAGCAGACCTTTGGTACTAAAACAAGGCCCGCTTCCTGGTGCGTACGCTGCGCCATCTAGTTGTGAATAGGTGCTGGCCAGCAGCGGGTGGTGATAGGGTTGTATAACTGCCGGCGAGGGGAATATCTGACGCGCACGTCTTGCGTGTTGGACATTTTCAGCTACCGAAAGCACAAAAAATATAAATGACGGTGATTATCGGTAATTTTGCGCGCGTTTTACTGCTACGTTTCGGTCTGTAATTTAATCGGGCAGTAATCAATCGTGAATATCGATGACGCCGAGAGCGTATCATCCAGCGAGGTGAACGTTCTTAACGGCCTTCGGCCTTGACAGTGAGCGTACCACCATCGACCTGTCAGGTGTGAAATGCTAAACGCGCGTGGGCAGAGCGCGCACTTACCGTTACGCTCATTTGCAAGCGCAACATGTCGCGCGGAATGATTTAATTCTTACTACCGGAGTCAATCAACTTAATTTGAATAATTTCCGACATTAATCGCAATCAATAGTTTGACGTATTTATAGTTTTATGTTGCTTTTTTTCTTGAATGCTTGTTAAATTGGCGTTGAATTGAAAACGAGAAAAGTTTGAAAGTCTTGATTACTTCTGCGTACAACATACCTTCGACGATTATGGTGTCGCGGTCGTCTTCCGTGGTCTTGGCATTGCTTCCCGTCTCGAAGCCGCCGGCGGCGAGCAGGAGGCAGAAGAACGCGCACGTTGCCCGCATGTTTTTCTTGTTTCTTGTTTGTCGCTTCTCTTCGGCAACGCGAGAAAACTCGCGATCTGCGAACGCACGGTCGCGGCGCGCAATGTCGTCCTCTTGGACAAAGTTGCTCTTATAAAACGCACGTCCGCGCATCTCTTCTCCCTCCTGCGGTCGTTTCGCGACCCGGCCGACCGGCCGCCAACCGCCGACGACGGTCCGAAAAACTCTTTAATCGCGTCGCCAATTTCGAGCGTCGGGCGGTTGCTTCAGGTACGTGCGCGCGTATCGCGCGGACCGATCGCGATGTGATTGACTTCTTGGAATATTTAATTGAGCGGCGGGTAAAAAACTTGGAGAGCGCGCTGTCGATCGGTGGTCTATTGAACTTGACCCCGAGCTAAATTATGGTCAGGACACAATGGGCCGTGTGTGTGTCGCCGTGTTTTTGTCGTAAATTTGATAAACTAGTTTTTTTTCGCGTTCGCCCGATCAATTTGTTACGTTTTGTTTCATTTGCATAATAAAATTTTGATTAAAAACTAATCAGGGAGTAACTAAATTCAAAGCTTATCATAATTTTATATATTTTACTTCATTAAAACTAAGAAACACAATTTTTTGAAATTTTACTAAATTTATCTTTAAATTTGCCCCAAAACCTCACATTTTTACTAATTATCTTTATAAATCTTTACTTAGGTATATCTAAAAAATACAACCCTGGTTTGTAAATATCGACTTTATCAAATTTAAATGATAAAATATATATTGTCCACCGTCTAAAAACGTGTATTCAATCTTAAAAATGTAAATTTTTTGTTTTCTGATTTTTTTCTGTTTAAAAAAGCGTAACAATCAAATTAGCATCTCAAATACGCATAACATATTCACTTCGAATATCATTACAGCCACATTGCAGTAATCGAGCTAGAAGACATTTTATTACAACAATAAAACAGTAATTGGCCGCCATTACATTAACTTTACGAGCGTCTTGAAATGTTTAGAACCAATTGGCACTTGGGACGCATTTATTCATCCTAATTGGATTCCGATTAATTGAAACGCATCCAATAACACGCTGTCGTGACTAATGAGTATGTTAATTATGTCGTCGACATGTTTTTTAGGCTTGTAAGTTATAAATTTGGTTTTTGCGTCGTAATTTTGTTATTTTATTCTAATTTTGGTATATGTAGCGACATCTGGTGAGCAATTGTATAACATGGCAAATTTTCATTGTAGTTTTTTATTGTTTAGCGTGGTTTATACTAAAAATTATTTGTTTTTTTACGAATTTAATTAAAGATAATTGTTTATATTGATAATCCGTTGCTAAACAAATGATTTATTCGGTTTGACTTGCCGTAAATAAACTTGATGTAAATATTAATTATATGGTGACAACAGTGGCATCTAAACGTGAGTGTTTGAAGTATACAATGACTCGCGTGTTTTGCGCCAAAGAAAACGCGTTCGCCTAGGTGACATTCGTAAATTTCGTGTCGTTTCGTGCGGCTTGCGCCTTAAACTAGGTTCCGCAGACTGGTGTTGAGTGTTGTCGAGGTCCGCAATCGCCGCTCCTTTTCTCGATTCGGTCTAGGACTTCGCGTCAAATTGCGCGTTTGGCAAGCTAAACCGTAGTGCACGTAGCGCCGTAAGCGACGCCGTGAAATCCGTCTCCACCAGTGGCACCAGCGACCACCGCCGCCGCGCGCTCGACAAGAAGCAAGCAGACGCACGGCGTTCACGCACACACGCGTTCTCAGGACTACGCAGAAGGCCGAAGGCAAAGGTGAGCGATTGAACGTGTTGTGTGGTGTTGTTGCGTTGTTGGCGTACGTTGTTGCTTGCAAATGGTGGTCATGTGCGAATCGTTCCCAAACGGACGAGATCGCATTGGTGCGCCTGCAACAGCAAACCGATTCGTTTTTATCATTTCGTCTGCTTTGTGAAATAGAAACGTGACTCTACAGCGACATAACCATGAAGGTGCCACCGACGAACAACATGAATGGCTTCAATGACTACGACGAAGAGCACTATTTCAATGACGCCGCGCAGAACCACAATACGCCGGCGAATGGTAACGGGGCGGATTTTCCAGCACCCGTCCAGGACGCCGATTTCTCTGAGTACATGTGGATGGAGAATGAGGAGGAATTTGATAAAGAGGTCAGTTAATTTTAACACTGTCATCTGGGTTGTCTATGGTAACCTGTTCTTGGACTTTATTTAGAAACTTTAATAATTGATTAAAACAGGTGCTGCAACGGCTCGAGGAGGAAGAACTCATGGAACAATGCATGCTGCAGCATATGCTGGATGAGCCCAGTCAAGCCAATAACTCACAGTGAGATATATTTTCATTTATTTCAGCCATTTCTAATAATTATTACTTTGGTTTTGGTTAATAAATATTGCGCGATGTTTTCTTAGGAATCGTCCATCGAGGAATAACACAAACCAGCGAGAAAAGCAAGAAAACACCGAGATGGCAAAGAGCAGTACGCTGAATCCGCACGCAGCGGAGTTCGTACCCAGCGCCAGCTGGGGGCGCAGTAATCCACCCGAGCAGAAGTCGACTTAAATCGCTTCGCGAGCGGCACGTGCACCATGGTATAAAATAAAAATTCATTTAGGCGCGAGCGCACACACAAACACACTCACGACACGTTCATGTTTTATTACCGACGTAAATTGATAAACTAACACACAAATGAAGCAAGCATTAATATTAATTTCGAAAAAAAAAAGAACTCAACTCAATCCAACTAACATATTGTGAAACGCATAAGTTTAAGGATTTATTACGAGGAGGGGGGATAACTAAATGTAAATGAGAGATGTGACAAGGAAAGCGATGGTTGAGAGATTGCCTGTTATTTTTCTATGCTATGATCTCATTTAAATGAAAATTGAACAAAAAAATATTTATAATGGAAAAGCGCAAAAAAATGATAGCATTTGCTTATTAATTAACTCTACTTACGAATGATATGGTTGGTAATTGCATGAAGCGTGTGGGCAGACGGGAAAAGCTGGCTTAATAACAAGAAAAAACGTATAAGGAACGTGTGATTTTCGCTTAATTACAAATGTTAGACGGGGTCTCCACGAATACAGTAAGCGTCTCGAAAATAGATTTAGACTTAGGATATATCGATTAATGATTTATGAAGTAAAAAAACAACTACACACTCAAAAATAGAACCAGAGCGGAGAGAAAAGAGAAAGGCGGCAACCGAACGAGATGCAAACTTGTTTATTTAAGACTCGACAACGCTCTTCAGTTCCATGATATTATTTGGCAGCCGGTTTCATGTTTATTAAGCTCAAAGATAGTAAAAAATATGTTTTTTTAGCCAAAAGTAAAGTAGAAATTAGTCATGCAACTAAAAATATGTGCGTTGCGCGTTTTTTTCCGAAGCTTTGAGTTTAATTTACACACCATTTTTGCATTGGACGGGGGCTGTGATGATGGGATGGAGCGATAGCGAAACGTAAGATACAATTGTACAAAACATTTATCTACATATTTATATTTCACATTCACGAAAAAAGCGACGAAAATTTACTGGAAAAAAGCGTTGCGCTTCGGTCTGAACGCCGCGACGCGCGTTGCAACAGCATAAATTGTTTGCGATTGCGTAAAATCTACGTTTGTTGTTGTTGCCACGCGTGTCGCCGCGTCTGGGCACGATTAAACCAGCCGTAATATTTATATTTACCTTCTCTGTACGTTTCGGGAGTCGAATTTGTTTAATTTTTTTGTCGAACATAATTTTACGTTTAATCTGTACAAGTAATTACTCAGCACACAACACTCTCTGATAAAGTCTCGTCGAATAACTTCGTCTTGAATAACGAGAATCTCAGTTTGACAAATGAACAATCACTTTAACAGCAATATCGCACTACCTGTGTTCATCAATGTGATGTGATTTGATGCACTTGAGACTTTATCATAGAATTGTTCGCATATAGCAATCTCTTTCCGTCTAATTATGTGGATATCTTGAACTACATGGAATAATTCTCTGATGCTGGTTAATCTGGATGAGTTTGCAAGTACAATTATTACTTAAATGCATTTTTGGATTGATTGCATTGTACATATTTTACAACCGTTTATACAATGTGTATATTATTTTTGGTTGGCCTGGGTTGCTACGATTTTTTTTATCTATTATTTTCTTGTGTAACAGCTAATTTGTTTGTATATAACTTGATATACATGTGCGATCTATCAATATTTATGTTTACTCACTCGGTTTCGTGTTGATTAGGTTTATTGTAGTTTTGTAAGTGGTCAAAAATTGGATTGGAATTGTAAAAGCGCTGCACATATTCTCGAATAATTTTAAGCCCTGGAAAAGCTTTCGATTTGTAATTAATTTTTATCATGTACGAATCTTGATCAGTTTTTTTTTTATATAATTTCAAGTGGAACTTTGTATTGATTATTATTATAAGATGCCTCAATAGATACAAATGTAAAATACGAATATCGGAGGAAAAACATTATTATTGTGATTGTTTTGCGTAAATTGGGAGTATTGCAACATGAACTATGATATTTAAAAGTAATTACCTCATTGTCCGGAAAGTGTAAAGTTGTTTCTGGTAAAATGCACTTATTACTTCCTTCGTGCACAACTTGATCTACGTGACTGGTGGTTAAGTCGCGCCCAAGACTTGCAATAATTTTCTTATCTTTTAATTGGTCAGCGGAATGCAATAACAATAACACTATGATGCGTCTAAACAAGAATATCAGATTTCTTTTATCGTTATTGCAATAACCAGATATCGCACAAAATTCGCAAGTAGAAAGCTTAATTTCTTTAAAACTACTTAGTTTAAATTAAAATATAGGTGATTCAATTTTATTTTACTATTTTCTGATTTTCTCAATTACTGGACACAAAAAATTAAGAAAGGCACATAATTATCATTTGTAAAATTGGTGCACATATGAACTTGCGCACGTTTCACTAGATGGCGGTAGAGGTGTCGTTTGCAACTCAGTAGTACCCTAGAAATACCCCGAGATGGCGCTGCCATGCACATTTCTATAATAAATTCGGCAAGTTTACTTGACATGACTTTTTTCACACAGTGTGAGAACGTGTTCCGCGCAACTGATAGTGTTTGTCCGTATCAACGAGTTGCTTGTTTCAACGAATTTTGTGTCCGTCGGAATTCATGCGCTGTGTGAAAATTAAATATAATGTGCATTTTTAAATACTTTAATTTTCGAATAAAAACACGTAATATCCTTATGAAACTTGAACGTCCAGTTCAGTTCCCAACATCTAGTTGGGAATATTGTTGTTTGTGTTGTGCGAGTTCATTGCGTTAAATGTTACTGTCAGTAACATTGCGTGCCGTCGGAACACAGTCGGTGTTCACGAGCCGTCGGAACTCTGCGCTGCGTTAAAGTAAAATGTGTTAAATTTATAAACATTGCTGTATTGGACTTGGTGCAAACATTTCGCTAGTGTTATAAGTGGATCCAGAGATTTTGAACAAGATACACGCTAGAAGCACGCCACAAATTAGTATTTCCATTGGATTTAATTTGTGGTGCGTAAGTTTCGAGGTAAGCATTTTAGTTATGAGAAAATTCTATTTAGGTATCAGTATTTTACACATTTAAATAAAACTTAACTGTAGCTTTGCAAATGACTGTTTCTTGATTTGCATCGTACTTCAATATAACTATATAACGAACGCACAAATGTGCACATCCTTTGCATTAAATTCTACACGCTGTTATCGCAGCCGGTTCTTTGCTTGTGGTAGTGTTGCACTCGTGTCTATGTGAAATCACGCGATTTCGTGCGGCAGGTATTGGCTTGTTTACATCTGCGGGTCTGCGTGAAGTTAGGATTCGCACGCAGTTACTTGTTTGTTTACAATCGTGAATCTGCGTGCCGACGGAACTCGCGCGATCAAACTTATATGTACCTGCGTTGCATAGAACGTGCAGTTGTGTGCTAAGTCATCCCTCGTCGCTGGGACATTCCTGAGTCGAATAAAATCTATGTCGTGGTCGGTTACTTTGTGTATTTCTTTCGCGAGTCGTCATGTTTCGAAAACGATTATCTCTTACGTGATCGGTTTATCCAATATTTTACGCAACTCGTATTGTTTGTCCGGACATTTATATTCCAAATTCGCATTATTGTCGATCATCAACCGACTATTTAATTTCGACTATAGTAATGTTATTTTTTTACTGTTTGCGCGTTTATTGTCCATAAATGCCGGTTAAGTGTATCGCCTCCATTTTGATTTGATATTCATCATTAGGATGACCCATCGTGCTGGTATAAGTAACTTTTAACAAAACAGCACAGATTGTTTGTTTTTCTCCACTGTGTGATTATAATATTACTAAGTCGTATGAAATATTTTTGTTTTAACTTATGTTTTCTTTTTTTATTTATAGTATTTGCCGTGACTTGTAGCCCATGAGTTGTGCATTGGTGAGTTTATAATTCAATTTAGTTTAAAAAAGGGCAGCGGTAGAAGTGACTCGTATTCAGGGCACCGTACGGGGGTAGCGGTCGAAGTGACTCGTGTTCAGGGCATCGTACGAGGGTAGCGGTAGGAGTGACTCGTGTTCTAGGCACCGTATAAGGGTAGCAGTAGAAGTGACTCGGTTCAGGGCATTCTACGAGGGTTGCGGTAGAAGTGACTTGCCTTCAGGGCATCGTTTAAGGGTAGCGGTAGAAGTGACTCGGTTCAGGGCACCATATAAGCGTAGCGGTAGAAGTAATAACTCGTGTGCGCGTAATTTAATTTCGTTTTTTTTTCAATATTGCGGTCGGACAGGACCTTACACAAACTTGACCGCGATGTATACAGATGCAGAATTTAATTCTCTATAAGGCAATATTTGTTCGTTGAAGGAGATATTCCTAAAACGTGAATAATTGCAAAAAAAATGTTACTTTGTCCGGTTTTTGCGTCCTTGCGTACTTTGATTTCGTTTTTTTATTATTATTGCGGGCGGACAGGACCTTACACAAACTTGAGCGCCATGTTTACAGAGGCCGAGTTTAATTCTCTATAAGGCTATATTTATTTGTTGCAGGAGATACGGTTGCACCGTTAGTAATTGCAAAAAAGGCTATTTTTCTAGTGTTCTTGTGCGTTAATTTTTTGATATTTTTAAAAATTATTACTGCTTATTGGGAGCGTTTAGCGCGGCGTCTAGAGATGCGGAATTAAATTTTCCGTCGGGTGGTATTTGTTTGTTTGAGGAATTCAACCTGCAATTTGCGAAAATTTGCATAAAAGAGTGATTTTTTCACCCTTCGCCGTAAAATGTTTTAATTTTTTTGGGTTTGCATGCGATCTTTGCAGCTCAGTAACTTCAGGGTTGCATCTAGAGAAGCGGAATTAAATTCTCCGTCGGGTGGTATTTATGTGTTGCAGGAATTCGACCTGCAATTTGCGAATATTTGCATTAAAAGGTGATTTTTTCACCCTTTATCGTGAAATGCTTGTATTTTTATGTGTTTGCACGCGATCTTGGCAACTAAGTAACTTCAGCGTGGCATCTAGAGAAGCGGAATTAAATTTTACGTCGGGTGGTATTTGTTTGTTGCAGGAATTCGACTTGAAATTTGCGAAAATTGGCATTAAAAAGTGATTTTTTCACCCTTTATCGAGAAGTGTTTGTATTTTTTCGGGTTTGCACGTGATCTTGGCAGCTCAGTAATTTCTGCGTGGCATCTAGATAAGCGGAATTAAATTCTCCATCGAGTGGTATTTGTTCGTTGTAGGAATTCGACCTGCAATTTGCAACAAAATTGCATTAAAAGGTGATTCTTTTACCCTTTATCGTGAAATGTTTGTATTTTTCGAGTTTGCATGCGATCTTGGCAGCTCAGTAACTTCTGCGTGGCATTTAGAGAAGCGGAATTAAATTCTCCGTCGGGTGGTATTTGTTTGTTGCAGGAATTCGACCTGCAATTTGCAAAAATTTGCATTAAAAGGTAATTTTTTCACCCTTTATCGTGAAATGTTTGTATTTTTTCGGGTTTGCACGCGATCTTGGCAGCTCAGTAACTTCTGCGTGGGATTTAGAAAAGCGGAATTAATTTCTCCGTCGGGTGGTATTTGTTTGTTGCAGGAATTCGACCTGCAATTTGCGAAAATTTGCATTAAAACGTGAATTTTTCACCCTTTCTTGTGATATGCTTGTATTTTTTCGGGTTTGCGCGCGACCTAGGCGGCTCACTAGCTTCAGCGCGGTGTTTAGAAATGCGGAATTGAATTCTCCATCGGGTGATATTTGTTTGCTGCAGGAATTCGACCTGCAACTTGTGAAAATTTGCATTAAAATGTTCAAAATGTTTTTTTGTGATTTATTTTTATAGTGAAATGTTTGTATTTTTTCGGGTGTGCAAAATTTCACTTTTGAGCACTTTTAGTCGCATTTTTCGACTCCATGAAATTAAATAATTTTAAATATTTATCTAATAGAGATTTATCCAATCTAGAAGTGACTCGTGTTCAGGGCACCGTACGAAGGTAGCGGTAGAAGTGACTCGTGTTCAGGGCACCCTACGAAGGTAGCGGTAGAAGTGACTCGTATTTATAAAATATAAAATATAATTTGTGCTATTCGGAATTGAAAAAAAAACTGGGGAAAAGGGGCCGTACCGCCTCATGTTTTTTTTGTTATAAATTTTTTCACTTCTTATTTTTCCGATTTTAATACTTAGATTTAAATATTTAAATTAGTCGCGGTGTTGTAAACATCAATTATTTAATTAACTAAGGTATACAGTAAGGTATAAGTAAAAGTAGATTTCGTGTATGTGTGTTATTTCAATATTGTGAATTTTTACTTTCGTTTTCTCAACTACGTGTTTACCACTACGTTTGTGTATAAACAACTTTTTTGTTCAACTGACGCGTATTATCGCTACGTACCTGGTTACGTGCAGCGCACACGGCAGTCGTTTCACCGCGTGGTCCGCGAACGCGTCTTTCCAATCGCCACGCGTTTTCAGACTGTATTCTTTTCGTCATCAGCAAAATATTTGTAACGAGCATGTGCATATATGTGCATATATGTGCATAATATATCTTATACATTGAATAGTTTTTCGTTATTTTTATCGTATTTACCTACTGTATTACCACGGGCCGTCGCTTGCCGTCTGCTGATTTGGATGTTTTCCGCCTGTTTTGAGCAGTGCGTTGAACTATGTGTGTTTTGAACTAAGTGTAGCAGTGGCGCTATCTAGCTTAGAGGGTTGTGATGAGGGTTGTTAAGTTTGTTACTTAGTATAAGTTTTTTATGTATTGCGTCGCCACTCGTACTTCCTGCGCGGCGCCATGATGGGCCGCTGAGAGGGAGTATGAGGGTGCAAATAAAAGGGCCAGCCGAGAGCATCTCGGCCTTGTTTCCATCGAATCGTCATCGTGAGTTATCTGTGAGTATTTTTGACCCTCAGTGCTTAGTAAATTGTGCGTGCCCGTATTTCTTGTGTTGTAATCTGTTCCGGACGCCATCTTGCTTAAGTTATACTCTGACTTCTTTGAACTTGCACTTGAAAATCTATTAAGTTAGATCTCGCGAACAAGTCCTTCGCGAGTTAAGTAACCATTGTTAAACAAACCGCGACAACCGCGTAAACACCGCCTGATGTTTTATTAATTTATGATGATGCTTCACCCGTCGGTTACCTTATGCAGTTGATGCTATCAACTGATAAATATATATATAAAAAAATTTATTTATTCTTTTCGTCATCAGCAAAATATTTGTAACGAGCATGTGCATATATTTCATAAACTGAATTTATGAAGATGCCCTCTGGGCGAAACATGTCAACTCAAAAATAAAATTGTAAATCCAAAATCACGTATAATGTTTAATAAATAAATATTTTTTATAAATATACAACATGGATTACGTATTCACCAAAGAAAGTAATAAATGATAAATATATACACAATATATTAAATTGAAAGTGTTGTATTCTTGTTGCAACTTTTTTACTTAACTTTTCCGATCATTTTCGGGTTAAATCTTTGAATTTCTGTTAAAATATAGTTGTTTCGGTATAAATTTCTCTCGTCACGATGTGAATGTTGATCATATTTGTAGTTTTTAAAACTTTCCTTTTGTAACACCCTGTATATTTGTTTTCCTAACAGTACTTTAGTAAATCGCCTTTATTTGCGAGTTGTGAGTGTTCTTTCTTTTAAATTTGGGATTTTCCTTCTGAAACACCCTGAATATTTGCTTTTCTTTGTGTCCGTGAAAACTCTCCTTCAGTTGTGGTTTTAAAGTTTTTTTTTGCATTTTAAGTTTTTTGTAACACCCAGTTTATTAGTTTCCCGGAGCATCGGGTGAAAACGAGCAATATTTGTAGTCTTTAGATGTTTTTCTTTTTGATGGTTGATTTTTCTATTTGTGACACCTTGTATAATCGTTTTTCTTCACATCCCTGAAAATTTTGCTTTGACTGCTATTAGAATTTAACTTCTTGCACTTTGAATTTTCTTTTTGTAACGCCCTGTATATTTGTTTCCCAGGGTAACCGTGGAAAACTAGCGATATTTGAATGTTTAGATGTTTTCCTGTCTGTACTTAATTTTCTGTAACCCCCCGGTATATTTGTTTCCATTTTCAATCACGAAGAAAATTGACTTTGCTAATTGCTTTATCCCGCTAGAACTTCACTTAGTGATACGCGATTGTTTGCGCGGCTAAGCAGGTCGTAATTCCAATTTCAATATGGCGGCATGAATTCTGTTGACTTGTATTATTTTACATTGTATTTATTAATAAAGAAATGTTAAGAAATATTATGTCTTCTGCTTTCAATGTACCCGTTCTATCATTTCAGGTACAGGTCTCTAAGAGAGTTCCCTCTCTCAGGGGATGATCCCCACTATAAAAATTGTTAAGGTATCCTGTATGATTTGTGTACTCCATCTTTCATTTCAGCTACAGGTGAGAACTTGTAAGAATATTTTTAAGAGTCCCCTCCCTTGAGGCGACTTAAAAATTAGAAATATTTTTACAAGTCCTTAAAAGGATGTCCTTATAAGGAGTTCCCTCTCTCTGGGGGTGATCCCCCACCATAAAAATTGTTGATATGCCTGATAATTCCGGGGATGAAGCGCAGAGACATCGTAGCTGTAGGATGGGCCGGGAGCAATGGACGCATCGAAGCAGTGGGCGATCGACCGGAGCGCCAGAGGCGCTCTGGGAGATCGACCGTAGAGTCTTATAACGACACGTGCCAAAAAATTTAAAAATTCCGTCACCCCTATTTCTCTTTTCTTCTGTACTCTCTTCTCTTCTCTTCTTACTTCTCTGATTCTCTCTCCTGCTACTTTCTCTTCTCGGCTATTCCTTCTTCTACTTCTCCTTTTTCTCTGTTCTCCGTTTCTCCACTTACTACTTTCCTACTTCTCATATTGCTTTCACTTGTATTGCAATTTCTCATATATTTCATTTGAGTTTACATATGCAACCCAAATTACACCTGTTATTTTTATATTTGAGAAAAATGCCTTCTGTACCTGAGATTCGATCCGTGCCTACTAGCATGCCAGCAGGTGCACGTCTCCACTCGACCACCGAGTGCTTTTATCATTGACATTTGATTCTTCTATATATGTTTCTGTTTGCATGTTTTTTAAATCAACAACATAATTCAAGCAACAGCAATGCATTGTATACGCTTCACGCACATAAGATTTATAAACTATATGATTTAAGACACCGATACTGAAAACAACAAAGGGGATACAACAAAGAAACACGAATTAGTTTATAACATTACAATGTGTTTTATTGACAATATTTAAAATACATATATCTTTCAAATAAAAAAAAAACATTGACGAATTTCAAATCTCGTAGCAGTAAAGACTTACCTTAAAATGTGCGCATCTCCAATACTTCTTTCATGGATATCGCAGATTCCATGACTCCCATTATCAAAAACTGGGCACCAACGTTGTCTATCAGCAGGAATTAATAATAAATCCAAGTTTTGCCAATATGCGAGATGATAAACGACTGCCGATGAACACGCACGCGGCGCACAAACAAATTACGAGAAAATGCGTTCAGCCGATATCGCAGCGCATATTGCGCTAAGAAAAATATAGATAGCCGACGCACAAAACAATAAGGCTAGCACCAAAGCATTGACTTGTTACACCAAAGAACAATGGAGGTACGCGGCGGATTGGTTAAGTTAAGTTGAGGAATAAACACGCACAACCCAAACCACGGCGTAGAGAATACTGAGCTGCTAGATTGAGAACAATGTTGAACCAAAAAGAAAGCGATACTAGCGCCACCTACACGTGGGATAAGAAAACTCAATAAATACCACGATACTATCGCCATCTAATTGCAGGGATTCGAACTACAATGCAGCAAACTGTAATTGGAGTATTACAGGAATCAACTCTTCCCAATTTTACCTTTGAGTATTACATTGTTTTATTTGCGAGTATCGCAATTAAATAATAAAAATCACATTTGTTACTTATGAGAAACAGATAAAAACCTTTATTACTTTTGTTTTACTTATCAGAGCAGCTAAACCTAATAAACATCTTATGTACATATGAAATTTTGAAGTGACTCCTCATCGGAATTGTTTTCTTGAAATAACTTCTAAGACTTTATCAAAACTATTTTGAATTAAAAACTAACATAAAGATTTCTACCGTGTTAATGAGACAGTAACGAATGTGTTACAGGTGTACTTTCGAAGAATTTTGTCGTGCTTTTCTTGCGTCCGGAATTTATAAAATATATGACATGCGGAGCATGTGAATTCAACTTAATAATTGTTAATTTAGAAGCCCGCAAGTAGTTACAATCACCACTGCATTTATGCTTCCTGAACATGGATTTTCCATCAATTAATAAATTGCGTTTGCTTTTTAACAGAATAGCAATAATAACTAATTAAACTACTATAAATGTATATCTTATTAGTACTACGCTTATAAAACTGATGCATTTTCAGATGTTTGCCCACTTCTCGCTACCATCAAGTTCTTTCATGCCTGCAACATCGTTATAACTGATTATAAACATGAAAATATGCAATTTCTGCCCTTTGAATATTTTCAAAATTACAATCATAGTGTTGCGCGTAGTCAATGAATCAATTCTTTCACTTCTGCAACTATTCTCTGCACCCGGCTCTTCTCTTGTAGCCATCGATAATTATATTAACTTCGAATTAATATTCTGTGTATAATATGTACAAGTTTCCGCGTCGTTAGCCTTGGGTACGAAATGTAAATAACAAAATGGCGGATGCTTAACATTTACATATTATATAAAAAATCATTTGAAGTTGAATCTTACCCATAAATTTGCCAAGTCCAATCTACTATAATTCAAAAGCAATTAATATACATTCCAACGAATGTTTTCGAAAAGAAAATACAACGCAAACAATTGTGCTCCATCTGATTTTTACAGCATCGTTTGAAAATGTGAATTCTATCGCGTTTTTTTTTTTTCATCATCTATTAGCTAAACGTGAATGTACTTTCTCTAGGTCTTTAAGTTAAGATCGGCGTTGTAAAATAATAATAGTAAAAAAAACAAGTAAACATACATAAGTTGTAAATGTTACATTAAATTAAAATCCCTCTCGACACCCACTGATCGGATCGGCCACGAACAAGTACGTTCGTTTGAAAAATGCTCGCAAGAAGCGCAAGAGTGTGTAGTGCGTCCGTACTGCGCCCCAGGGACAACGTAACGAAGTAAGCGTCTTGTCTTTATGTGGTCTCACTTACAACAAGCCAGTCAGTCACTCTCACTGTTTCTTTTTTACAGGCGTTGGCGAATCTTCTGGTCCTCGTTTTGCTCCTTTGCTTGATGCATTCGGATCTAGAAAATTCATTTTATAATAACTCTGAACCATAAAACAAAATAAAACCATAAAAAAAAACGTGTTTTACCTTGTAACCACCTAACTTGAGTAGCAGGCCCATATCCTTTATCATTCCTCGCGGCAATACGGAAAATAATCGCAGACTTGGTGGTGGTGTCAACGTGCGCAGCGGCAAGAGAAGAGTTCGGAACAGTGCATGAATTGCTGGGACCGCAGTATACCCTGACGAAGGCCAGGTTTGAATTGGCACGTTCCTAACACAAATAAAAATGTAATAAATATATAAACCATACAGGTAAAGCATCTTACCTTTGCAGAATTTCGTACTGCTAAATACACAGAATATTCCAGAATATTCTCTTGATTGACGCACGGCGGTTCCCAAGAAAGATGCGCTCCATCCACAGACTTAGCAATCTTGATCGCCGACGGTGCACCCGGAAATCCAGGAAGACAAGTCTTGAACGCCGACACTTCGCTCCATTCTCCAATTCCCACTGAATTTATGGCAGCGACGCGGAACTTATACGCTGTGCCCGGCTCAAGCGTTAACTTGGTCAATGCCGATATATCCGGCAAGCTATCTTCACGAAGCAAATCTAGCTCATCTTGTCCAAGCATGCAGAAGTTCTTCACGTCAAAGCTGGTGCCCTTGACGAATCCCACCGTAAACCACTCCTTTGAGTCTTTGGAGTCTTTCGGCGTGGCAAGGGCGAGAGCGTCAGTCTTATTGTTGGTCTCTTTCGAGTGATCGAGCGCGGCTGACGCTAGCGCCGCCAGCGCATTGCCGTCCTCCTTCTTAGTCTTGCTTTCTGTAGCCTCCAGGTGATTTTCCTTGTTATCCACGTCGCCAACATCGTTTTTAGGTGCAGTTGAAGTAGGGCTTTTCATTTCTGCGTCGCTGTCGTTGACTTGAGCATTCAGAAGCATCAGCGCATCATTTACAGAGATTTTGTCCAGTGCACCAACATCCTGCCGACTTTCAGCAGTTGCTTCATCATCCCCGACTGCAGCAACAAGCGCTGCTGTGGGATCTTGCTCTTCTTCTTCAGCTGGAGTGTCCTGCGAAGTTTCGCCTTGTTGGTCCAATAAATGTTCTGCGCTCAAATCATCCTGACTCGAACTCTCGCCTTCACCGTCAACGCTCATGTTCTTATCTTCGCTTTCGCCTTCTCCGACAGACCCATTAAAATTGAGCTCATCAAGAGGCAAACCCTCCTGGCTGTCGTCGCCGTTATTTAATCCATCAGTGTCTGGCAACTCCGCAGATTCTTCAGACGCCTGACTTTCAGCGGGTGGGTCATCAGTGATTTGTGAAGGGGGTGAATCGCCACCGCCTTTGAGACCACCTCGGTAGGTGAAAGGTATTACAGGTGGTGGACGTATTCGCCCGCCACCTTTAAGCCCAGTAAGCGAACTGATGGAACCGCCGAAAAGTCCGACTGCAGCGTCCGTTTCCATGGCGGACGAGTCGCCATCACCTTCCATCTCCATGTTGAGATCGGACGTCTGCAGTGGCATGTCTACCTCCATAGACTTTTCAGGTTCCGGGTCAATAAGACCTGCCTCCGCTGCGAGTGCAGCGAGGGCTGCGTCGGTGGTTGCTGGTTCATCAAAAGATGTGGAAGCTTAACAAATCGAAAATAAAACTTTAGTGAGAATTATAAATTAAAAATCAAAAATATCTACCGATTGTGGTTGCTGTTGGTTGTCGTGGACGTGTAACCATCATAACTTTGGCAGGTTCTCCAATAGTTGTAGAAACCGTTGGAGTAGCGCTGACAGTCGGAAGGCGGATGATCTTTCCGGCACCGGCGCCCGCCGGCATTATTATCGTTTTCCGCGTGCCGCCGTCGGCAATTTGTACAGTAACAGGTTTACCACCAATCATCATGTGTTTCTGAAACCGCAATTAAAAAATCAATATTTTTAATTTCAAAATTTTCAACTCAACTTACAAAGTGTGGCATGATGATGGGTTTCCCAGCGATCTTAACATTGGGCAGATTTGCAACGCCCGCCTTCGGTGACATAATATTCACCGTCGAAGCCTTCGGCTGGGTGACAGTGACAGGCTGCGCATTTGAGATGGTCTGAATGTTGCGAATGGCAGTACCAGAGCTGACAACAATCACCTGCTGGTTACCGATTGTGGACAGACCGCCAGCGGCGTTCTTCTGCAGAACAATCTTGTTCGGTTTGTTGACGATCATGTTCGACGGCAGCGTTTTCACAGTGGTGAGTAGCTTATTAGCAGCGTTCTGAGGTACAATTTTGACGATATTGTTGGATGAGCCCGCGCCTTGGATAATCGGCGTTTGAATAATACCACCGCCGGTTTTGGGAATGGTTGCCACCATGCCGGTGCTCGTCTTTACCAGAGTGACGATCTGTGTGGGACCCTTCTGCACAATTCCGGTGCCTTTCTGAACGATTACCTGCTTGCCAGCCATCTGCGGATTCCCTTGACGGATGATTGTACCAGCAGTTGGTATTTTACCACCAGCTACACAAAATAAATTAAAATAAAGTCCAATTCTGGTTGTATTTTAAAACAACTAACCTGCTAGTTTGATCGGTTGTGCCCCAGTTACCGTTATCTTCTGCGTGGCAGCCGCCGCAGCGGCCAATGCCTGAATACCAGACATACTGGCCGGCGTCTTCACCACTTGCCCATCAGCCGTAGATGTCGGCGATAAAATCTGCGCAGTCGGCAATACAATACTACCTGGAGATGCGGTCACCACCTTAGGCGACGCGTTACGCACAACAAACTTACTTCGCACCATAGGATTTATAATCCTCGGCGGTGATGCGACCGCAATGGGTCCAGCCACAATCGGAGCATTTGCTACAATCTGTGGCGCCAGCTTAATCTGATTTTGCTGTGTCAATTGCACCACTTTTGGTGGAGCAATCGCCCGTACCGTGGGATTGGCAGTCGCCACCGCCTTCGTCGGCGCAGGTGTAGCGGCCGCAGTCGGCGGGAGGTCATACTTCTGAATCTGAAGGACATAAGTCTGCGTAGATGGCAAACCATTCCAATTGACCTCTAGTGAATTCGTACCCGCCTTAACAAGACTCACTCGACCCGGCGCTGAAGGTTTCTCTACCTCCAGGTACCACAAATCCTTACAACACACCTGGTTATTCCACGCCTTGCGGTAACCATCCCTGCCAGACCACACATAAAGTCTAGTGTTGATCCCGACCGCGCAGTGACCCGCACGAGCGCACGGCAGACTCTGATCGAAACTGCCGATGTTCAAGTCGTCCCAGTGCATAGTCTCGAGATTGAGGCACGCCATCGTACCGGTGCATTTCCACTCTTTCTCGCTGTTAGCGTAGTTAGGCGTCTTGCCATCATCGTTGACCACCGGCACCCAACCGCCGAAAACATACATGCGATTGCCGATTAGTGTCGATGTGTGCAAAGAGCGCGGAAGGGGCGTAATGCCCGAGATCTGCGGTTTGCTCCACGTGAGCGTGTTGGTTTCGAAGAACCACAGATCGCCCAGGCGACAACCGCTCATACCGCCGTAGATAACAAGGTATGATTTGTTGGTGCTCTTGTCGACAAAAGCGACACCCGTATGCGACTCGCGCGCGGGCGGAGGTGACCCATTTGTGATTGGGATTTCCCATTGCACCGGATTCGAGCGGATGTCCAGTGCGTAAAGATCGTTCAGGTACCGCGGGATGTTGTTTTTGGGATCTTCGCTCTCATTCTCCAACCCACCGAAGAGGTAAACCTTATCGTTGACAAGCGTGAAACTATGGCCGAGTCGAGCGCAAGGGGGTTGACCCACTTTCGGTGGTTTAGGCTTTAATTTCCGCCACTCCCAACGGGAAGCCTTCACAAAATATTCAAATAAATACAAAAACCGAAAAACATTTAGAATTATAAACCCACCTGTAATTCATATAATTCGCTGCTGTATTTTCCATACTCTACCATACCACCAAAGATCAACAGGCGCGTGCCATCGACCACGAAACCGTAGGCGGCACATCCTGGTGGTACGTCCCCTTTAAGCACCGGCACAAACCATTGATTTGTGGCTGTAAAAAAGAAAGTTTAGTGTGCAACTGGTTGCATATCAAGGTATAAATATAAAAATTAATTCGAGAGACAATTTTCTGTTGCATGCATTAAAATTATCTGGTATTATGCTAGAAATTGACGCTTTTTTTTTATCTAGTTCCAATTAGATAAAAACCACAAATGTCGCCGCAAACTTCTAGTTTACATCCAAGCGACGCCATCTTATAGTGATAGCAAGCAAATAACAAGCGAGCGAAATTCAAAGGAAAAAATCTATAATTCGGAAGCGTTGGCCAATTTCCATCGTTTGCTAATGGAAACTGCTATTCGATGAAGTGTGGCGTTTAAATTTCGAATAGCCGCGCGCGGAAAAAAGCCGCCCGTTGCCAGTATAAATAACAACAAACATACGCGCGCGCGCCATGTTTGATGGCGGCGGGCCAAATCGCTCGCTTAAATACCTGTATTGTAAACGTGCAGTTCGTCGACGATGCCCTCGTTGCCGCCGCCAAAGACAACCATCAACTCCTTAATGGCAACTGCGCGATGACCGTGCCGCGGCCGTGGTTGCGGGCCGGCCGGATCGGCAACACATTTCCACCGTAGAGCCTTACCCGCCATTATGTGATCACATTGCACTCAAACCATACGCCAATTGGAGTTCGTGCTTCGCCTGCTTGGCTTGACACTTTCAAACCGCTAACCTCAATGTTTCTTGCGCGAACATAAAACGACTCGGCCGGAGGAGCGAGCGCGGCTTCCTCGCCCGCTTTGCACAGCTCGTCGGCGCGGCGCTCCTGCGTTGGTCGGGTGGCGCGCGCGTGCGGCGATTCAACAGCAGCCGCTAGCGCGAAATTCGGCAAACAAAGCTCGCGCAAACACTGCGTCGCGATCGTTTCTTAAAATGGCGGACCCAAACTTTCATCTCATTGGTCGAGCGGCGCGCGGCCGTGTCGACAGCGCCCTCTTCATCATTTGTTATTTGACATTCGCCGTCCGACAGTTGGCGCCAGGTTTGAAATTCCCCGTCTGACCAACGCCACGAGACACGACCTTAACGATGACATCCGTTAGGGCACGCCTCGGCGTCGCTTCCAAGGTCGCCTCAAAGACAAATATGCACTGCTCGTAATCCTGTAAAGACGGATTGGAGTAGTCATCGATCAAAAGGGTTTAACGAATGCCTAGAACAAAAGACACGCATTTCATATGTAACATTTCTCTTCATTTCAATAAAATTATTAATTCTCCATGAAACATTAAATTATCAAGCAAAGCAAATTATCAAAATGGCGGATATGCCGCCGCGTTTTACGGAATATTACTCTTTAAATCCTGAATCAATGACTTGGGGAATACAAGTTGTGAGAAAATTGTACGCTGCGAACTATTCGACTTCGTTTTGATCACATAAACAATTTTGTCACGCATATCAGCCCTCGGAATATCGCCGCGCAAATAAGCCAACCTTAACAAATGATCCTCGGTAATATCCGGATATCTCTCGACCACGCGATGCAAATCTAAACTCATCATATCATCATCTGTCTTCACGACTTCCGCCATCATAATAATAATTTCTAAAGGATCATCGCGACTCTGTAGTTTTGAATCGATAGAAGTGAAAAGCAATTGCAACTTTCGCGCTTCTCTTATTATTTGCGCCGCGACCGCCTGACACTCCTCGAAAGTTTTAAACGAGATGCGTTTGGACAACATGGCGACCAAATAACGCTTCGCGACTAACACTTGAGCTTCTTTCATGATTAACTCGAAATTCTCATCAACCAATCCCTTGTAATCAAAGAAATAATCCTCCAGAGTAGCAGTAACCGTTTCCAACGCAGTACTGTCGTTAATCCACCGCGGCCGGAAAAGATCGTCAAAGTGTTTGTCTACATCCAGGAACGCTTCCTCAAGTAGATACGAACTTGATTCAGTTCGTAAATCCTATAAAAACATCATATTTTACAAAATATAACACAAAATCCATTGAAAAACATTTCTTACAAAGAATATCTTCTTGTAATTGCTCGAAACACGATCCATCTCCATTGTACTAGCGGTTCCGTACTTTTGCAAGTATTGCACACCCAACTCAACCAGTTGTAGACAATTATTAACAATTGTAATCATATACTGCGTGAAAAACGGAACTAGTCTCCTATCCTCAAAGTGTCTCTGCTTGAACTCAATAATTGCATTGCGATACATCCTCGAGTAATTTTCCACATGTCTAATGCTCAAAAACAGCGCTTCGTTTGTAATCTCTTGATTAATAGTCTTGGTAACTTCCAGATTCTGTCCAATCATTTCGAATATAATCGACGGACCGGAAGTACGCAGAATAACATCCGGAATAGGCGGAACATGCGATTTCCACTCTTGAACTTCCGTCTCCAACGTTTTCTCCAACCATTCGGTGTAATTCTTCTCCATGTTACTCAAATACTGTTGTTTTAAGTTCTTTAGAACCGCATCCTCTAGAAGTGGAGGAAGAGTTTTGGTGTGTTCAATAAGATCAGGATGACCCATTAATTCAGGACCAAGGTAGGTGTTTAAGGTCCAGGCTAAGATGGAAACGTATTCGTTGCCTTCCAGACCATTCTCAATTATTTCATTAAGCTGCAATATGAATATTTAGAAATAAATCTTTAAAATGTATCAACAACATTGCTTACCTGTTTTGATAAACACTTATGATACATTTTGATGTACTCATCAATGATGTTATAAGATGGCGGAAAGACAGGAACACAAAGTGTCTTCACCACACGCAAATCTTCTAAAATTAACTGTCTGATGAGTTCTAAATACCGCACCAGCCACAATTTATCATCCGCTCTTTCCTCTACTAGTTTTCCTTCAATTCTCAATGCGACTTCTTGTTCCAACACCTTAAACGCCATCTTTTTCCACTCCTTCGGACGCCCAGGTGGCATAAACCCGTTGTTTTTATGCTGTTTAATCGCTTCTTCATCGCTCTTCTCTTCTCTTTCGATAATTCTCAACGCTGTGACGATAACAGTCGGTTTCTTCCGTACTGCATTCAATGTCCGCGTTAAATTCAACCGTAATTGTCCTTCTAACTTAGTAGACAAAGTTTCAACTTCAGAGAAATATTTCTTCACAGTTAAAACTCCCATGGATTGATTTGGAAGTTTATGCAACTCAAACAGCAAATCATCCCGTGAGTTTTCTAAATCTCTTAGGCATTGATGTGTATGCAAAAGTTTACCATCACTAATCCATTGATTAGTCTTTTCAATGCTTTCTGGTACAGTGAAGATGTGTTTCAGGTTTTCTTTTGCAGTGACATACTGAGAATGACGCATATTTTCTTCGCGAACTTCTCGGAGATTGTTAGAGAGTGTTGGGAGTGTTTCAAAGTACTTGTTCATTGATTTTAAACTAAATTTAAACATCAATTAGGAAAATGATATGAAATAATGAGAAAAATTGAAATATTTACGTTACTTCCACCTCTTTCATGTCCACAATGCTTGTTGCTAATAAATTAAGGCCATCAATTACACCATTGAGTTGACTCTGCATTGCTGATTTTAATAGTGCTTCAACAGATGCTTTCTTTCGGCTGTACCTTTTCTTAAACATTGCTACCTTCTCCAGCTGGCCAGGACGCTGCAGCAGGTTGACGATGTGCTTGGTCGCGTCTTTTTTCGACTCCACGTCGAGTTCTTTCATGTTAACTTTACTTCTTGCTGTGTAGTAAACAAACAAAAACATATTAAATTTACATATTATACAGATTAACACAACTTCTTAGTATGTTCGGTAGTTTAAACATTAAATTGTGACTTACGATCAACCATTTTGTATGTTTTAATGTCTTGCAACTAATAATTATTGGTAAAACATTATTTTAGCAAAAATTTTTCATGTTTTTAGTGTTACACATTTAGGCTATGGCTTGATACATCAGCTGTCCACTTGTTTTAAATCTGCGCATGCGCAATCCCACACCATTAATGTTAAACTTCACCTCTGTTGTAATAAAATTGAATTATTTAAGGAGTGGAAACTGGATATTCTCTTTTCTATGACATTCTATAAATTAGCTTATATTATCAATACATTTATGCCGTAATCAGTTTACACTTTTGTAATTTGTTCGCGAGAGAGGATAATTTGACATCGCACCAATTGTTTCAATAGCATCGTAAATGAAGTACAGCAAACATTTGCACTTCACTTGCGGCCATTTTTCCTTTTGCTCCAGCTGCCACTGCATCATAATTACATATTTATAGTCAATATTGAAGTCAAAATCGATGATTGTTACAACAAGCTTCTAAAACGCCATCAATTTCATTCTCTTTCTTTTCTCTTTCATGCTTCGAACTGAATAATTTTCGTCATCTCAATGCGTCAATAATGCTGCAATCATATTTACTCGATATGCAATCGTTTGTAGCATTCAAACACGTCATTAACTTTGGAAATTTCTCTGTAAAAGTGTAAAAACTCAGTTCCCACACCACTAAACCAGTCTACAGCTATGCGAATCAATCGAATACAATACAATAAACGTTAAATACATAGTCGTCTCATCAAAAGTCTAAAAATAAATATATGCGCGACTCGGCGACGCATCTGATTATATAAATGTATGATATATCTGAAGGAGACTACTAATACTCTGTATGTATACTTAAATTATTCCGGCAAGCTTATTGTTCGTTATAATAGTATTTGTTGATCAGCTTGTCAAATTTAAAGTTTCGAAACGTATTCTTATTGCTGCCGATAGAATGTATCATTAGACCGAACGGAATTTGTTTTATATAATGTTTTTGTTTCTTAATTTAAAGCTTAAATCTATACCGATTCGGTCGGGCTTTGGAATTCGGAGAGTGCGTGAATTGGATTCTGCACTTTCTTTTGTGAGCCCTTCCGGACTTTGGCACGGACTTCCTCCGGTTTCTCAGGGCGCACGAGCGGTTTCTTCTCGGGCGCTTTCATCTTCCAGACGACAATAGGCGACTGTGGACAAAAAATAATAATAAATATTTAATTGCAAAAGCACAAACAAACGCTGGTAACTTACCGGCGTACTTACTTGCTATTAATCCGAATTAATTTTTAAGATAAGCATTAGGAAAAAAATGTTAAAAGAATGAGAAGAGAATTTTTTTCCGGTTTTTGAGATTTACAAAGAGAAATAAAGATAAAACTTACAGCAACAATTCCTGGTTGTCGAGGATATTTCGTTGAAGCGACGTAGGAAGCCGTCACCGTCAACACGACAGCGTTCATCAAGTTCTTCGCTGCTTGAATTAAAGATGTTGCGCTATCCAACTGTAAAATATTAAAATTATTTATTTTAGAAGGTTTAAACGACACTACATAGACGCGATGTCGCTGACAAAAACCTAAAACCCGCAGAGAGAAGAGCAAAATGCTTCGAGACGCGACTTTTCTGCAGAACGACTCTGAATAGTCAAAGCACCGTAGTTTTTCTATGCTGCGCTTGACTACCTGCGGACTACCTGCAAAAAGTGGTGGGGGTAGATGCGACAGTACACGGTTTGCGCGCGTAGCATTGGCAGGCGCACATACCCCCAGCACTTTTTCACCACTAGCAACTACGGTGCCCTGAACCTGAGTCCTCCTGCAGAAAAGTCGCGCCAAAGCTCTCCAGGCTCTTCTCGACTCTGTTTTCGGTGTGTCGTGACGTTTTCTGCTAGTAAAACACAAATATTTTCTCCAACTTACCCCAGAAACAATCAATTCTCCACTGATATTCTGCACATCAGCCTTCACCTTGCTGGTGATACTAATCTGATGACAATACAGATTAATCCTTTGTAGATACGCCAACAGATCCTTTTTGGTAGAACTCTCCGGGCATTGATCCGCAATCTGCTTCGTCAGCTTGTCCAGTTTATTACCAGCCTCGGAGATCTTCTTCGCCGCATTGATAACATCCATGGTGGTCTTGAGCGGGCCACGTCCTCGGGTAAAATCTGTCATTTCCATCATAATCATGCACATGTGCTTCGCCAGCACGACAATATCATTGCCAGTATCGTCCCACTTCGCTACCTCACGATCAAACTTGAGCTTCTCGGAGCGGAAGAACTCTACTTGCTGTAGAATCTTCTGTTTGTCTTCTTCGGGCATCTTACCCATAGCTTCACGAGCTGTGGTAATACCACTAATGTCGGGGTATTCATCAACGCCGTGTTCACCAGTGTGTGCACTCGCTAAAAACATAAAATTTTAAAATAAAAGATTTTTTTAAACATAATATTTTATTAAACTTACATTTACTCCTCGTCTCCAAAGTGTAATTCTCATCCAATTCGACATCTTCCGGATCCAAATCTTCATCAGCGCGATTCATAAGCACCGCCCTTCGAATTTCCCTCACGCCATCATAAACCAAACGCGACGCATCGATAAAATCATTCTCATCCACATCTTTCTGCGGATTACTAGCAAGCGCCGACACTGCCACTGACACCCTCTGCCCAAACTTGGGCATTACTTGCTCATTCAAAACCTTGACAGCTTCCAACACCCTCTTGGTGTAGATACATGGCTCGTAATTGTCCATTTCAGCAGCGACAACATTACAAACACGCTGTGAACGTCCTCGTATACCGCCGGCAGTACGTTCCAGTGTATCGCTATCGCCCTCCTGGAGTGCCAACACACATTTATTCACATCTTCCAGGATGTGATTCTCGGACACCGCTAGGAAATCATCGATCGTGGTAATATCATCCACGGCTTCAGTCAGAATGCGCACTTGGTTCTCCCAAGCCTCTTTAAATGCAAGCATATTCTCCTGTGCTACTTTACTACGCGGGCGAACTGCAAGAATGCGCGCAGCGTTGATCACCTCCGGGCACAGATTGTCAATCTGCGCGGCGGCGTAGCGCACCATTTTGACGCCGTCTTCGTTGTTGGACATGCTGCAGACAAGATTGGCGACCTCGACGAGTTTATTCGAATGTTCTGTGAAGACAATCGCGTTTTCATCGACTTCCTTTTCGTTTCCAGTCTGCGCTGCTTTGATAAGGATCAAAAGCGGCAGATTTGTCTCCAGAAAACTGTAAATTTAATCAAAATTAATATCAGGAAGTATAAATGAGTAGACAGTTAGTTGAAACTCACTTTAGAGCAACAAAACTTTGCAAAAAAAGAGAAATTATTGAACAAACTTTGCAAATTTCAAGTTATTAGTGAAAAAAACACTATAAATTGTTGTAATTACCTGTCGGAGACGTGATCTACCACTGCTTTGCGTAGTTGACGACGCAAATCTTTAGTTTTGCGTCCCATGTGGTCGATAGCACGACCCAGACCGTCGCTTGGGTCCTTATTACCCATCTGCAACGCAACAAATTCAAGCTACAATCAAAACTTTGCAAAACTCTCACACACAAATACACACATTGTGCTAAGCTTGATGATTGAAGTGATTGTACAAGCAAATTTGTCAGATTACGTTGGTTTCTTTGATGTTTGAGTGTAGAAATTAAACAAAAGTGCACAGAATCAAACATGAAATGGTATTTACCCGTGTACCTCCATGTAAAACTTGCAATTGCTGAGGGCGCGAGGCAAGTGTTAAACAAACAAGACCACACACACGAGATTAATGAGTTTAATGTTAAATTCGCAAACTTTCCAAATGCTGAATTGAATATTGAAAGTATTATGTATTGAAAAGTGTGTACTTACGTTCGACATGTATTCGGAGAGCAAGTCCTGGAGGGCTTGACGCACCGCGTTACATTCAGCGACAATGCGTTCACGGCGTTCATCGCGCGTGCAACTTGAATCAGCCATTAGGGCCGCGCCGCTGATGATGCTCTCCAGGCGTTCTTCAAGTGAAGGACGAGTGTGGACTTCATTGTAGGCCAGTGGTTCCATTTCCATACGTTCCTAAAGATTTGAAAATGAATTATTTAAAGAAAAGTGTGGAAAATGTTATAAAAATCATTAAATGTAAAGCAAGTTATTGTAGAAGGAGATTTTGAAGTTAAATATAATATTTTAAAGCACAATTTTCACTAGTTCTTCATAATTAGGCATAAATAACTCCAAAACTCTAAAATATTTGCAATAAAAGGAAATAATTTTGTCATTTTTAAACAAATTTTTCTAAATTCTTCTTCTTTGGAATATCAAAATCTGAACTATTTTTGCATATTTAGCTATAAATTAAACAAAAAAATCGCAAAAATTTACACTAAAACGACGTAATTTTGTCATTTTTGAATAAATCTTCCTAAATTTTGATCAAAATAATGCTAGAACATAAAAATCTTATCTAATTTTGCATATTTGGCCATAAATTAAATCAAAAATCTCGAAAATTTACCGTAAAACAACATAATTTTTTCATTTTTGAACAAATTTTCCTAAATTCTGACCAAAATAATGCTAGAACATAAAAATCTTAACCAATTTTGCATATTTAGCCATAAATTAATCCAAAAATCTTCAATTTTGCATTAAAACAACATAATTATGTCATTTTTAAACAGATTTTCCTATATACCTGTCCAAATAATTCTAAACATATCAAAATCTCCCATTGAAAGCAGAAAACCTTTGTAAAACTCTTCAAAACAAACTTTTTAAAAGCCTCTCAACACACAACATACTTCCTCAAGTGCAAGCACGAAGTTTAAAAGTTCCCTATCTGGAGATTGACACAACTAAATTAATATAATATAGATTTATATAAAAAGTACAAAATCTAACAAAAAATTTACTCACATCAAAGTCATCCAACGCCGCAGCAAGTTCCCCAGGCCCATCATAAGGATTCTGCGACGGTTGTGGTGTACGCCCTTGCGCTACATCACTAATCGTGTTCACCGCCTCGCAGACTTGCTTCAAAACGTAGTCGCGATTGGCTTTCGCCGCCGCCAATTCCGGATGACGCACGTAAACCTTCGACGCCGTCAACAACATTGTCGAATGCTTCTTGAGCACTGCTCTGGCCGCAGCAAGATCATCCGGAGCTGTGGATCTTTCAGCTCTTGCTGACGTTTCGCAGCTTGATTCATAAGTTCGTTTGCATTATGTCCAAAGGCTTTAATATTGTCTAAAAGCTCTCCTTGGCTTGAAGCATCGCGTAGTTTCTGTAAGTCATCTTCAACGACGCGTAAAGACTTGAGCAAAGGTGTACATCCACCATGTCAGCCAGAATTAACAATCTGGTGACAGCAGAGAGTAAATTTCTCGCTGCCCTCACCATGTTTCCTCTCTTCAGAGAAGAACAAGGATCTTCGGAGAATTCTCGCGCTGCAATACTCATCGCATTACCTGTTTTGCGGACTTCGTCAACGGCGGAAAGCATCTCCTGCGTGATATCTTTGTTTTCATACGCGATTTGTTCACCTTTCTGGATGAAATTCTCGGTGGCTTTCTCGACGGTGCTTACAAGTGCATTCGCACGCTTAGACTTGCCTTTCTTTTTCTTGGATGGACCCTTGGTGTTAACCAATGTGGTCACTTGCAACACCAGCGGTTCGAGTGTCTTCTCCACAGACATGGTGCGAATCTCCAAGTTCTTGGGATCCCATTTCAGCCCGAAGTGGTCGGCCATCGTCGGTGGTTGAGTTGTTGAGCTGCAAGACAAACAATTGACAATCACGACTGCGACTTGCTTGTTTGATTGTGTGCTGAATGACGAAATGGGCGTTGTAGTGGTAAAGGTGTACGTACCTTTCGTTGGCACAGTTGAGCGGTGTGTAAACGGATAGAAAAACACTACGGATAGAAATCGGCGTGAAACAATGCGCCCGCACCAAGTATGAATCACATCAGTGCGTCAGCGTCGAAGTGTTGGGGATGATGAGATGATTGCGCGGTGCTGCGGGAAAGACGGCGGCACCACTCCCACTCAAATTGCTGCGCAAGTATCACGCACCGCGCTCTTTCCCACTTATTCTATTCCATAAATCGCCATCTTACTTAGAAATACTTCCAGTATTCAACACCAGGTAGCGTTGCCCTGCACACAAACTGGTATTTCTTATCAATTTAAGCAAGGAAACAACGCAACATGTTTAATTTAATAAGTATTACGTAGATTTAGTGTGTAGATAAACTGATATCTGTTGATAAATGCGCGAAATAAAATATAATGCACATTTACTACCTTATTAGGGTTAGCTGGCCTTGTCGAGTGGCATTTGTTTAATGAATTTAATACACACGTTCCACTTTCGTTTCTCTGCTTCTCGCAACTAGTTAGCATTAAACAATCGCCACGGCCGCGTCTACGGATGAAATGTAGACCGGCGCCGGAACGCTGATTGCGTTTGTTTTTTCTACTTGTTAATGCGCTTGATACGAGTGGAAGATTTTCAAACAAACGCGCAGCGCTTGGTAATTCGTTCAAATGACGACGAGTCAGAAGCGCAAGAAGATGCGCAACTATTTTACCGTATTCGCCGTGCTGGCAGTATTACTCGCCGGGTTTATAATTTACGTTTGCGCACCCGGAACAGAGACATTACAATTAGTACACGTAGTAAGTACATACCTGACTAGTAATTAAATTAGTAAAAAATTAAACTGTGAGACCGGAAATTTTAAAAGTTGTTTAGACATGGCGAACGCTCACCGTCATCTTCATATACAAATGATCCGTATAAAAACCACAAATGGCCGGGAGGTTGGGATCAGTTGAGTATTGTAAGTTGGTTATGTTCAACATAACCTCAAATTCAAACTGTGTTTAAAATTTTAAGACTGGAAAGAAACAAGAATATGCATTAGGTTTAGAATTACGCAGAAGATACCAAAACTTCTTACAAAATGAATACGATCCGAGAGTATTCCTAATGGAGAGTAGTTATGCTGATAGATGTTTAATGAGCGCGCAACTTTTATTGGCTGGGTTGTTTCCACCCTCTGGTGGTGAAATCTGGAATGAAAATTTACGTTGGCAGCCTATTCCGGTACACAGCGTACCAAGAAACATGGATAATGTAAGTTGGCATTATTTAATTAATAATAAAATGACTAAAAATTTATAAATTGGTAGAAAATAGCAATAAAACGAAGTTGTCCTGCATTCCAACGTGCTCTCAACGAATCCTACGCGACTCTTGCCGAATCAAACGTGGAAAACCGTCAACTTTATGATTACCTCTCCGAGAACACCGGTGATGAAATTCGTGACATCCGCACATTGGAAACACTTTACAATACGCTGGAAATTGAACAGTTGAATGGTTTCCAACTCCCCGAATGGACAAACAGCGTGTTTCCCTCAAAAATGAAAGACTTAGCGGCGTCCAGTCTTGCGTTGTTCACTAAAACAATCGAAATGAAGCGGTTGCATGGCGGTGTGTTAGCAAAAGAAATTCTTACCAACATGGAGATGAAAGCGTTGCAGAAATTAACACCTAATCGCAAAATGATTATGTATTCCGGGCATGATTTAACGATTGTTACACTGTTGAGAGTTTTCGGGTTTCCAGAATTGATTAAACCCGATTTTGGTGCGACAGTTATCATTGAATTACATAAATATACAGCGGAGGAGGATCATATAGTTAAGGTAAACATAATTTTACAGAAAATCTTAATATTTGTGACGAAATTAATTTGGTTTTAGTTCTTTTACTTGGAAAATCCAAATGGAAAAGCCACAGAACTACATTTGGAAGGTTGTCGAAAAAATGGCTGCCATTTGACACGAGTAAAAGAATTGCTGCAACCAGTATTACCAGAAAATTGGGAACAGGAATGCCTAACATAAAAAATGCTCAAATTACACAAATAAAAATCATTAAATTAATACCAAAATGGCCGCTACTCGAATATCAACCATTTTGGTTGCTGAAATAAACACAAATAAAATATTTTTTTAATTATATTGAGTATCATACTGCATATAATACATCGAAATAAACTTACTTAATGTAGCGGTTTTTCTGTTCGTTAGTATTTGTTAATTGCTGTCTGTCATTGCGCACGCAAAAGTATTATAAACAAAAGAGAAAAAATACATCCGTACATGTACGGAGAGCTATCGTTATACAGATCTATCAATAGACAACTAAATTGTATCAACCGGGGCAAAATATAAAGGCGTCAAAATGTGGTAATTATGTAGTAAAATGTGATCGTATGTAATGATGTCAATGTTGATTTGTACATAAACTTGTCTCGTGCGTGTTGTATATATTGCTTTGCATTGATTGTTGATCGATGAGAATAAATAGAAGTTGAGAGTTCACGCGGGAAAGATTCTGTGATGTGTGTGTGTGTGTGTGTACATACATATTATAAATGAAGAAAAAAACAAACAAACAACTAAAATAAGACATTATCAACTAGATAGATAATATAAACATGTTTTGATCAAGGAAATAAATGTGTCGTCTTTGGTTTAAGAGAAGATCTGTACAGAAACAAACGAAAGATGAGAGAAATACATAAAAACAAAATGGCGGTCGGGTGAATGTGGTGTGTGTGGGTGTGGTTTAAACTCGATGATCATATAAGTATTTGTTACGAATCCCTAAAACTATAAGACACTGGTATATTCGAATATTTCGTCGTTCTCCCGCACATAAAACTGCATTCCAAGGCTTTTTACTATCACTCATTTAGTGCTTAACGCTGAGAATTGAATCATCGATCAGATCTACTCTATCATATTATAACATTCCGTTTGTTATTAAAAGCTGCCGAATTCTTATGATATGTCGATATTGTCAATTCATCATATTTAAATCTATGTATTATAAAGCTATAATCACATTTTCATTTCAATGTCAACCAGAATAAGATGAACTGTGTTTGAAAAGCAAAATGTGCTCGGTTACGGTGTGGGTTTGATCAAAATCGCCGTTAAAAATTAATCTCATTACATTTTACAATTATAATACAATTTACACAAGTATTACGGATGAGTAGAAGCACTTGGTACGAATATTAATAACTACTAAACTCATCTCCCCTCCTCCGCTCGCCGCGCATAACATTATAAAATACCTTTGAAATATTCGAGTAAACAAAAATAGAGCATCTGCGAAAAATTTCGTTAATTTTGGTTTCTCGTTACGCATTCTTTAGAAATTTTCATTTTTATCACAATCATTTTCTTAATAAATTTTTCATCTCTATGTTTGACATAAATATTCAAGCCAAGTTGTCGGTTGTAGTTTTTTTCGTTTTGAACAAAAATCGTATCACAAATTCATCATCTTGCACAATATCTATATATATATCTGGACAGAAAGGTGAGCAGCAGCCTGAGTGGTTCGGATCGGCGGTGTGTGTGTGTGTATTTATATGTGTGTTGAGTCGGATGCCTTACAGATACAGAATCAATGATAATGAATTAATTACAATCTACACCTATCCAGGCCACAAAATGGCACGCACACAAACATATTTCTTTTTCTATCGTTTTCTCTGCCTTTTTTCTAAATATAACCTCAAATGTTTTCCTTGTTCGTCATTATTATTTTTTTACTTTAGCTTTTAAGTTCACAGCCAAACACGTTTTTAAAAAACTTTTTACACAACTAGTCCGTAAACAAAATACTGAATTTCGTTTTCGTTTAATAATGTCAATAATGCTAACTTGTGCAATCATGCGCGCCGCAAGCGCGACTCTTACTTATGACTTAATTCACGATTTTTTTAGATCTATACAACAAATTTATGGCATAAATAGGTGTGAATTTCTTCTTCTTTCTCTCTTCCTCCTCCCCCCTCCACTCTGCGTCGCTTTGTACACTATACAATCGTATATAATAATATTAATAAGAATAAACCTACGGCATTGATTAACATCTAATAAGTTAAATTCTTAATTTCACACTCATTTACCCCACCGGCATCAAATTATTATCGTCGTAATCTTCGTTTCAACATTCGTCTTTTGATTCTCATTACCTGCTTGGTTTTGCAAAATTGCGTCATTTATAAATATCTCTTATGTACAGTACTAATCTATTCGCATAATAAGCAATATTACCTTGTAAATTGTAAAAATAAAGACAAACATATGTAAGCGCGCCGACTAAATAAGACTAAGTGCGTAGTTAAAGCAATCGATCGATACAAAACGCGTGTATCTGTATATACTTAATGTAAAACGTGTCGAAAATGCAATGTGTGATGTCATACAGACCGTACTCAAGCGAATATCAGTTGAGGAATTTACGGCAGCGGCGCGTGCCGCACGAGCACGGTATTTTATCCTCTTCGAATGGGAATTTGTAGTCGTAGGTGAGTTCTTCGCCGCAGATAATCTTGCGCAGCGCGAAGATGATAATGTGTTTGTTGCCGAGGATCTCAACGACTTTCGAGTAACAATTTGGCTGTAAAAAATGGAAAACAAACATATGCAACCCAAATTACATTTCAAAATGGCGTATAATACACTTACGTCGCATGAATGATTGATGAATCTCGCCGCGTTGCCCTTCATCGTCGCATCCACGACGAGATTATCGTCAATGCGGAACATGTAGCAACCGATGCCTTTGGTATTGTAGTATTTTTCACGTTTATCAGTTAAAACTGAACGAATTACCTGCAAAATATACATAATAAGCATATGAAAGTATAAAAAAATAGAAAAACTAACCTCTCCAGCATATTCAATAACCATTTCGGCTGATTCAATATCTCGCAGGGGAAAACAAGCCGCGGCCGTGAATGTCTGATCTATAAACACCAACGGAATACTTGGAAATCACCCGGAGAGCTCTGAATCGCATCGCCATTGGTAAACTACTGCTGGCGTTTTTCCTAAACAAGATATAAAGTTAATTTAACACAAATTTCATCAACTTTCCAGGTTACTTACTTCAAAATGGCGTCGAGATCATACATCTCCAAAGTTCTATGTTTGGAAGACAACCACCCGAACATGTCATACTTTTCTCGATGATTATCATACGCTACACATCTCCTGGCGCTGTCTTCATCATCATCATCTTCGAACTGATACGGATCTTTAGGTTTATGATATAGTGGTTTGTACTGTTTGCATTTAACAGCGTCGGGTAATTGTTCAATTAAAAACCTTAAACCTTTCGTTTTCAATCCCATAATGTCCAAATCATTGAAAGCCCTCAACGCCACATCTGGTAATGGTGGTAGATTGTGAGATGCGCGTGCTGCTTGCACTTCAGCGAAGACTTTCCTCCAAATTTGCGGCAGGGATGTCGCCGTGTACTCAAAACCATCGGTGGATTCAATTTTGAAGAAAATCGAAGTAGTATTAGGCCGTTTCGAGGAGTATTTGGGTTCATGCACGGTGGAATCACACAGAATATTCTCCTTGTTCTGTTCAGAACGTAGTGGAAGCAGCGGTTGTTTAGGTTTAATAGGTCGCAAAGGTACCACCGGGATTTTATTTACTTTCAGAACTTCGGGTTTATCTTCTTTTACCTCCACTTTTTTAACTTCAATTTTCTGCGGGCTTTTCTTCATCTCCACCTTTTTCGGTGACAGTTTAATATCGTTCGGTTCCAGTTTATGCACCTTGGCCAACAGCGGCATATCCCTACCTTTCTCCTTCGATCGCATCTTGAGCTCATCCACATTCACCTGTTTCACTTCCAGTTTGTAAGTTAATTGTGGTTCTATAGGAAGCGCCTGCGGTATCTTCTGATGATGATGTTTGGGTATAATCACCTCACCAATCACCGTAATCTTACTCTCAGTCTTTTCCAGCACAGGCTCCACTGGTTTCTTCTGCGTAGTTGATGTCTGCATAGGCAGGACTCTACTCATAGGCCGCGCAGGTTGCACCTGAATGATTGGTTTGGGTGTAGGTGTGACAATATTCGTGGGTATACCTTGTTCAGGCACGAATGGCGCAACCGGAAGTGTAATACTATTGGTACTTGTACTATTTGCCGAGTTGGTAGTCGCGGAATTCAGTGAATTCATAACAGGCGCTGTTGTAATGAGATTATTACCCAAGAGATTACCAGATGAAGATACAGCAGAGGTTGTAATGACCTGCAAATTTTTCATTTCAGGTTGTTGCTGTTGTTGATGTTGTTGAAGCTGTGGCGTCGTGGTAACCTTTATCGGAATAGTAATCTTCTGTTGTTGCGGTTGTTGTAAAGGTGGCGCCACACTACCAACCGGAATCTGTTGTTGTATCTGTTGTGGTTGTGGTTGTATAGTAACCGGAGTAGCAACATGATGTTGCTGGATAGGCGCAGCTTTGATTTGTAAATTCTGCAGTTGTTGTACATTCGGCAAAGATGTCTGAATCTGTATCTGAGATGGTTGTACCTGCTGTACTTGTTGCACCTGTGGTGGCACCTGGACATTATTCACAACCTGGTTCTGATTCACCTGATTAACCAAAACATACGCGCCATCTAGACATGGCTCCAGCTTTGAAGTCTGGAATACTTGTGTAGTCGCTGAATAACTGCTATTCGTGGTCATCATACCAGGCATCGCAGTGGGGAGAAAATGCTGACTCTGCATGACTGTTGTTTGAACAGTTTCTATACCGTAATACACCGGTTGCATTTGTGGAGGCGCCCAGATCATAGACCCATTACTATCAATCACAATCTGACCAGTCTCGACCCGCTGAGGAATAATCATCGTCGGTTGCATCTGTGGAACATTCTGCACCAAACTAAGAAAGTTATTATCCGGGAGTTGCACCAGTTGTGTTGTTGGTTGTGATTGTACTGAATTCACATGCGGTGCGACTACATACTGTACATTTTGATTGGCATTCTGTTGAAAACCGCTGGCATCCACGAATGGCAACATATTCATACTCATACCATTCACTGTATTAATACCCGAAGGTATTTGTTGTAAGATAACAGGTTGACTTTGTGAAATCTGTGGTAGAACCTGTACAACTCGTTGTTGTGGTGCGACAATCGGACGTTTTGATATAACAGAGCGCGGTTTTGGTACTACGCGTTTCTGAATCAACTGTTGCTGGTGTTGTGGACGCACCAGCAACTGATTCTGTTGAAGATTCAAAACAGGGCCTAATAATTTCGGATCTAGGTTAATAAAATTTACATCTTGAGCAGTCGCGAAAGGTAATGCTTGTGCCTGCTGTTGTTGATGTTGAACTGGTTGCAGAATCGGTTCGATATTCAACGACTGCCCCAACACCTGTCCGTTTTGAATACTGTCAACAGGAATAATACATTGTAACAAACCATTGTCCACGACGCCATGTTGACTGGTGACTATATTCGCCATGTTGGGTTTCACACCTTGCGCCTGATGACTATGATAGTTATAAACCACACCGGAATCTTGTACTCCTTGTACGGTTTGTGTCTTCGCTTCAAGTATCGTCTGAGTATTCAATGTATTCAGGACAGTAGAAGTTGATTTTATCTGATTTTGCGCTGTTGCTGTTGTTGCAGCTTGAAATGAAAAGATTCATAGATGACTGATTGTTCTTCGGTTGTAATTCCGCTCGCTTCTTCATTCTCACTCTCGCTGGTAAACATGGCGGCGTCGCAGTTCTCCAGATGGCGCTCATAGCTAATCTTGGTGCGATATGTGCATCGACATTTCGCACATTTGACATTCCCGTCTTCTGCCCATGGATCTTCCACCTCATGCGTTGGTGATGCGCATTCTGAACCAGAATCACAAGCACCATCAACTTGTACAATCTGCATGAAGGAAGGTGTTGTAATTTTCCTTTTCTTTATAGCTGGTGATAGTGTATTGTCAAGGTGAAGATACGCTAGACTACAAGATCTGTTCTGGTCTTTAATCTTCTGAAAAACCTCCGATTTTGATCGTTTTAATTCTCTCACACTCACTGATGTCTCCTTATCCTTCGCATCTGTCAATTGCTCATCTTTTTCGTTCATATTCAAACTCATATTATCATTACTATTGATCTCATTCCTGAATTCCAGATTCATGAGTTCCTCGTACTCCTTGAGCATATCCTGCATTGACAGGCCCTCTAACAAATCATGCGGGAGTTCTTCCAGGATGGCGTCTGTCAATTCCGGGGATAAAATGTCACCTGCATTCTGCGGTTCTTCGTAATCTTCAAACTCGTAAATATCCGAACGTTCGCGATCATCTTTCTGCCACAGACTCACTTCTTTTAACTTTCTCTCAACGATATTCTTCGGTAGCGAATGATCCACAGTGAAATTTCGATCTATATATGTCTCCGTAGATGAATTAAACACAGAAGTTGTTATTTTATAAGGTACCAACTTCCATGGTTCATTCGTAGACCAAAATAACCTCGAGCAGACAAACCCCACCGGAATAATCGCATCCACTGTATCCGAAATACTCGGGATGACTTTACCCAATGATAAAACCGATAATGCGCCGACCATATAATGAACTTTCTCGCGATCAGCCAACTTCTTCTTTTTTGTATCCACTTCGATGTACACCGATCGTCTGATGGCGAAATCATGCGGATTCGTAATAAGCGTAACGTTGAAATCTTTAGTTGGGTCATGCACGTGACAGTACATTGTTCTGTCCGCGTTGAAATGACAATTGGCTTTCTGTGCGCACGGAAAGTGATAAGTCTGATAGCAGCCTTTCAGACAGCAGCCAACCGACGCGCCTTTCTGTTTGCATTGCGCGCAGCGTATCGAGCGGCCGCGTATAATCGCGCTTTGTACATTCTGCAAAGAGCCGTCAATCTCTTCGTAGACTTCGGAAGACCACAAAGCGCAATTCGCGTGAATCCACTCATTCTGCCCGCAGTATAATAACCTAGCTTCTTGTTCAGGTAGGCCATCACCGATGCCTTTACACAGGTTGCATACTCGCGTGTCGATTGTTTCGATACTTTGGAAATCGTCGGGATATCCGTCGATTTCAAAGTTATCGAAATTTTTCGTCGTCTTACCTTCGTGATCTGCGGTTGTTTTGTTCAGGTCTTCTTTCACGGTAGGATCAAACCACGGTAGAACATTTTTGAGTATACTATGGTAGATTTCTAGAAGTTTTCCATCGGATGTTGACTGCAGCGCGGACTCCATACTTTCATTAAACTCGTGCAAAGAAAAATATTCATTACAGTTGAGTTTGTTTTTGATTTCAACCATACGCGGCGATATTGGAAGTTTGGAATCATTCAGAAACGATGCGCTCGTGTTAAAACTATCGCCGAAATCAAATTTGTTCTTAAATGTCGTTGCGTTGTCTTGTTCTAGTTCGGTTTCAATGACGTCGACTTCGTCCTGATTGGTTGGATTGTTCGCGTCGACGAACTGCAGCCGACGCGCAGATTGCAAATGGCCGTGTATGTGCACATGCGGGGTGGATGCCTTGAGCGGAGTGAGTTTAAACGCTTCACGCGCAATACGATTCTTACTCATCAGGCGTAGAATATTGTTGAGGCAGGAACGCAGTTCCTGTTGGACGGCGCTGCGCCAAAACGGAGTCGCATCCGTGCAGCAAAGACAACAAATGAATTCGACTGATTCGGGTAAAATACTTAGGATCTGGTAGTGTTCATCGCTGAGACCTTCGCATTTCGCATGAACCCATTTATTACACTTGCCGCATTCCATCATCTATAAAATGTAAGCAAAATAATTAATTTTTAATATAAATATTGGATAAAAATAGTTGTTACCTTTGTATCGAAGTCATTGTCGTCATAACAGCATTGACAAAGTGGACAAAAGTTTCCTTTATTCCGAAGTTTGAAACATGCTAAGCACAATGCTAAATTCCCGACGAATTTTGTAATATTATCAGTACCACAACTTTTACATCGTAGACAATTTGAACAAACCTTAAAAAAACATAAAAATTTTCATTTTTTTTTAGAATAATTTTCACTTAAAAACACAAAAAATAACTTACAGTTGGTCTGTCATCAGTTCTCCACTTATGATTGAAACATTGTGGATGATACGCCTTGTGACACTTTTGACAATGAATTTTCTGCTTGTCCGCTTCACCGCAAGCACTACACTTGGTGCATTTCGGACAAACCCACGAAAATCTCTGCTCGGGGCGTTGAAATTTCGGCGGGCCTTGTTCCAGACAATACGGATGATACGGTTCGCAACATACGCAGCAATGCACCAATGTTTCTTTGCCCGCACTACCGCAAAGAAAGCAAATCGCGCGCATTGGAAACGCCTCCGTGGATATAACACCATAGCCATTGCAGACGACTTCGTCCGGGTCGTAATTCTCCCAAAAGTCTATATTCAACAGGTTGGGATTCTCCAACTGTGTAATCTTCTTACATTTCTTATTAAAGGACGGGTTTGTCTATGAAAAAACAAAGAAAATTAATAAATAATGCCAGAAATGAATGAAAAACACTTACAATCTCCATTGGAAGCATGGAAATAGGCACTGGTTGCTGTGATTGTGGTTGTTTCGGCTTCTTTTCAACGTCAAATATTACAGGCGGTGGTACAACAGGTTTCTCTGGTAATATTTCATTGATTTCCTTGGGAATATCATGATTAACACACTGGACTTCTTCAGGTTTATCAATTGCATGACATAATTCAATTTTAACATCTTTTTCTTTTGTTTTCTGTCGAATTTCCTCGATTTTATTGGATTCTTCTTTAGTTTCTTCGATTTTCAACGAGTTATTACTGGTATCCACCGGGAAAGTCGCCGGCAACTGTCCCAAAACAATCGAAGCACTTCTACAAACATGTTTCACCCTCGGTCCTTTCATATCAACTTTCGCCCGTTTTATTTCCACCACAGGTGGCGCTGGTGTCTTCTCCGGTAATTTGACATTTTTAACGTTTTGTTTGAGTCTCACCGGACGTTGCCTCAAGTTGGTATTAATTTGTGTACTTGGAGGTGTACTCGGTGGTGAAGTACACTCAACATTACTTGTAGTAGATGAAGAAGTAGAAGCTAATGGCGACAGAGATATTCTGGAAGAAATCGCACCAAACTCCTTCTCACCGTTTGGTGTAGATGTGGTTGCCTGCCACGACAACAATGGCAGCGAATTCGTCTCATTCGGTTGCATATACTTCGGCAATAACTGCGTTAAACTTGTTTTCAACGCCATGGGGATTTGAAAAGACCGCAAGCACAGCTTCAGCCAGCAGGCAGGACATCTACTGTTGTACTGCTGGTTGAATTTGTGCATCTGCGAGCGCACATTGGGCGGAACATGGCACAAGCCTTGTCCTTTAAGGCAATTCAACGTCGCGGTTGTGTTTGTGATCGTCGTCCGCTTTATAAGTTTCGAAATAAACTTTCTACAGGACTCACAACTAAATATATTAAACTTCCGCGCGTTTTTCACGAAGCGGTAGAATCTCACGGCACCGCAAACTCCACAAGTGATTGTCCTCGGCGAAGACGACGTGGAGACCGAAAAAGGTCCTTCGGTACTCGTACTAAAAACTTTCGACGAGTTTAACTGCAATCTGGGTTGCCTAAGCAAGACTTTACCGTGTGCTAAACTCGTCGGGCTGTCATTCGCCTTTCCATCGACTTTTTTAACTTCTGTCGTTATCAAATCGTCAGAATTGTTAATAATTTCGGCTTCGTCAGCGAAAGTGACAGTTTTATTGATGTTACACTGTCGTTTGACGCGTTTTCGTATGATACGCGTGTCCTGCTCGAGGCTGATGAAGCGTTTATTGGGTTTTATCACCCTGGAAGAGTGCACGCTTCGACTTGGAAGGACAAATTTACCAACTTCGCGCTCCTTTCGCTCTAAACGCTCGCGGCGTAAACTGCGATTCAATTGCGCGCCGCTGATTGATGTCCGGCGAGTTACTCGACTTCTTGTGAGAGGGCGTGGGTGGGGGCTGGTTGTCGCCAAAAGTCGTCCTCGCTTCTTGACAGGCGAACATTTCTTTTTCTTATTCGATGATAATTGCGTTCGCGTTCGACATACGCGTGTCGGACGTTTGTCGATTGTTTCATTTGTGGATGTTTTGAGATTTTCACTTGTTTTGTTGAGGTTGTCATTGATTGGCTGCAAAAGTAAAACAAAAAACAATTAAAATTTGTTTTTTACTGAATATTTTTTAATGCCGGTCCTGTATGTTTAGGTGGTTACAGTAAATAAACAAAACACCAACGCTTGATTCTTTTGTTTTCGTGTTTGTTTGGCGAGTTTTTTGAACGCGTGAAGAGACAAAACGCAAGGATACACGCGCCCAAGGTTACAAATTTGGTGAGTGACGAGTTTCGTGAGTTCTGCGAGGGTTCTCGGCCTCCAAAACACGCGCGGTGACTAACTAAGAAGGCGCAGCGAATCGCAAATCGGCGAAATCAGACAAAAGCGAGTTGAGCGCGTCTCGGCTGTCTATGGTCAGGGACGTTCCACGTTCGCCCGCCCGCCGTACTAGCGCGCGGCGTCCAGTTACGCACTGCGTATTTGTATACTACATACTTGGACCAAAATAATGAAATTTACATAAACAGCGCTTACCTGCCGCTCCTCATCTTCGTCGAGCTCGTCGTCGACGCCGACGGCCACCACGCTTGGATTATTGTCACTCGCGGCGGCTGTGGCCCGATTGGTCGCATTGCCGTTGGTGCTTACCGCTCCTCCCGCAGCAGCTGCAGCGGCGGCAGCCGTGGCCGAGGCAATTCCGGCGGGCGCCGGCCCCGTCGCACTGTTCGTCGCCAGCACGTTCACGCGCGTCCGGTTGCCGTGCTTGGACGGCTTGCCGGGGAACTTCGATCGTCCCATTTTCGCACACCGCGGCGCACCAGAATCACATCGCACCTGCGTTCGCCCCGGTCGCGCGGCGTCGCTCCTCGGCGTCGGCGGTCATAACAGCGTATGGCGTTCGCGGCACTCGCGGCACACGCATTCAAGCTTTGTATTGCGGACGATGCACGCGCACGCACTGCACTCGTTGTGTGTATCTTGTTTTGTGTCTCGGCGCGGGTCAGGCTTGTACGCCAAACGCCAACTGCTCGGCGCTGGAATGCGTTGCTATGGGCACGCGCACTCTCGCCAGGCGCGCTCGCTGAAATCTCGGCCAGCGGGCGGGCACGAAACGCACAAAATGTTGAAAAATGTCAAGCAGCGCCCTCTACAACAGAAAAAACCTTCAATTTTACAACCTACGGCGTAATTTTACCCAAACAAAACATTAAAACGCCTAAAACACTTAAATATACTTGATTGAAACAATAATTTGTATCACTAAATATTATATGAATTCATTTTCGCATAAACAAATAATATGTCTACTATTTAACCGTCACACATCCCCCTGGCGACAAATTTGCGTACTACGTTAAAAATTTAAGAGAAATGTGCTAATATCAAAGTAAAACAGCAATAACAACTTTGTTTTTACAAATAACATTAAAAACATCTAATTAAATAAATAGTTTCATTATTTTGTTTTAAATGAGCGAAATACTTAAAATTTTTCTAATAAAAAGCGATTGTAATATAGGCAACCCAATAATCATCAAACCAGAAATAAACAAAGAGCCAAAAACATATATACTGGATGTTTCCGATACACTATCATCAGAAAAACGTATTTTTTTTTTTACTTAAATATGATATGTAATTAAGAAAAATACAATTTGATGATAATTTGCACAAATGCTCAAACCGCAACATATTCCATGACTCCACCGCCGCCGGAAATATAAATACTAAGCGCTTAGTAGTGTCTCACAACATAATTACATTTCTTTTTATACATTGTAGATGCAGATCAAATAAACACAACATTTTACATCATTCGCCACCCTCTTAGTACAATTTCCCGCACATACATTGGGATAAACAGCAAAGTCGCTAATCAATTCGTTTTAGATTCGTTATTTAAGAGTTACGAGAGGAAACTTGTTTGAATTTCTTTGATTATTGGCAATATCTTTGATTATAGCTGCCATGTTTGATCAATTTCATCTGTTTCACACAAAATATGTGGGTGTATGTGTTTGTGTGATTGGAGACTAGGTTTCGTTTAGCTTATTATACTTTTAGAACATTGTTCGTTACAATTAATTAATATTTTCGTATTAATTACGAGTGTGGTGTTGATTCGTTGTTGCGATGTTTCAGTCCGCGGTTGTTTGCCTACGCGTCGTTGGGCGCCGGCTCGTCGTCTAGGAACTCGACGTGCGTGAAAGGAAAATGGCCGGTCTTGCCGTTCACCTCGCCTTCCCATTGGCCGTTGATGTTGGTTTTGTGTACGAGGATGATATCGCCTAGTTCGAGCTTCAGTGCGGTTTCATCGTATGCATTTGGTACGCGCGCTTGTTTTACGCGTGCTCGCGCAGGTAATTGTCGTTGATATTTATGCTAAAATTAAATTAAACGCATCATAACCACAAATATTAAAACATTTAAACAGTTAGTTACCTGAATTTGATATTTTTTATTAGCGGCATCATTGTTGTGTGGCGGTGGCATGGCTTGTGCAATTGGTCCACCAGAACCCGGCCGTGGAAGATCCATCATTATTTGTCCGTCTTCCAGCTAAACATTTAAAAACAACAAGCTATTCACAAACACATTTCAACATATAACTAAATATTACAATCAAACACAAACACATGCAAACCAAACAAACAAAAACACTATTTTAAGTTAGATTTGGGTGCTACTAATACATAAGTTTGGTTATGTTCACTTGTATTGCATAGTTGTGTGTTTCGTGCATAGTAATTACAATCAATTCAATACTTTTTGAACATAAGGTACAGGAATTGATCCTTTCTCCCCGTTTCCGTTGACTGCCGTCCACCATTGCTCCTCATCTTTGGAGATTATAGTCAGGATGTCACCCTTCTTAAAACGCAAATCATCTTGATCCTAAAATATAAATATAAAATGTAAACATAGTGTTAAAATAGCAAAATTGTGTTTAATACGTACTTGTCCATCAAAATCGTACCTCGCTATCACTCTTTCGACCTTTTTCTTGGCTGGCCGAATTAATGGCACCGTATCCAGATAGTGAAGTTTGTAGAACGCCAGTAAATTCGGCAGATCGGTAAAGGCTTGATCACCGATTCGATAGCAGACATCCTCTGTGTGGTGCGTTTTATTTATAATGTAATGACTAACTTTACTATCTTCTCTATAAAAACAAAACAATAAACAATGATTAACTGACTGCAAAGTTTAATTTTGGGATATTTATAGCTTGAAAATTATTACATTATAACTTTTAACCAGTCAAATGTTGATTATATCACATTTTTAAGTGTTTGTAGATATAAGTAACAAAGATAAGTAATTTATTACTAAAATTTCAACATCTATTTGTATTTTCAAGATGTTTGCACGTGATTCAACGCATGTGCAATAATTCCGGCTGCTGATTGGCCTAGTGTCAATTGTCATTTTATAGCAAATCATATACATTTGTGGATGTTTTGCATTCCATAAACTCTTTGCAATATATAAGCAACTCAATGAACACATTGAAAACATCCTTTTTATATGAATGATCAAATATTTCGTGTATATTTGGTTGCTGACAATTATCACAGCATCCAAACGCAAAATTGCAGTAAATTTCACTTACTTTACACATAATACATAATCTCCTACACTTGTAGCACTGTCTCTAATAAGGAAGACACCACTCTCCTTCTCTGCTTGCAAAATATCCGTTGCATCCCTTCTGGTAATGGACCCAAAGTACCAACTAAAAATCCAATCAAATTATTCCAATTCCCTTTGTAAAACAGATGAAAAATATGCCATACCTGTTTCTATCATTATGATCAAAACTTGTTGCCATCTTTGCTACAATCTAACCCACTTGTTAAACGTTTAATTATTACACAAATACACTCACAATGTGCCCGACAGCGTCTTTCACTCGTTGGTAAATTAAGTAATTGTATTAATTAACCGTTGGACGCTCGAAAACCCGACTCGATTTTGTTTCCACTCGAGTCGTTCGCTACACATACGCAGTTTTTTAAGGTTATATCAACTGCACACATCCAAAGCGCGTATTTTATCAAATAATTGATTAGGATATCCCCGACCACGGTTAAGTATACACCGTGCGAATACAGGCAGCGGTTTTCGGTAATTAGGAAAACACGTTCAGCGCATTCTGGAAGGTTCCGCGCCGCTGTTTGGCCGAAAACAATTGCAATCGACGATCACCATACAGACACACACACGCAACACGATTGATTATGTTTAATTTAAATTAATTTATATGGAACTGGAAGACTCGAGAGGCGCGTGCTTCATCGCTGCTCTGACATGCGATGTGTTTTCACAATTCACATATTAGATTTCGCTGCGTTTAGTTTCGCGTCGCGTTACCGGATGCGATGTTTGCTTTCGTATTTATTTATAGTTCGCGTAAAAATCGCGTTTTACGATCCTGCAGGAACAATACCGGATTTTCGCACTGCGCACGACCTGTTTCCGCTTCCCCAGTGTGTTTTTCCCATCAAATCATCCGCGCTGCCATTGAAGCGAAAGAACAATCGATCTGCGCGCGAGATCGAACGGGTTCGATTGAGGACGTCCAGTTATCGGACAGCGAAGGTTTTTGATCGCGTCCGAACCCGAAGGCGTTTCGCACACAACTGACACATACAAACAAGAAAAACGCTTGGCGCTAGTTCAAGTCGCGGATAACAATTGACGACGAGCGGTTTGTTTGGTTTACAATGTACAATGTCAAGTGCATTTTGTGTGTGCGGTATTTTTACGCGTTGCGATAACGTTAGTTACGGTGGTTTCCAACTTTTACTGCGGTTGAGGAAATTATTAAAATTTATCAAATTGAAACAAACACGACACATACACGCATGTCATGCAACCACTAACAAAAAATGACAGCGGCGCAGCCCTAAATACTACGCATGAGCACACTCAGACAAAATTTATTATTTTATTTATTAATTTAAAGAAAAACATTCTTACCAGGTCATTGTATGGATAAATATTGTTATTCTGAGTATCCCCATATATAAATTTACTGTTTAACCACGTTTTAAACATATTTTACGCTTAAATTTACCAGAAAATGAATTCGACCCTGCGCACGGCCATCTTGCATATGCGCAGTTTGCAACACGAAGTTCTACGACGCTTGACGAACGCAGAATAACATTCAAAATGGACGTTTGAATAAAAAATACATTCAAATTAAAAATAACATACAAGAAACATAAAATACTATTGTAAACATATATATTATCACCGTATCACTTAAGTGATGTTCATTTTAACATCTACCTCTCCATCATATCCGTTATCAGCAATGTTGTGTAAAAACTTAACATAATCTTCAGGTAAATTAGACTCGACAGCGCCGCGTCTGATAAGATTCAAGTACACCGCTGAAGGTTTGCGATCGTCTGGGAGATTAGCAAGATTATCACAAACCGGGGGATTGTTGCACTGTTGATAAACACGACACTTGGTGAATGCACCTTCGGGCGTCTCCACGTCAACTTCCAATGGGAAATAGACGTTATCATGCACTCCCTCTTGACTACAAGTGTTTATTAGTCTTTCTATCAATTATAAATATGATTTTACTCGTACTTATCTAGAGACGGAATGTGCTCGTTGTCGATTTCATAAATAGCGCCCCACACATAAGCGCCCTCTTTGGGCACAATTGTTGCTGCGGCCCCTTTCCATCTTTTTGAGTAGTAATTAAAATCGAGCTGAAAATCCTAACACAGCGTCAAATACTCGTAATGTGATTACATAAGAAGGTACTTACTTTTAATTTACCACATCCGCGTTTAACAGCCGACGGATTCTGAACGTGCAGGCGTTTTGTCAGCAGATTGCTGCCGTACGCAAAGTACATGAACGTTTTGGACATATTGATTTTTTTTATATGTATCTGATTCTATTAATCATGCGATAATGATTAATCAAGCCGCGCCCGCCGACTGCGGGTTATTGGACTCTGCTATTACTTATAGGTTAACAATTAAAAATGGAAAATTACCATGCCTATAACAAACTCGCGGTATATGTAAACAAATACGTGTTCTATTGTAATGTTGGTTGCCTATATCAAAACATAAACTTTAGTATTTTATAAGTTTTTTGTTTAAAAATCAAAATATTGCTTTATTTTATTGTTTTAAAATTAAAAATGAACATTTGAAAAGTATTTAATGGGTTTAAACATGTGCAATATAAAAAACAACATTTAAGTAGTTTAAAATCATTATTTAACGTCTTTCAACGTCTAAACCTGTAAAATAAAACAAATTTTTCATCAAATATCAATCAATCGTTCAAGTTTTATTGCATTTAGTCACTCTGACCAGTGTACAACATTAGTAAACTCGGTTTTATTTAATTACTAGTCGTGGTTGATTCACAATCGTCAAATTATTATTGTAAATTCATATAGATTACAAACTAAATAAATTCTTGCTCAGTCAAACATATCCAACGCATCACATGATCGGGATTTAATTGCCCTGTTAATGAAACACTTGATTAATCTAAGAAATCACCAAACATGTGTCATTTTAAGCAAAAAGCGAAGCAAATCAAGCAAAAGTGTCGCAGAAATCCATGGAAATTAGAGAAATGTAAACATAACCTAATATAATTACCCTGAACATAGTTCAACGTCAAAATTGACTTCAATTCAACCTACACCAAAGCTAAACATTAGAAAACGTTAGAAAAAGTAAAGTAGCTGCGGAAAAAGCAAAGAAGCAAAGCGAATTCAGACAGATTCTGACCTTCTTTGGTAGTTGTTCCTCCTCGCGATTTCCAGCACCACATCGCCACTCTTGATGTTCTTAAACATCACAATCGCTTGATTGTGGGTCATATTATCAAGAGGTGCATCGTTTATCGATAAAATCTCATCTCCTGAACATAAAAACAGAAAATAATTACAAAATTCCATAGAAAACAATAAATTAACAATTAAACAATACCTTCTTGTAATATTGCTGATTCAGCAGCTTGTCCCTGCGGGAAAATAGTTTTGATGAAGATCCCCATCGGTCCACGTGGTGAATCAATCCCTCCAACAATAGAAAACCCTAAAGATTTCATCCCGGGACCTTTTCTGAATGTCGCAGAGTAAACCTGCTGAGTTTTACGCGCTGCAGGGATCGGTACAGCAATACTACACCTCCTACTTCCGTAGTTCTCCAAATTCGAACAGGAGAACTTCCGCATTCCGGTAAGTTTCTTCGGACTGGCGGGAATTTTAAAATTTCCATTATTTCCAATACCTAATTGACTTGCTGATGACGAATGCGGGGATCTTACAGTGGGTACTTTGAAATTATTCGGCTTTGTCGACGTTGCATAACCGTCTGTGAAAGTCACCCGTGTCTCGACGCCATTTTGATTATTTTGATGTGGAAAATTGTGGTTATGACTAGTTTTTGTAACCGGACTAATAACAGGATTACTCGGGTGTTTATTCAGGGAGTATTTATGACTTGGACTGGTTTTTCGGACGTGCGGGACGTATTCTTGGAAGTCAGACACATTGGCAGTGTATTTTGAATACGAGGGTGAGTAGGGTTGAGCAAAACGGTTGCCGCACGTGTCCGAAACAGTCGAGACTTTCCTTTCGCTTGGTTTGAAGCGACTTATTACAATCTCCAGTTCGCCATTTTGTGCACGCAGTGAGGAAGTTGCTTGATCTAGCGTAGATCCACGCAGACGTGTGCCATTTACTTTTACTACTTCATCGCCAATGAAAATATTTCCATTTCTAGAATTAAAAAACAAAAAACATAAAGTATTTAATATAGGCAACCATATAAACATGAATATTTAATGTAGGCTATGTTTGGTACCTTTCTGCAGCTGAAGCAGGAAGTATCTCACTAACAACGTAAGATTTTAAATAATCCGCTGGGTTTTTCACTTGAATTTCGATTCCTATCACTTCGGATGGATCCAAACGTAGTCTGACGCATTTATATTCTTTTTCGAGGATAGGGGCGCGTTTCTCGGGAGATGAAACTTGATTTTCCGGTTTTAAACTAAGCTGGTCTAATTTTTCGGTGAAAGTATGACTTAATTCAGTATAACTTAACTTTTTATCTTCTAAAAATAAAAAAAAAAACATAAAAACATATTTTTTAACAAAATGGCGGCCATTTTACTAACCTTGTTTTTCTTTTTCTTTGGCTTCCTTCATAAAATCCCTATTCACATGTTTTTCAACATTCGCAGGTGAATACTCTTTACTATTCCCGAAAATCTTCGACGCTTTTCTTCTTGATAACATAGTATCAAAATCTCCACTCGTTGACCTGGGTCGTTTCGGTGTAGTACCGGAACCCCTGTGCACCGCCAATCGTTGCATCTTCAACGTGGAATGATGATCCTCGTCGTCGTCGTCTTCGGCTGTATCAGTATCGTCTTCGTAAGTGTTAAATCTCTTCGGAGTCGTTGATAATGTCGCCTGTGCGGGTGTCTGCTGTCCATTGGTCACATTCGTATCGTTCGTAATCGTAATGTCATTAGTATCAATCGGAGTGTTAATATTTGCAGTGCAATTAGCTTCTTCTCGGATATCCGGACTGTGTTCGGAAAGTTCAGATTTTATCGAACCTCGCGGTGAATCCAAGCCGGTTCGGGTCGAATCACTTCCATAACCACTTTCATCGCTTTTAATCAACAACGAATTCAAAACTGAAGATATTTCTATGTTGGAAAGACTTTTTCGTGATTGTTTTATTAATTCTGAAAGGCTTGTAACACTGGTTGCGGAATTTCGTTTGTAATCAACTTCATCGTCTGATTTTGAAGAAGATCGCATGAACATATTTCGGACTCCACGGAATTTTTTACCTAATCTAGGAGTGCCTTTCTGTGCATCATGCAGAATCGAAAAAGCTTTCGACTTGGACATTTTTTTATCACGACTTTCGCGTTCCCGCAACTCTTTATCTTGTTCATGATTTAAATCTGATAACATATCGATTAATTCTTGTTTATTCGGTTTAATTATCGATAAATAATTCAGAAGTTGTTCTTCAGTCAATGCTAGATTATCCGCGGTGGATCTAAACTTTTTCTTGTGTCGTAACGTGCGTTTTCCAGATTCTTTCGCGAAAAATTTACATTGTGAGCCTTCATTATCCGTTTCTGTGTCTGAAAATTTATCTCCAACACGTTGGATTAGATTTCGTAAAGATTCTACTCTTGAAATGCGTTTTTCTTGCACCACAGGTGATACTGGATTACTTGTTGGTGTTTGTGTGTATTGTTTTCTTCTCGTTGGTGTGTTTGTTAATAATTCCGAAGAGTCTGCACGTTTGAGTTTGTCCCATTTCTCACCGACGCGTTTACTCCATGTTGCACGACCTGGAAGTTTCATTATAGGCAACCCAATATGCACTTAAAATGTGTCTTACTAGATTTTGGTGATGCATCCCTGGAATGAACCGGAGTGATTTGTGAGGTTATCACTGGTGCCGGATGCGTGGGTTGGGCATTTTGTGTCTGGTCTTCGTATCCGTCGGTGAGGGGTGATAAACTCACTAATTGGGGGTTGGGGTCGGAGCATCGTCGTCGAAATAATCGCATCATTTCATTGAGAGTCGTTTTGGACGTTAGTTTCTGTAAAATAAGGTTTTTATTGCTCAATTTTTAATATTGCAATCGTAAAATATGAAATTTATTATATATTAGCATTTGCCCGCGACTTCATCCCGGTAGTGTTTAATAAAAATGTAATTCGTTTTTACTCGCTTGTTCTAAACATAGTATGTGTCAATTCTATCAATAAGATTCGCAATTTTATTTTAAAGAAATTAATTATATAAAGAATTGATAATAATGCACTTCAGCGCGACATCTCGGATTCAACTATTTAACTATAACTATGATTGAATCTCAATGCCAACTTTTATCCTATAGAAAAGAGTTGTTTTTAGAGTTTTCCCGACAATTATTCAAATTTTTCTCTCCGTAAAAACCATCCGTGAACTTTAACGAACATTTAAAACAAAGAATTGGTCAAATTGGTTCAGGCGTTGTTGAGTTATGCGCTTACCAACAGATTTTTTATTTTAAAATTATAGATTACTTCATTTTTATGTTTTGATAGTTTGTTTATAATATAATTTCATTATAAACTGCTTTATTAGTAATATACCAATGAAATTTATCGTAAATATCATAAATCTGTGTTTATTTGCAATAAATTAATTGTATACATTCTAATACTGTTTAGAAAGGATGAATTAATGATGGAAAACCGCCGGAATGCCAATTGCACTCAAAGAGCAGGTTGGTTTTCTTACAGAAGGCAGCAAACGCAATAGATTCGTGAGTTATGATCACATGCAAGGCGATCATTAAACGCGACGCGCCGCTTGGCGTTTGCTGGTTTCCTTGAACCAATAAACACACCAATTACCCATTACTATTTACCATGACTAGTGCCCACTTGATTATTTCTTATTGCGGCCTGCGCGGTGAGAAAATTGCATTCGTTATTAGGACATATTGAGTATCAGCAATTTATTGAAATCATTATATTGCACCTGTGGTGAGATTACAACGGGAGATACTTTAAAATAACATAAAAATTAAATTCAACAAAATGGCGGATGTAGAATTGCATTGATCGTGGCGTTCCGTTAGAAAAAACGCCAATCTGCATGTGTATACTTTACAAGAATGTTTAACAAAGGTAAACAACTACAATCCGAATACCTAAATCGAAATTTGCATGAATAAATGAACACGTACGGAGTTGTACGACAAAGTCGACAATGTGTCAATGCGACGAAGCGTGGTCGTTCCATTACTGATTCAGGGAGACTCGCTGTGGACAGGAAAAAGATTCGTTCGTATTCACGTATTCAAAGTTTGACTTATATATACCGAATGTATCAATAAAAAAAACAATAAAAAACAAAAAAATAAAAATAAAAATTTGTATTGTATGCAACCAGTCATGAATCAGAACACAACTGGTTGCCTATAATAACTTATTTACATAAAAAAAAACAAAAAAATAATAAATTTTACTAAACAAATACTCAAAAACAATCAGAATAAACACGTTTTAATTTCCTAATTAATAATTATACGCTTAACCGCTCTTAAATCATTGCTTCTATGAATAATTAAGCTAATGCGATCGTTTAGTCGTCGGCCATTTTGATATCCACCTCATAATATAAATTCACTAATTATTTTATTAGATTGGAAGGTCATTATCGTATTATGTTGGTTTATTGCGTCATAAATTAAAACAAAACGTCTATTGGTTGCGATAACTTCCTGTGCACGAGCGTAAATCATCTACGATCATAAAATTTCATTAAAGGAATACCTCGGGAATCCATGCGAATCGGCGAGAACCAATAACACTTTGCTTTAATAATTAATATTTTATCGTTTGTTGTATTATTAACAGGTTTGTAGCAAAAAAATTATGCGGGAAGATAAAATTTGTTGTTATGGGAAACAATAATAATAAAAATTCTCAGCATTGTTGTAAAATTTTATATTTAACCTAACTTTTCAACTTTGAACCTTTATTTCTGTCAAAATAGTAAGTTTTAGTTTTAGTTTAGTAGCTGGTTCATAGAGGGCGCTTAGATTTCATATATTTTTATGTTATTTTCTATGATTTTCCGTTATAAATGATAATATTACCAAAATATTAACAAATACAATAAATTTTATTCAATTATGTTTATTTAACTCATCAAATTTGTAAATAATAAATAATTCTTGCGTGTCGTTGCGTTTTCGTCTCGTTCCGATGGATAATTGGGCCTCGGAGGCTTTGCGCAGCTCTCTTAAGCAAACATTTAAATATTCCAATTAGCTCACCGCACGAATATGCGCGCCATCGATAAAACCGAATCGAAATACCACCGAACTAGCAATAATCAAGATGGAAATTGCGCGCAATAAAAAGTTACAATGTTACCTAAAGAGTTACGCATAAATTGGCATGTTAAGAATGACTTAACGATCCAATTAGTTTATTATTCGCATTTGAATATTAATTCGCACCGAAATAGTACATCAAAACAAGCGACTGACCAAAAACCAATCAATTAATCAAAGCGAATAACTATATGTAAATAAATCATTGAGATTATTCATTGGATAACGAAATTCAATTATAAAACCACCGGAAATTGAATTAAATTTGAATATTTTTTGTGTTACCTTCGTTTTTTATTGTGTTGAAGTGGTTATGTGTAATTTTGGTTGCCTATATTAAAACTAATCAAATTTAGATACTTTTATATTTTTAGGCGAAAAGAAGCATTTGTTGTTGTTGTTTATTATGATTTGTATTGCTGCACATCAATAGTAATCATCAGCAATAATTAGAAATTACGAGATGTTGCGCCATGATGTAAGACAGCTTAAGGTTGTATATTGTATATTGCTTGTGCAATATGTTGATGAGCAGGATGTGTGAGGAAATTTGTGATGTGAAAATAATCGCTACATGTGATATTTGCAAACCAGTGCGAGGCGATGAGATAATGCACTATAATTACTGTAATTAAACGGATTGCGATGCATTTAATTACACATTTTGTTCGGAATTCATCAATCAACACATCGTTACTTCCCAGGTTTTATATTTACCTAATATAGGCAACTAAATAAACAGAGTTTCCTATTAGTTGCATATAAGGGTAAAATATGTTAAAATCTGAAATAAATTGATAAATTTTTAACATTTTGGTGTTTTAATAATGACATTTTGTTCAGAACTCACATTTATTTCATATTTATCTCTATTTACGTACTTTATGCAACCAAAGAAACAAAGTTTCCTATTTTTTTATTAAATTTGTAAATTTTGTACATTTTGGCCTATTAAAAATGACATTTTCCCCAAAATTCATCTATCAACACATTTCTTTCACATTTCTCTGCATTTACTTACTATATACAACCAGAGAAACAAAATTTCAAACTTTTGCTATTTTAGTTGCATATAAATGAAAAATACGTTTAAATAAGAAATAAATTCGTGAATTTTATACATTTTAGCGAATTAATAATGACATTTTTTTCAGAATTCACATTTATTTCACATTTATCTCAATTCACGTACTATATGCAACCAAACCAACAAAATTTCCTATTTTTGCTTGCATATAAGTGTAAAATATGTTAAAATATGATATAAATTCGTAAATTGTGTACATGTTGGCGTATGAATAATGATCCCCTTGGATCAACATCGTTGCAACGGTTGTGTGCACCCACACGAGATTCCTAGCTGGTTTTATCGCGGGCAATTGCACTCGAAGAGCAAACGGCGCTAGTTTGGCGCAAAACTAAACTTTAACACACCTTTGTCTTTCCAGCATTACTTCGGTTTTATTATCCGCTATATTCCGTGCGTTTTGTTGGCTCAACATTAATTTTACAATCGCATTCAAATTTATGCCGCAGAGCGTTAAAGTCTAGGTATCATTGCAATTAATTGCCATTAACAATTGAACATTTAGACGGTGAAGAAGAAAAGAAAAGAAAAGAATAGAATGAAATATATTCGTGCGGAATTATCAGACCAGAGTAATCGGTCACACTGTTTTCATTCGGCAGGTTTCTTTTATGCATCAGAATAAAACCAAACAAAAGCCACACAACCAAATTTAAAATATAATGGGTACATTTGTTGAAGAAGAGAAGAAAAGAAGAGAAATTGAAAAGTTTCGATTCACAATGAACTAGAAGATGTTATAATTTAAAAGTGAAATGACACATGTGATGAAAAGAAGGATAGATTTGTCAAATGTCAATAAAAAAACATTTATAACCTCAAATAACCTAAGAAGTAATAAAACGGAGTAAATATCAGAAATAATGCCAAAATGTAATAAAATACTAATTAATTACCCTACCACTAATTAAATCACGTTTTTACACTTATATGGAACCAAATTAGCAAAAATAAGGTTTGTTTCTTTGGTTGCATGTAGTATTATGTAATGACACATACGATAAAAAAAAGTTTTTAAGGTTAGATTTGTTAAATGTCAAAGAAAAGCAATTATAACCTCAAATAACCTCTGCAAAAGTAATAAAACGGAGCAAACAACAAAAACAATGCCAAAAAATATTATAAAACCCTAAATAAATCAGTTGCACATATTTTACACTTAAATAGAACTAAAACATCAAAAAAAGAGAAATTTGTCTCTTTGGTTGCATATATTAGTTATACATGTGATAAAAGACATTTTAAGGTTACATTTGTCAAATGTCAATAAAAACTATTTATAACCTCAAATAACCCAGAAAAGTAATAAAATATACCAAATAACTAAAATAATGACAAAAATGTAATAAAACACTAATTAATTACACAACCACTAATTTAATAATTTGCCTGTATTTTACCCGTATATGGAACCAAGATAGCAAAAATAGGGAATTTTGCTCCTTTGGTTGCATATATTAAGTAATGACACATCCGATAAAAAAGTTTTTAAGGTTATATTTGTCAAATGTCAATAAAAACCATTTATAACCTCAAATAACCTCAGAAAAGTAATAAAACAAACCAAATAACAGAAATAATGCCAAAAATGTAATAAAACACTAATTAATTACTCTACCAC